GCCAAATGGTGGTGTTGCAGGCTGTTTGCAGAGGATCTGACCGGAAAATTCTGCAATTGAGGGGCAGAACAGCCAGCAGGACTGCACCTGGGCTGTACTCCACAACCAGAAGGCTGGAGGGTCTGAAAATGGAGGGAATGGCTCTTGGGAGTGTGCTGAGATGAATTCTGATGGATTTGGGATGCCAGGAGGCCTGGGGAACTATATAGGTGTCGACCAGAAGTTGGTGTTGGTGCAGAAGACCAGGTATAATGATGCCATAGCACTCTGTCTTTTTTTTTGTTCATTTGTTTTGCACTTGCTCTGATTCCAGCAACTTTGCTCTGGGCCTGAGCTGCCACCATCCCTTGTACTTTCATTGAACCCACTCTCATGTAACTAAATCTTTGCATTACCAGAAGGGCTACTGCTTTTCTCATCTTCCATAGTCTTAGACTCAGATAGGACGTTAAAACAATCAATCAATCAATCAGTCAATCAAACCTTGAGGGCTGAGTAGTCTGGTCCCACTTGTTATATACTTCTAGCAAGTATGTGTGTATCAGAAGACATCAGTGGTACTGATCACTGATCCGTCAGATCGCTGATCATCCTGATCCTGCCAAGCCTGATCAAGTCACGTGTGATTCGTGCGACAAATCACGATACTAGAGTACGGTGTTGTTGGAAGACCTCATTTTCTGTACGAGCCTCTGTAAGCTGCATTACCCCTAGTTGCTGCAGCCCTTTTGGTATCGTATCTGGTTGTGAGCCTTGTCGTGGGCGTTCCGAATCCCGTGGTCGTAACAGCATCACCGGAAATGAGCAACTACGATGTAGCATGCGGGGAGGCCAAGGCTCACTACGATCCCGAGGCTAGGAGTATTCCCTCGGTGTCAATTCGATGACCGTTTGACGAAGGCGGTAAGGAGGCGGTCGAGAACCTACATAACACGACTGAGCCAAGACACAACGACTCGTCTTGTGACGGGCAGTGGAGAAATGTTGGCAGGCGCAGCGGCTGTTTCGCTATACTGGAGCATCCTCAGATGTACCCGAAGAACAAGGTAGAAGAGATCTTAGCACGAAGTCAAGAAATGCACTTACCGTCCAAGATGAATACCTTGCAAAGACGGTGAATGAAGAGTGTCACAACATGAAAGGGTGTTCTACCGCAAAACATCAATCGTGACCCGTCTATTGAGATGTTTCTATTAACAGAAGCACTTGATGAATGAGGTATCAGAAACACTAACCTTGTGTCAATATCGCAGCTGTACATCTACTGCAACCGCACACCAGCAGTCTTCAACTTCTTCGCCTGCTGATCGTGAGCACTTCCCACACCACCTGCCTTCGAGACTTCCAACGAGCTCTCAGCCATCTTCTTCTTCTCCTGAGCCACCTTATCAAGGTGTTTCTTGGTCTTTGTGTTTCCACTGCCCTTGCCATGGAACTGATGTGAAAGCTGCTTGAACGCCTCTTTCTGGTTCATCTGGCGGCCGTGTTCGTCAACGTAGTTCAGCTCGACGTTCGGCTTGTACTCCTTGTTAAAGATCTCCGCTAGCCTGCGACTCTCACTGACGTCAGCGTTGGTGTTCTGCTTGCGAGCCCATTCTTCGCGCTCGCGGGGAGTCATGGTGTTCCAGCGTGCGGAGTTGCGCTCGCGCTCACGCGCAATCTTGCGCTGGCGTTCGGCTTCGGCCTCGGCACGTTGCTTGTCCGCAAGAAACTTCTGGCGGTCGCGGTACAGCGCATTCTTGCTGCTTGCATCGTTTTCGGCAGCCACAAGGCCGCGCTGGCGCAGGAGTGCGAGAGTGGCACCCATGCCTCCATCGACTGTCTTTTCGGCCTCGAGACCGGTGTCTGTATTCTCGACTGACTTTGCTCGGGAGTGGCTGCGTTCCCATGCGTCTTCACCTTCCGTTGCTTCAGCGTAAGACTGTTCCATCTCAATGTCACCGTCGTCGTCGATGGGCTGTTTAGTCCCGATGCCATCAGAGACATGATTAGGCTTCCTCCGCCGCCTTCTCGCCTCCTCTTCCTCCTCATGATCTGCGTTTGCGCCAAGATTTTGCACAAATTCAGTCGTTTCGTCAATCACCAGGCCTTCGGCATCACCGTCTTTGGTCGATTCCACCACGTCAGGTGTCTGTGGCGCAGACGCCTCCTCTCGTAGCTGTCGCGCAATGTCTTCTGGGCGCATCTTCTTCCGCTTCTTGAGGGCTTTCTGCCGCTGTGCAGCAAGATTGGCTTGCAGATCGTCATCATCGATAAAAGACTCGTCGAACATACTATTCTTCTTCGCCTTGGGAACGGTTGCTGCGGCGCCGTCGAGCTCCATGTCCTCAGCTGGGTCTTCTGTAGGCGGCAGCACCGTCTCCTCATCGTCTTCAATGCGCTCTCGTTTGGCCTTCTTGGTCTTCTTCTTCTTTGGTTTCTTCATCTTGATTTCCGATATGTCCATATAGTCGTTGGCTGGTGCATCATCCTTGAGTATGTCGAGGCTAATAGCGATCCTTTTTGGTTGCGCAGCACCTGCAGCTGCCGCTTGTACATCTTCGACTGTCCGACCTTTGCCATCCAATGTGAATGCTTTGCCCTTCTTGCCCTCGATCTCTTCGTCATACTGCGCAAGGATAGATTTCTCGCCGTTCTCATCGTTCGGATCGTATGCGCGTTTTCGCTTCTTCGAGTCCAGGCGTTCCTGCAGGCGCTCTTTCTCCTTCAGGGCGACTGCCTCAAGTTCATCGTCGTCCTCAGCATCGACTGCTGTATCCTTGAGTACAAGAATCTGATCCTCGCCGTCGTCAAACTCATCAACTTCGTGACCAACCTTGACACCCGCAAGATCAGTTTCTGTGTACTGCATCGCCTCGCGTGCTTGCCGCTCCCGCTCCTCAAGCTCCTTTTGCATCTGCTCGGCCTTCAAGATCTTCTTCTGGCGCTTTTTGCTGCCCTTTAACCACGCCATATCATCGTCGTCGTTGCCATTGTCTGCAAGACCGCTGCCTTCGAGCTTCGCTACGCGCGCAGCCCTCTCACGCTCCTTCTTTATCGCGGCTGCGCGCTCCTCGCGCTTCTTCTTGGTTTCTTGTTCGGCATTGAGCTTCAACCAGTTGTCGTGGGCTGCTGCCTGGCGCGTATCGATCGTGCTCGCAGGTTCGTCGTCTGAGTCGTCGCCTTCCTTCGCAGCTTTAAAGACGGGTCCTTCTGGGTCAGCACTGGCAGAGCCGCCTGGCAGAGCGGGCAAGCCCATAGACAGGCGGATCTTGTTCGCCTCATCGATGCTGAGGTCCGCCATGGCTGCAGGTTGGAGGCGGTGGCAAATCCGAAGCGCGAATTGAAAAACGGTTCAGCTCAAAGTGGCAAGAACTCCTTGTCAGCACATTCAAAGGTATCGTTCGCTCACTCGTGGTGGATACTATACAATCGTAAAGCTGATGTGGTTTGACCATAAACGCTCTTTCCACATTCGCGGCAAGCCAAGCCACTATCGCTAGCGCGCCCGGTCCCTGCGCGGCAGCTACAAAATAAATTTCTACGGCGCGTCGACCTTCCTCTCACCAACAGCCTGTGCCAGTTTTCCCGTCCACCCTTAGGGGTGTGTTCGGTCGAGAGCTGGCAGTTCGTTCGTGACCATGGAGCTGTCTTGATCAGTGGATGTCAATTTCCGAACGACAGGCTGGAGAGCAAGTCGGCACGTTGCTGGAAGCCTGAGTTCGCCGCAAGGTTTGAGCTCGGTGGAAGGTGCGTGCCAGGCAGACTGATTCCTGTTCCCTTTTGCTAGACCGTCGGTCCATGACGCTTGGGACAAACCCAGTTGGCTACATACTTTACTTGCACTCAAGCTTTGAGTGTCGAGCTGGAGCAGCAGGTGCTGGCAAGAGGACCATCGACAGCATTGATGTTTGCTTCTTTTGTGCACCATGTATCATTTCTCTTCGCTGAAAATGCGGTCATGTCTTCGTAATGATGTGTTCTGCGCTTTGCGGTATGCTTTTCACTCACAACAGCTTCAGGTGTCCCGTGACCTGATCAATCACTCCCTTTGGTGCAGGTCCAATACCCAGCACAGTCGCACTGCCACTCGCAATCTGAGTACGACCTGCGTCATGAACGATGTGCGCAACCAGCCCCAGGCTCACAGCTTGCGCCTGCAGTATCTCCAGCTCCTCCTCGCCCTTCACCTGCAATGCCACCTTTGCTTGACCCATTCGTTCCCAGCGCTGGAGGATAGTCGAGTTCGGTGCGTGTCGAAGGAAGTGCTTGTAGCACGCTAGAGTCGCGTGACCGCATTGCGCGCCAATCTTGCCTGGAAGGTGGTCAGCATACAGTGAGCTACAGATTTATCTCCAGACGTGTACATACCCTTTGTCATGCCCAGATCTGTCCGCACTACCAGTACCATCTTGCATTCTTCGGTGTGGCCAGGGAACTCGGCAGGTGCTGTGTCGTCATCCTCGTCGTCGCTGGACTCGTCCTCTGACTCTTGTGCCTTCTCGCCCTTTCGCTGTGGTGGCTCGGAGATTGGACTACCTCCAAATAACCCTAGTGACTTTGCTGTGCCGAGGAAGTAGCCAGTGACACCAGCGAGTATGGCGCATGCGACCGCAATGTTCGCTGTGGAGGGCTGTGTGCCTTCCTGCATCGTCTGGTCGTGGCGGCTTGCGTTCGTTCTTTGTACTAGATGTATGGAGTAGGTATCGAGGCGACTGTAGCCTTGCTATCTCTGACTAAGTAGCGACTGTATGGGTATTGTGATGGCACTGATGGTGGTGGTTTGTAGGTGCCCGCACTCCGCGAAGTCAACGCGGTGATGCACGGACGCCTCCGCCATCTCGACTCGAAAGATTTCGAGCATCGGACCTCCGTGTCGCTGCCATCCACCCAAACACCGCGGCCACATCACCACCGCCGGTCGCAAAGTTCATCATGCATCCTCGCTGCCAATTGCTGTCGGGGCACTTGGCCACCGTCCTCCGCGCCCCCCAAACCGCGCAGCGAACCTTCACCACCTCCGCAAGCCTATACAACAAGAACCCCCTGCAACGGCGGAAGGGCGGCGATCTCGGCTCCCATTTGCCCAAGCATGTTATCTCGCAGGATCCTCACATCCCCGACTATCCATATGGCGACCATGCGCACTTCAAGCAGGCGAACAAGGGTCTCTACGGCGAGCAAATGATTCAGTTTGGCAACAACGTCTCCCGCAAGACTGAGACCAAGACAAGAAGGAAGTGGACACCCAATGTTTTGTCCAAGAGCTTGTACTCGGTTGCGCTGAAGAAGAGGATAAAGTTGCGTGTTACCTCAAATGTGATGAAGACGATCGATCGAGAGGGTGGTCTTGATGAATACTTGCTCAAGGACAGTGTCCAGCGCATCAAGGAGCTAGGACCCACAGGCTGGGCACTGAGATGGACTTTGATGCAGAGGCCTGAAGTCATTGACCGACTGCGCGCCGAAGCCGCTGCATTGGGGATCGACCAGGCCACCATCGATAAGCAATGGCCTACACCTGAGATGCTCTCTCAACAAAAGTATGCAGACCGCGTCCTGGCTCGTGAGCAGGCTCTTGCTCAGGCAGGAGAGGTCGAAGATGTTGAACAGGGTATGTGGGCTGAGGAGGAGGAGGGTGCAGAGGACGAGGTCAACGGCACTGAAGCAACAATCAAGGACGCGCTGGAAGGTCAAGAGGTGATCGCCCGCAAGAAGGCGTACGGCGAATATGTCTCAGCCACCATAGCTGCGAAGCGTTACCTGAAAAGAGGGCTAGTCGACAGTGAAGAGGAGGGTTTGAAGCTCGCCTTTGTCCGCCAAACAGAGCGTATGGACGCACGATGGAAACTTCACGCCAAGTTTACGGAAAAGACCAAGGAAATGTTCAGCGCCCAAGACCTCAAGGAGCTCAAGACCCGTCTGAAACTCCCCAACATGCACATCAGTCTACTTAGAAAAATTGCATACAATCAACATCGACGCGCGCAGGCTGAGGCAGCGGGAGGTTGGGAAGCATGGCGAGAAGTCAAGAAGGCAGCGAACGCGGAGAAGGCTGCTCAAATAAAGAGCAACATTGACGCGCTCGGTGGTCCTGAGGCGTTGAAAGCAAGCAGAAAGGCCACATTCGCAAAGGCAATTGCAGAAGCCGAGACTGCGTCCACAAACCAGGCACTCGACGAGCAGACGCGGCAGTACCTCGAGAGCGCGATCAGCAAGGCGGACATGGCGATCAAGGCCAAGGCTGCGGGCGGCGCCCAGGAGTACGTTGAGATGTCAATCGAGGAGCTTAAGAAAGCGAGCAGTCCAGGTTTGAGTGAGCTGTTCCAGGGTTCGAGTAAGGAGAAGAATGCTGGGGGTGATGCGTGGGCGGCGCTGGTCAACTCGAGCAACAAGCCAGCGGAGAGCAGGCCGAACGCGTGAGAAGACTCGTAAGTGTAGGCTTGTTTGTAACACCATTGTTCATACTTCTTGTAACTCTACAGCATTGGGTGGAGTACTTCAATGCACTATTCCAGACATGATTGATGTCAGCCCTCGCCGCGGCTTTTCTGTCATTGTTGCGCTTACTTATTCCCCCCTGTACATTGCTGCAGGAAGGTGTGGTGGAGGCTGTGTGGATAACATCATCACCTTGCCATTTTGCGTTTGAACTTCGCTTCACCACATCAGGCATCAGCCTCCCGCTTTTGCCCTATGGATAGCTTGTGTCTTCTTTCTCCTTATGTCTTTGATGGACACTTGATCAGCTACACGTTACGGATTCCAGCGTTCCCTCGTTTCACCTGGTTTATTATGTGCTACAACCTCAGCCTTGTCCATACTAGCGCCAGACTGGACAACTGCATACCCTCCTGGGCAGAGGGTTCGGCCGCAACTTTCGGACCACCTTCGCAACACCTTTGCTGTCGAGAGAGCTAGGCTTCGTTTCCCAGCAGGTGTTCCACGTGTAGAAATACATGTGAGTGACTACGTTCCTTATCAACGTACAAACGGTTTACTGTAATTTCAGACTCATCTTCTACGATGACCAAGAATAGAGGTCCAGTGGCGACCTTTCGAACGCGCCAGGTGTCTTTCTGACGAACGATACATCAAGCACTGCCCTCGAGAACCTGAACAACCTGCCTGACCGAATGCACGATGCCCACGCAAACCGGCTTTCGCACCTGTCTGGACTCAACTCGCTTGCCAGTTTCGCATCAGCCTTCAGCCGCAACGATACAACGTCGTTCATAACCGCTCATTCTAATTATGGCAGCCCGGTACTTGCTCATACGATGAACACAATGAGAAGACTTGTTACGATTCGCGAAGAAGTGTCTACCAAACCAGCGCTACCCGAACCTCTCACGAAGCTTGGAGAAGATTACTATGAAGGCTTGTGACGGCAAGATCTGCTTCTCCCTCTTGACAAAGAGCTTAACTGGTCTGGCAAAGGACAGCATGTTACTTTCCTTCCTACCAAGGAACCTCCGCTGGTTATCGTGCCTCATCTCGGAGCGTCTTTGATAGCAAATGTGGACAAGGTACTTTGTCGACGAATTGCATTGCAAGGAAATCCATGAGATGTTCGCGGACTGGGACCGTCGCCAATGCTCTCCTGGAGGTCAAGCACTTACAGGACCTTTGGTATCATCATATTGTCCGGCTCGTAGGAACTTACCTCCGTGGCTGTGATTTTGCCCTGCTTATGTACCCAGTTGCGGACTATCGCCTAGGCCAATTTCTGCAAGATACAGTTGACTTACCGTCGTGGAATCGGTACCCTCGTGTCGCTTTCCTCGTAGGCAGCATGAGCTGCATAGCCTCTGCGATTCGCTACGTTCATGATCACACAAGGAAGCACATGGACACAAAACCGCAAAATATCCTTGTCCAAATTGAGATTGTCGTAAGCTTCGACCGATATCGGTGGAAAGTATATATCCGGAACCATATGTCTACTCTCGTGAAGACGAACAATTGAAGAAAGTGCCAGCTCAGCGTTCAAATGAACACGGCCATCGACAATATTGGATACTGCGACATCAGCAGCAGGAGACTAACTGTCATCACCATGTTGCTACATACCTTCCAATCGGTTGTCTCACGTACACACATAACCTCGGTTGGGCTCAGGGTTGGGGTCGTAAAATCTTCAATTCCGTATAAGCCATCTTGATAACCGTCTCCACGTATCCAAACCATGATGCTTTTCCCAACGCACCAACGCGCATCGCAACAACGCATCCACGCACCGTAATGTACAAGAAGTGATTATATAACTCAGACAGTGAGCAATGAGAATATGCGCACAGGATGCCTCGAAGCCAAGAGAAAGATGGACGACAAGAGAATTGATGGAACAACGACAACAGGTATTCCGCCCAATGTTTAAAATGAAAAACTTGCGCCGAGTAAGAGATGATGTGTGGTATGATGACAAGTATGTGAGAGTCGAAACGCCGCGCTGTACATGATCAAGGACATGATCTGGATGCCGAGCAGGATTATTTCAGGCCTGACAGGTCTCTTTGATATGAACCGTGATGAGGATCGGCCCTTCCTAAGAGATATGCGTGACTGCTAGGCAACAATACCTAGTTGCTTGCACCAGCCTGAAGTACCTCAGGTAAGATCGACCACGGCAGAGGCTAGTCGAAGTGGCGAATATGGAACAGTTTGAGGGCTGCCAGGCAACGTCTAGCTGCCTGCCTTCATTCTCTTGCCGCCGCCTACCCGTGGACTTTGCTTAATCTTGGGCCCATCGTCGTCCTGATCTAGTTTGACTGTACTCCGCCGTCGCTTCCCGGTGATGTTGGGCGAAGTGTTGACGCTAGCCGTGTGTGAACTCTGGCTCTGTTGCTTGACCATTTGGTGAGCTGCAGGGGATGGCGTGTGCATCATGTGAGGCGATCCGTTCATGACTCCATTGGGCAGTAATTGGTTCGCCATGGCTGGTGACATGAACATTGGTTGACCAGGCTGCCCTGGGCCCTGTGGTCCACGTGCGCCAGGCGGCATGTTTCCTTGTTGCTGTCCAGGGTTCGGTGGTCCTTGCATCTGTGGGTTTTGTTGGCCCATGGCGCCGGATGTGTTCTGCATCATGCTGTTCCAGGATTCGAGTGCTTCGCTGGGCTTCATGTTGGAGTTTTCAAGATAGTGAGTCATTAAACTCGACATGTTGTTCATCGTTTCGTAGATCTGATCCGGTCAGTGTCGGTACAGAGGTTGAGAGTGGTGAGAGAAGCTGACCTCAAGATAATGCTGCAGCGCAGGAGGTATGCCCAGATCGGTTACGCCAGTGCTGAGCAGCTTGGATAAAGGGAGGTATGGTTCTGGTGGCTCGAGTGCGTTGCGCTGTTGTTGCTGCTTGTTCTTGGCTGCATTCTTATTCATACGTGGCGACTGATTCGGGTTCATCGGGTTGGGAGACGGCTGCAGGAACAGCTGTTCCAGAGCATTGCGTGGGATGTACTGTTGATGACCTGTTCCTTCGAATTGCAGCCATTCCATTTTGTCAGAGCCTGACCAGAATGCTGTTAATTTTCCAGTGTATACGACCTGGCATATTAATCAGTACGAAGCTTGACGTGGAGTGTTGTAGGGGTATATACCTGACACTGGTTTTCGTAGGTGTAGATGAACTTTGCTCGGTCGCAGGTGACTTTGGTCTCGCCAGGTCCCGCGTTCTCCTTGGCACCGTCCAAGGTGATCTGGATGTTTTGGATATCCGTATTGAAGACCGTGTAGAAGTACCTCGGTAACGCGGCGCAGACAATCTCAAACTGCTTCGTGCGCTCCTTGGACGTGGAATAGAGCACGTGAATAAACGACCCACTGTCGTTGAAGAACTTGTCCACAAAGCTTTGCCACAAGGTCACCTGATTCTGTTCACCACGGGACGACTGGAATTGTTAGTCGAGGTTTTCAAACAGGGAATGCTATACCTACTGTGAACTTTCCTAACTGGTCTACAAAGTTCATCAGCTTCAGTGTCCCCTGTCCACCGGACTGAGCCTGGCTCTGCTTCAGCATGGCCATGTTCCGAGCTTGGGCTTGAGCCTGGGCAGCCTGGGCAGCCTGGGCTTGACTCTGTGCCTGTGCTTGCTGTGCCATTGCAGCGTTGCGCTGCTGCATCTGAGCTTGATTTTGGGGCTGCTGACTAGGTTGTTGAGGCAGGCTAGGGGGCTGAGCCGGTGCTGGTATCTGTTGCTGAGGTTGAGGACCTGACTGTTGCGGCTGTTGCTGCTGCTGTGGCTGTTGCTGTGGCTGCTGCGGCGGCTGTAGCTGTTGGGGAGGTTGCGGTTGGGCAGCAGGCGAAGCTTGTCCTTGATGGCTCATCGCAGATGGTGGGCGTAATGGGCCTTGCTGAGGCTGCGAAGTTGTTGGTGGTCCTTGGTTCCCAGACTGACTGTGATTGCTTGACTGAGACTGCGCATGCTGCATGGCAATTGCTTGTTGCTGTAAATGTTGTTGTTGTTGCTGCTGCTGCTGCTGTTGCTGCTGCTGTTGCTGCTGTTGCTGCTGTTGCTGCTGCTGCTGCTGCTGCTGCTGCTGCTGTTGATGCTGCTGTTGCTGCTGTTGCTGCTGCTGATGCTGCTGATGCTGTTGATGCTGCTGCTGGGCTTGCTGGGCTTGATGTGCGGCTTGAGCCTGTGCCATGGCAGCTGCTTGCTGAGGATTGCCTCCTTGTTGGCTGACCATTTGCTGCTGTTGTTGTAATTGTTGCAGATGTGGCGATAGTTGGACAAACGGCTGTCCCATCTGCTGCGCCCGTAGCTGGTGCATTTGCTGTGGGGTCATACCCGCCATGGCATTCGGGAATCCCATACCCATTCCGCCTTGCTGTTGAGCCTGCATTTGCTGCGATTGCTGCTGTCGCATAAAGGCCTGTTGCTGAAGAGCAGCCTGTCGTTGCATCATGGCAGGGTTTACTGTATGTGGTTAGCCACTATACGAAACAGACACTTGTCAAACTCACTCATTCCTGGGTGCTGTGGTTGCTGCTGGAACATCTGGGCTTGCTGCGGCTGCAGATGGGAAAGCGCATGTGCATTGGGCCCCATTCCGGGCTGCATACCCATCATGGGTCCAGCCTGGCTGACCGGGCCATTGGGACCTGATACACCCGGGTGCATGCCTGGTGGCATATGCTGGCCTGGATTTGGTCCTCCACCTGCCATGGGGTGCCCAGGCGGTAACCCTTGAGGATGCATGCCGCCGTTATGCGGAGGGTAGCTCGTTGTCATCATCTTGCTCGGTCAATGTGCGCAGAATGCGTGTTGCTGGCCGGTTTGTGGGGCCGAGGTTGCTGAGGAAGGGTCGCCAGACACGGCAGGTGCAACGGGCGACTCCAGGAAGGAGGAAGTTGGGGCGTGGTCCGTACTGCTACCGCTCACACAGCATGCGTGTCCAACGGAGTCAGAGCCAAGAGTAGAGGTGGCAGAGCAACGGCGTGTCGGCAGAGCAATCCAACTTTTCGACAACGATCCAAGTCTAGGACGCGAGAGCGCCGCGACAGTGAGGTGTAGGCTGCCCGCACAAATGTCGCGATCGGAGTAACGAACGCTGGGTCGGTCGGCGACCGGCAAGTGCCGCGGCTGAGATACGACAATGAAGCCTAGAGGGCGTCGCAGTCGCGCGGATGGGTGGCTCAGGCTCTCAGGCGCGCAGGGTGGTGGTGTCGAGAGGTGCTGCCGGTGTTGGCGCGATATGGGATCGTGCGGTCTGGTCGTGTCGCATCCGGTCCCGCCAGCAAAGCGATGTGGAAGCGAACCCTGAGATCAGGAGAGAGAGAGACCGCAATGGGCGCAGGGCGTGTCGTCTGTCAGCGGGCGAGTATGCGACAATGCATCCGCAGTGCGCAGAGGGTCCAGGGCCTGGAGTAGTGCCAGGAACGCAGGCGTTCGATGGTGGTGGTGTCGGGGTGATCTGCAGTAGGAGAGAGGAGGCCCGTTTCGGTTTCGGTGGCTGGACAACGTGATTTGTCGCGCGCTCGCTGCACACTTTCGCGACAGCAAAATGACTTCGCAGCAGGGGACCTTCAGGATATGTCGCCTTTTTTGTTCGACTGCGTCTACTGCGATACTCCTATAGCATCCAGGATCCTGGAGGCCTTCCGGTATCCACACTTTGCTGGCGGGTGACGCTGTCTGAGTTCGGCCTCAGAACCTTGGCGCCGCGCTAGTGCGAGCTCTCACTTTTCTCCCAGCTGTTTCTGCACTTTCTTTCCAATACCTTTTCGAACACCGCCCAACACCGAGTTTCCCCACCGCGCACTATCGTGCTCTGGATGCCGACGCTGCGTTAGGAATCTCGTGTTGGGCCCGCGTGAATCACATCACCAGGTAAGTTTCTTCACTATTTTCTCTGCTTTTCGCACACTTGGCGAGATGATACTCATGCAACTTCTTTTCCAATCCGATTCGACCTTGAAGAAAGCAGCGCTGTTCGGTTGCCCTTCGCCGGGCGACTGCTACTTGCCAGTACTGTTGTCTGACCTCCATATCTACTCTTGTGTTCTACTAGATATTCGGCTTCTCCTTGCTAACAGCCAAGCACAGAATCGAATGTAGACCTGCGCACTCGCCTCGCTCGCGCACCTGGTATGTCTGAGGTGACTCACCACAGTCTGGAGGTCTGCTGCCTCTCAAGCTCTGCAATCGTGCAACACATCAGGATCGCCCTCTGGGCCGCCTCGTTCATGCTAACCGTCAGATCCTCTAGCTTGCTTAGCTGTATACTATGGTACGTTACACGTGATTTTCTTCTCTGTTACATCCTCATCCTACATGATGAAAAACTTCCACAATTCGCAGTTTCCACGCTAGCCCCAAATGAACCTTTTTCGGGGACAATGAGCGCGAATACCTTCCTTGGATGTCTGATCTTTGGCACTATCCATACATTGCTTTTTCGACCTGCTCTCTCGAAGCATGTGCTAACGAGCATGACAGATGTGACACGTTCGCCGCCTAACTGCACCGCATGCTTACGACAGCCCTCGACGTGCCTTCGATACACTCGAATCTTCTATTCTTAGGGAGCGGACACGTCAGTGGCACAGTTGGATATACTAGTAGCTTTGATAACGAAAAACTTTGCTTGGCATGCAAATCTTCTCTCATACGTGATGTGCGAACCATGACCCTTCAGCTGTGAGCGTGAACAGTTTTATTCTGTCCAAGCTGCGCCTGCATGCACGAAAACTTCCAACAGCGCCATTCTCATCACAATCTGTCGCAGTCACGGCATGTCAGAGGATAAGCTCAGGAAAGACAGACTCTGGTATGCCAAAGGGCAAGTCAGCGCCGAGAATCGATATGGATTGAATGTGCGTCGTTGTAGTGTGCTGGTCTAAGAAAACGTGCAGTGCGGTGCTGTGGTTATCAACTCGTGAACGGCGTCATGGCGCACTGACGTTTCCAAGCTGCAACGCTAGCTTCCCGCCCACCACCTCCAACTTCGTCACCCAGACCTGCGAGGACCACCGCCTATTGCGCCCCGCCAAACACTCTGCCTTGAGCGACACCCACCTCGAACCGCTCATCATCACCGCCAGCATGGCCAGCCTCGACCCCCGCATGATGTCCGTCCAGCCTCGGATACGATACAACACGATTGGCGGCGTGAACGGTCCTCTGGTCATTCTCGACAACGTACGCAGCTATCGAAGCTCCAGCGCAATGCGATATAGGCTTACACGCTTGGTGGATAGGTCAAATTCCCCCGATTCAACGAGATCGTCTCTCTGACGCTGCCTGATGGCACCGAGCGCTCTGGACAGGTCCTCGAAGCTCGAGGTAAGCTCGCGCAGCCCTGCATCTACGCGCAGAAGCTAATATCAGCATACAGGCGACCGAGCCGTCGTTCAGGTATATCAATACTGCAATACTCGCCACCCTACATGTTCCTAATCGTGACGCAGGTTTTCGAAGGCACATCTGGAATTGACGTCAAGAAGGTACATGCAAACGCACGGTTCTTGGAGGACACATCTGACAGACGCAGACCAAAGTCGAGTTCACAGGACACAGCTTGAAGCTTGGTGTCTCCGAAGACATGTTGGGTCGTATCTTCGATGGATCTGGAAAGGCCATCGACAAGGGCCCCAAGGTGCTTGCTGAGGACTACCTCGACATTAACGGTAGCCCTATCAACCCGTACTCTCGAGTAAGGCACTCCATAAAACAAACGATGACTTTGAGGCTGATGCGTCTAGGTGTACCCCGAAGAGATGATCTCCACCGGTATCTCCGCTATCGACACCATGAACTCGATTGCCCGTGGCCAGAAGATTCCCATCTTCTCTTCGTCCGGTCTGCCCCACAACGAGATTGCTGCTCAGATTTGCCGACAGGCTAGTTTGGTCAGTGGACCTACTAGGGTTGACAAGGGCGTCCACGACGGACACGCAGACAACTTCTCCATTGTTTTCGGTGCTATGGGTGTCAATTTGGAGACGAGCCGTTTCTTCACAAGAGATTTCGAGGAGAACGGCAGCATGGAGCGCGTCACCCTGTTCTTGAACTTGGCGAACGACCCTACGTAAGTGGACATGGCAGACCCAGGTCGACTTCACTGACGCAGAACAGCATCGAACGTATCATCACTCCTCGTCTCGCCCTTACCACCGCCGAGTACTACGCTTACCAGCTCGAGAAGCACGTCTTGGTCATTCTTACCGACTTGTCCTCCTACTGCGATGCCCTTCGTGAGGTCTCCGCTGCCCGTGAGGAAGTGCCTGGTCGTCGTGGTTACCCCGGTTACATGTACACGGATTTGTCGACCATCTACGAGCGCGCTGGTCGTGTTGAGGGCCGCAACGGTTCCATTACCCAGATCCCCATTCTGACCATGCCCAACGACGGTGAGCACCATGTAACACGCATACTCAATCGTGCATAGACTAACTGGGTTTAGATATCACACATCCCATCCCCGATTTGACAGGTTACATTACGGAAGGCCAGATCTTCATTGACCGTCAGCTGTACAACAAGGGTATCTACCCGCCGATTAACGTCCTGCCGTCGCTCTCTCGTCTCATGAAGTCTGCCATTGGTGAGGGCCGCACACGAAAGGACCACGGCGATGTCTCCAACCAGCTGTACGCCAAGTACGCCATTGGCCGTGACGCCGCCGCCATGAAGGCAGTTGTTGGTGAGGAGGCCCTGTCGTCGGAAGACAAGCTGTCCCTTGAATTCCTCGAGAAGTTCGAGCGCTCTTTCATCGCCCAGGGTGCGTACGAGGCCCGTTCCATCTTCGAGTCGCTCGACCTCGCGTGGTCCCTGCTCCGTATCTTCCCCAAGGAGCTCCTCAACCGTATCCCCGCCAAGATCCTCGATCAGTACTACCAGAGGAGTCGAGGCCAGGGCGACAACAAGAAGACTGCGGCTGCGAAGGATGCGAGGGACAACGTGGCCCAGAACGAGGAGCAGAACGGGCAGCAGGGCGAGAACCTGATCGACGTATAAGATGCGGAGGGTGTATAATCGATCGTCAAGTCATAGTCAGCGAAATAGATACTTTGAGTTTCTTTGCGAAATTGTTCATCAGCAAGTGCAATCCCCTCAAAGTGTTGAATGATGATAAACCGAAGTGAAGGCAAGTTCTGATGTAAATATAACAACTCGTCTTCACCTCAGATCAGACGTAAACAAATTCCATGTCATATCGACCGCAACTCGTCACCCGCCCACTGGTACTGCTGCCGTTTCTCGTTTCTCGCAATCTTGACCGTGACTGCATACTCTTGGTGTACGGCAATGGATACTCTCAGGTAAGAACAAACGATTTCCTGCTTCTCTTAACTTTGATCAAACGGTGGAGGGCGCCAATTTACCACCGTTCGATCTACGATATCAACTTGACCCCTAAGGGATCCTATACATGGAGGTGTGTACTTCTACCCACACATCCCTTTGCAAGAGCGTGAGGCTCTTCACACTTTGATGACCAGCCTCGATCAGTTTGCATTCGGACGGTGGACTGGGGCTGTGCCTCCTGTGCACCCAAGCATAGGACCTCCACTCGGCACTGAAGTGCGCGTGGTCCACTCATGGCGCCAAGGAGAGCAACCGTACGTCACCGTGGGACTGATCTGGGTGTACTAAGATATGTGAGTTGACGCTCCTCACGGCACTGTGGCCATCTTAGTTTGCTATACAATGAATGAACTGATGGACTCTAGACGTTGTGGACATTATGTGACGATGGCGCACATCTACCTGGACGGCTCGGAATCTGTGGGTTTTAACGGACTACGTTGGTACAAGAAGACCGGCAAGAGAATGTGGCATTTCTGGTCAGTGAGGCTTCGCGAATCGAAAAGACATTCAGCAAGAGAATTGACCTAGTGCAACGAAATTGTCCTTGGCCAACGGACTTTCGTCCACCTGGAATGCCAACGCTCAACCGTGAGAGGCATCTTCCTCTTATCCTATTCATCGACCTCTTCTCCTTCTCCCTACAGTTCCCTTTCCGACTCTCGATCTCCTTCGCCTTATCGTCGGCCACCACCAACACCAGCCTCGAATCGTTCTTCCTTCACCTCCAGGTCACCTTCGCCCCTGAGCTCTGAACGGTCTTCATACTCTGATTTGGTATGTCCAATATTGTACAGTCTCATGCTCTTGTTGTTACACTCCCAGAACGCCTTTCGCTAACATGCAGTGATACAGTCTTCTCCTACTCCCATCTTCACTTCGCCCTGGGACTCGCATTGTCGAACTCCTCCACGCCAGCCCGAGGACTGCCCATCGGTTCCACCCTTCTCGCCCCTCGATCTGGCACTACAACCGTAGATGGACTTTGCGTGTAGAAATTGCCGAGTATCGCCCACATCTTGTCTCGCAGTCCCTGGAATGGCTGCTTGCCCTTTTCTGGGTTCATTGGATCGTTGGCGAAGTCGTAGAAGAAGATGCCGTGCACGACGATGAAGCTGATCATGCTCCACTGCACGATCTTGGTCCACTTATTCCAAGTTGGCTTGATCGACTTCAGCCGTGTGCGGCGCTTGAACTTGCGCTCGAAGTGGAATTGTTGCTTCTCGGTCAGCTCGCGGAGATTGGGCGGCCATGTCTTCTTTGCGCGGAATCGATTGCGGGCGAAGTCGAAGGGCGGGAGCTGGCTCTGCTTCCGGCCAAGCAGGCGGTTGATAAAGCCCATCGCCGACATGGCGTCGGTTGTGTATGCGACAATTGACGACGGTGAGGTCTTGAATGCGGCGCTGCGAACCTCCAAACTGATGATGTTCGAACAAACCTCCGGACAGCTCGCGCAGGGCTGCGCTAGCCAGTCTTGGCATCGCACTTTTGCTAGGTATGACTGGAGGGGGAGGCCAAAGCGCTCTCCAGCATCCCGCCTTGTCACAACTAGCAGGCCACTTCTTTCTTACGCTCCCTTTTGCCACTTTACATATTCGAAAACATGGCGGAAGCCGCAGTCCCCAAGGGCGTTTCAAAGGACGCCGTTACTGCGACAATTGACTTGCTCAAGCCACAGGAATCGCAAGACAAGACGCTCAAGATCGAGAACACCGAAAAGCGTGATACTTTAATCGAAGCCGAGAAGCGCTACCAAAAGTCGTGGGAAGAGCAGGGAGTTTTCCAACCGGACGCACCATCTCTCGAGGAAGTACCGTTCGACACCAACCCGGAGGACTTGCGTGCAAAGCACCCAAAATGGTTCGGTAACTTCGCTTACCCGTACATGAACGGAACTCTGCACGCCGGCCATGGTTTCACTGCGTCGAAAGTCGAGTTCACTGCTGGTTTCCAGAGAATGACTGGCAAGCGAACTCTATTCCCTCTCGGTTACCACGTGACTGGCATGCCCATCAAAGTGAGCCCCCACCGCCCAAACGACATTGGACGAGAAGTGCTGACTGCATAGGCATGCGCAGACAAGCTTGTCAGGGAAATCGAGCAATTCGGCCAGAACTTCGAACGATGCCCTGTCGAGGATGTCATCGAAGGTGGCCCTCAGGAACCACCTGCGCCTACACAGGCCGAGACCAAGACTGACCTCACCAAGTTCAAAGCTACCAAGGGAAAGGCAGCTGCCAAGACTGTCAAGACCAAATACCAGTTTCAGATCATGCTAGCGCAAGGCATTCCCGTTGAGGAGATACACAAATTCGCCGACCCGTACCACTGGATCCAGTTCTTCCCTCCTCTGGCCAAGCGCGATCTCACAAACTTCGGTGCCAGGATAGATTGGCGACGACAGTTCGTTACCACAGACGCTAACCCATACTACGACTCTTTTGTTGCATGGCAGATGCGTAAGCTCAAGGAGTTGGGCAAGATCATCTTCGCAAAGAGGTACACGATCTACAGTCCCAAGGACGGCCAAGCGTGTATGGATCACGACAGGCAATCTGGTGAGGGTGTCGGTGTTCAGGAGTACACAGCTCTGAAGATGAAGGCAGTACAATGGTCGGACTCGGCGAAGGCTATCATTGATGGCAAGCTCCCTGAGGGCGCCAACGCATACTTCATCCCTGCTACTCTGAGGCCTGAGACCATGTACGGCCAGACCTCGTGTTTCGTGGGCCCCACCATCGAGTACGGACTTTTCCACGTCAAGGACAACGAGTACTTTGTCTGCAGTCAGCGTGCGGCGCGCAACATGAGCTACCAGCCTGGCACACCCGGTACATTCAAGGAGGAGGGCAAGACCAACCAGATTGCCAGCTTCAAGGGTAAGGATCTTGTTGGCACCATCGTCAACGCTCCTCTGTCTGTCCACAAGGATGTTTACATTCTTCCCATGGAGACTGTCAAGGATACCAAGGGTACAGCGGTCGTCACCTGTGTGCCATCGGACTCGCCCGATGACTACATCACATCGCTTGATCTGGCGAAGAAGGCCGAGTACTACGGTATCCAGAAGGAGTGGGTCAAGTTTGACGACATCCTCCCTATCATCGACACTCCTACCTACGGCAACCTCTGCGCAAAGAAGCTTGTTGAGGACTTGAAGATCCAGTCGCCCAAGGATTCCGCGAAGCTTGCAGAAGCAAAGGATAAGGCGTACAAGGAGGGCTTCTACAAGGGTACCATGGTGTACGGCGAGCAGAAGGGTAAGTCGGTTGAGGAGGCCAAGCCTCTTGTTCGCAAGCAGCTCATCGACGCCGGAGACGCCTTTCCATACGCTGAGCCTGATGGCAAGGTCATCAGCCGAAGTGGTGACGACTGCGTTGCTGCTTTGCTGGATCAGTGGTACATGAACTACGGTACCGCAGAGAACGGTGGTGACGGTGAATGGGCCGAGAAGGTCCGCGCCCACATCGAGAGCGAGCTCAACCTCTACTACCCCGAGGCTAAGAACCAGTTCTTGCGTGTAGTCGACTGGCTGGGCAACTGGGCTTGCGCACGTTCGTATGGTCTTGGATCGAAGGTGCCCTGGGATGAGGCTGTCATGGTCGAGTCTCTGTCGGATTCTACGATCTACCAGGCCTACTACTCGTTCGCGCATCTCCTACACAAGGACATGTTCGGCAAGGAGCCTGGTCCTCTCAACATCAAGCCTGAGCAGTTTACCGACGATGTCTGGGACTACGCTTTCGGCCGCCGCGAGCGCACCAGCCTTCCCGAGTCAGACATTGCCAAGGAAGCTCTGCAGACCTTGAGGAGGCACTTCGACTACTGGTACCCGCTTGACATGCGTACCAGTGGTAAGGATCTGATCCAGAACCACTTGACCTTCAACCTCTACGTCCATACTGCTATCTTCCCTCAGGAGAACTGGCCACGTAGCTTCCGTGTCAACGGTCATCTGCTCCTGAACGGTGACAAGATGAGCAAGTCGACCGGTAACTTCCTCACCATCGCCGGTGCTGTTGAGAAGTTCGGCGCGGATGCCACGCGTCTGGCCCTTGCCGATGCTGGTGACGACATGAACGATGCTAACTTCGAGGAGACTGTCGCCAACGCCAATATTTTGAAGCTGTACGAGCTCCGCAAGTGGTGCGAGGAGCTTGTTCGCGAGAAGATAACCATCGTCGATGGCTCTAAATACACAGAGACCAAGGAGAAGGAGCGCGTCAGGAACCCCGACGTCATCCAGCGCCAGAGCGGAAGCGAGCGTGTACTCCTCGACGACCTGTTCGATAACGAGATGAATGCCCTCGTCGCCGAGACATACGGTCACTACTCCGGCACAATGTACAAGGCAGCCCTCAAGTCTGGATACCACGACTTTACCTCCGCTCGTGACTTCTACCGCGAAGCTACCAAGGCCGCCGGTATTGGTATGCACGAGGACCTTGTCAAGAAGTTCATCGAGCTCCAGGCTCTGATGATCGTCCCAATTGCCTCTCACTGGGCTGAGCACATCTGGCTTGAGGTTCTCAAGAAGGACGAGACCATTCAGAAGGCACAGTGGCCTAAGGTCCCTGAGGCTAATGCCCGCCTTTCTGCGGCCCGGGACTTCGTCCGCACAACACAGTCGAACATCACCTCTGCTGAGGGCGCGGCCGTCAAGCGTCTCAGCAAAGGCAAGGCTGCGAACTTCGACCCCAAGAAGGAGAAGAAGATCACCATCTTCGCGGCGCAGGAGTTTCCCGCTTGGCAAAAGAAGTACATCACCCTAACTAGTCACCTGCAATCTATATCGTGCTAATACGTGATACAGGTACATCCAGATGATCCGCGACAACTACCCCAACCTTGACATCAAGGCCCTCAGCAAGCAGATCGATAAGTCCGAGTCCAAGAAGGCTATGCCCTTCATCAACGCCCTGAAGCGCCGTCTCGACTCTGGCGAGCCCTCCGACGTCGTTCTCAACCGCGAGCTCGCTTTCAACGAGCTCGACACTCTGCGCTCCATGGTGCCTGGTCTCAAACAGACTGTACAGAAGTGCGTGGACGTTGAGATAATCTCTGTTGCTGATGGTGGAAAGGAGGGTGTTGTCATCAAAGAGGATGGAAGCAAGGGCGAGGAGAGGAAGGAACTGCCACCGCAGGCGGGCAGTGCGGAGCCGGGCAGCCCAAGCTTTGCGTTTGAGAACGTTGAGAGTCTGCCTGTGAGGTAAAGAGCTGGAACGTTGGCATGACCTGGAATTTGGACAATGACCAGAAAGAGATAAACGATGCGCATGACAAAACATAGATGATGAAATCTACGAAGATATTGTGAAAGACCAAGAGCAAGAACCAACGTTGTCTATTTTGATTCCCTCGTATGTAAATTTGAAGACCACCACTGCCGGGTATTGCAACAACTCCCACCACCTCAGTTTGATCAGAGCACTTGTCTTGGCTTGGTCAACATAGGTAACGTACAGCTCGGCCGGTTGACCGCAGCACTCTAAGACTTTGAAAGGACTCTTCTCTAGTAATGAAGCGAAGAAATGCCGTAGCTCATGTAGGGGGACCAGACGAAGGACCGCTACTCAGACCATGCTCTACGTCTTCTTGGATCGACTGTTGGAGTCCCACTAGCAGCTCAAGCTTCTCTGCATACGACAGACTCTTCGAGTCTGAGCAGGAAAGCTTCTTGGTTGTGAACCGTTGTTGGCAACGTCTTCAGGGCCCCTCTAAAAACCGGATGGACTGGCAGCCCGATCTGCAGCCGCCTCACGCACACGCCTTTCAATAGCTTCCTGAGCCATCTTCCTGAGATCGGCCAGTTCTGTATCAAATCCCTCAATCTCTCGCTCGATGTTGGCGAGGTCAATTTGGCGGGCCGAATCCTCCGCAGCAGCTCGATCAATCACCTCTTGCGCTTTATCCAGTTTTACTGCGTTCTGACTGTCCACCAAGCGCCTGTTGAGGTCGCGTATGTTCTTTAGGTCGTATTCCACCTCGTCGTCGTCGTCGCTCAGATCGATCACCTCATCTTTCTCATCATCAGAGTCAGGAATGTCGCTCCATTTCTCTGCATCCTATGCGTCGTTAGCGGCGCCCATAAATACCAGTCTACAACTCACTTCATCTCTTATTTCTTCTTCTTCACTGTCTTGCACGGGGTGAGGGTGGCTGATTCGAAGCCATGCTGGTCCGTATCAGTATGTATGGCCTTAGTCTGGCAAAGGGGGCGCAAGCCTTGGGTTGATCTGATCGGTAAACACTGTGGGCGGGCTAGGTGAGGAGGTGAGCTGGGCGCAGTAGAAATATCAAGAGTGCATTTGCTGTGAACAGTAGCGCTTGCCTGATTTGCGTGAATTGCTGCAGCAACACGCCCCTTTTACTGTTGTGGTCGATCCTTTGCAAAACCAAGACCTGTGCTCAGAACAGTCTAGAACAATTTGCATCGTACCGTGTAAATGAAGGTGAAGTACTAGCCGAACAGGCAGCCACAGAAGATTCTCAGCTCACTTCAGTTCTCCCCACAACGCCCGCGCTCTATTGATCCCGCGAACATGGCGCACTCTGAGAACGGTGCCCTAAACGTTTCTGACGAGAACCTTCATATCCGCAGCGAAGAGAGCGAAAATGAGCCGAGCTTCCACAAGGCCGTTCTGGCCAAATCTTATGAGATGATGGAGGAGTATAATAACACATCAACAGATTTGATTGACGATTACGAGGCTCGACTACAGGCACACTAAAAGGAATTACGAAATATATACGCATGACATCGCCAGTGACTATGGAAGTAAATCATGGCAACTACAGGTCTCCAGTTGAACGCGAGAATATGCCCGCAAAGGTTCCTCTCAAAAGAGAAAATACGTTTATACACAAACCAGCACACCTTTTAGCTATCTCTCATTGAGCTCCGGTTCTGAAGGGGTACCGGGCCCGACTTTTCCCTTATAAACTACATACGGTTCAGCCGACTGATCACGGCAACACATGGCTCGAAATGGACTTATCTGTGGTAACGAAGCGAAGTGTTGGCACAAGTCATGTGAAGTAGGCCGTCACTTCTCGTTTCGGTTCAACATGCCAATAATATTGTCGAACAAGCCGGCGACTTCGCCATATTGGTGCTTTGCAAAAGTTGTTGACCCCCCCCCCCTCCTTATGATGTAACATATGATTTTAGTGAACCAGAACTCAACAGAGGTGTATATAGAGTGATCAACCATGTGTCTCTTTCTTTCTCCTTCACTCTCAACTCAACAGTCACGCCTCACAATTGATGGCTCGCCTTCCTCTGAACATTTTGCAAGACACCCTCATTGCCATTGCTGATGGATGGGGTAACAAATCTATCGCTAGAAGGTTGCTGGTGTCAAAAAATACTGTCAAACGCATCAGACTTTACATGAATATGAGTGGGAGACCATACTTTCCACCCTCTGTCACTCAGGGTAGACCTCACAACCTTCTTCCCATGCAAGAACAGGTGAGTACGGTGAAGGATAAGGCACCGGAGAAGTGTCTGTGGCTGACAAATTGCTTCTTGACTGAGTGGCTGAGTGGCTGAGCACAACACAACGTACTTAGATGAATGTGTTAACTGAATAGCCAAACAATTTGGCCTTGATGTGGGCCCTTGGACCGTTTTTCGCGTGCTGCAAAGGGCAAAGTATACTCACAAAGTTGCAGCAAAGCACTCTAAACACCTGAAGAATGAGCTTCGCAACCACTAGTTTGCAAAGGCTAGGACCTTTAGGGCTGACCAAATAGTTGCTATTGATGAGTCCGCTGCCAATGAGCGCACTGCTGAAAGGTGCAGAGGATGGGCACCAGTGAACTCAGAGTGTGTAGCCACCTACAACACTGTTCGTACTCCTCCATTGAGTGTACTTCCGGCAATGGATATCAACGGTTACTTTGCTTGGGAGGTCATACCTGGTAGTTACACAAAGGAGCTCTTCGAGGCCTTCATCATCAGCAAAGTACTGCCCAAGTGCAACCCTTGGCCGGCTCCAAGGTCTACCATAGTGATGGACAACGCTTCACAGCATGACATTCCTTATCCCCGTGCCATCTGTGGTGCTCAAGGTGTGCAGGTGGAGCAGCTGCCGCCGTACTCACCGGACTTCAACCCCATTGAGCAGACTTTCCATGTCCTGAAGACTTGGGTGAGGAGAAATTGGGAACTGGTGCAAGACTTTGCAACATTAGGGGATTTTCTGGACCATAGAGTAAGGTTCTGAATGGTCAGACGTAACTGCAGGGGCATGTATAGAAGGTGTATGTATCAAGAGGAGGCGGTTGGTGAGATGTGATGGCATTGATGACAGTTGGAAAAACACTCCATTGGCAGAGCTGTTGCACAACTCTACACAGTCACAGTAATTATTTTTGAGAGTCAGTAACGATACTTTGGATGCCGCAGAACAATTTGGCTTGATCAGATTTATTGCAATAGGTTGTTTTGGTTGTGCTTGGAATGCTTGAAGTTGAGCGTCGTTGGGATCGTCCGGCTCTTCTGCAACAGGTGTTTTGGGTACGCGTGCTTCCACCTCATTGTTATCGTCGTCTTTGTTGTTGTTGACTTCATCCTCTGTTGTCTGATCATCAGTGAATGCTGGGAGGTTGCTGAGTGGTGATGTTGAGAGTCTGTAGCTCTCCTGAGTCTGACATTGTTGAGTGAAGGAATCCTCAAGCTCCTGGCCACGTGCAGTGAAAGTACGCTTCCTTACCTGCCTGAGAAGCCATCTATGAGGTTGTCAGTATCAGAAAAGTGAGGGTTGACAGCATACTCACAACAGCAGCCACTATAAACACCTGAACGCCCTCACCGGCTCCCCTGGCTGTCACTATGGTTCTGGTACACTCTTTGTGGAAGGGTTGAGATGTTGATTGATTCTTTTTAGCTATGGGCTAGAATCGATCGAGTCTATATAGTGTTGGGGAAGCAAACTGAGCTAACAAAATGAGCTGGACAATCAGTGCAGCGGACCGTTAGCAAACACTGCAACGGACCGCTAGCAAACAGATGGCGATCGGTGGATACCTTCACTCCCTCCGACACACCCCCTCAACGATAGCCAGCAAAGTGTTCAAAGTTCAGCCTCCACCCCCTGATATCATGGCTCGTGAACTTGTTAATTGTCAAATGTTGTGTTGTAATAAAGGAAACTGGTCAGGGCTCAAGGCCAAAGTAGTGTAGCGCTCTAAGCAGGATGTCGTAGGGCTCAGGGCCAAAAGTAGTGTAGAGCTCGGGGCCAGGTAGTCGCTCTTGGTGAAGGTGAAGTAGTCACTTATAGTGAAGAAAAGTGTAGGGCTGTAAATTGCCAGGTGGTAGGGCCAAGAAGTGTAGAGCCCTTAAATGAGCTGGAAGAAAGTGTTCTTGCAGTGAGAATCAAAAACTTGGTGTTTTAAGCACTGTAGTACTGAGACTCAGAAGAGGAAGCTTTGGAGGCCTGCTGATTGCGGCAAGTTGCTAACCGTGGTCATAGCGGTGCCAGTCTTGGTGTTGTTGCCGTTCTTCTCCTTGGCCCAATCGGGACGCTTCTCTGGGTGAGCTTTCCAGCAGTCCTCTGGACGGTGAGGCTTCTTGGCATGTGGGCAGAGCTTGCAGTGGGTGTAGTTGACGTTCTTGATGAGGGCAGCAGACATGGAGACTGGTGAGTTCTTGTCATCGGCACGACGCTGGTGCTCAAGAATAGCAGAAGATGCTTGCTCAAATGTAGGTGGGGAGTCTTGGAGTCCCCACATCTGTACAAGTGTGTCAAACTGAGATGGGAGGGTCATGGTGAGGCAGAGGAGAGCTCGTTTCTCTGAGGTGAGCTCTACCTTGGTGCGGGTGATCTTGTCATTGATAGTGTGGATATGAGTGAGGTATGATTCCGTACCAGGGAAGTGCCAAAACTTGGTGTCAAATAGCTCACGCATTAGCATGAAGAACTCAGTATCCGTAGATGGCTCGTAAAGCTTCTTGAGGTGAGTCATCATCTTGAAGGCATTGTTGAAATCCTCTTCTAAGAGCTTGGCCTTGACAGATGCATGGAGTGTGAGTGTGATGATGTTGGCTGCTTTTTCAGAGTTGGCTGTCCACTCGCGGCGAGCACGGCGTTCAAGTGTGGCCTTGTCAGGAGCTTCCTCAGTGGTTGTAGGTTGAGCTTTGAGAAGCTCAATGCCGGCAGCAATGACTTCTGCGCCATCAGACTGTGTGTTGATCCAGTAGTTGCGAGTGCGGAGGATTGCGCGGATGTCAATAAGCCAATTGGCGTATCCATCCTTGTCCTTGAGGGGCGTGATCTTGAAGTGTTCAGTCATGGTGTTGACACGTTGGAGTGCAGTGAAGGTGTGAAAGTATAGCTGCAAGTGCAGAAAGAGTGTGTAGCTGCGCACATGCAGAGGAAATGGAAAGAGTACTGTTGCTGAGAGCAGCGCAGCAGAATTAGTGCGGTTGAGGGCTCATAACCTGTGGAAGGGTTGAGATGTTGATTGATTCTTTTTAGCTATGGGCTAGAATCGATCAAGTCTATATAGTGTTGGGGAAGCAAACTGAGCTAACAAAATGAGCTGGACAATCAGTGCAGCGGACCGTTAGCAAACACTGCAACGGACCGCTAGCAAACAGATGGCGATCGGTAGATACCTTCACTCCCTCCGACACTCTTGCACTAATATCAACTCATCCATGGAAGGATTTAACTTAAAAAGTACAGGTCAACTATCTCTATTAACCATGGCACGCCTCACAGTACTATAATGACTTTCACAAGTTGCTGACCCCCTCTGTCTGGAAACCATGATGCCATCTACCAATGAAGTTGTTCTTTGGGCCAAAAAGCCATATCTCATCATGGTTTCCAGACAGAGGGGGGTCAGCAATTTGTGAAAGCCACTGAAACTACTACAACTATGGTAGCGCCGGCTCTGAAATGCTGACCTGAAGGACTCCTTAATCGTCACCAGCAACGTACATTCACTCTAAGAACTACATCACCCCTATACGGCCAATGAGCGCTCTCCATTCTTGTATTACTACTGCTTGGTGACGTTGGGGGGGGGGGGGGGTCAACAACTTTTGCGAAGCACTATAGTGATCTTCAGCTACATCACTGCGTAACTTCTCGTTGATCCATGCCACCACATTTCTTTCTACTATCGAGTATGGCTGAGAGCCCTCGCGCCCAGTAACACAGGCAACATATGCCTTTAAGTCATCCAGCGTATGATCTGCGCAAACCGTCAAGATCTCTGTGAGCACGCATCCAAGGGAGAAGACGTCTGATGCTGGCGAGGCTTCATAGTAATCCAAGGTCTCCGAGCACAGTATTGGGCCGTGAAGCTCCCCACACCTCTGGTCGTGCCATAATTCGGTAGTGAACACGTGAGCGAGATGCCAAAGTCGCCTAGATAGATCTGCCAGAGCTTAGTATCGGTGTCCAGTCTTCTGACAAGGACGTTTGCAGGTTTGATGTCGAGATGGTTTGTTCTGTTTGCGTGCATGAAGGCCATTGCGGACGTCTTGGTAAGACCGGACCAAATGCAGATTCGAAGTAGCTGTTTGCTGGATATGAAGAGTTAAAGATGAGAAGAAGTAGAAGTTGGACCTGACGTCTCCATAAATTTGCTGATTGCACAGCCTTAACTGCGCTTTCCTGCAGAGATGACGGATAGGGCTAAGTGAAACAAATGCAGGAACTCAACGGCGTGCCCTTTGAAAAGGCCGCACACAGAAACCAAATCAACTTAACGACAACGATATGGCAGCACCACAACCAGATTTGATTCAGAAGTAATCCGTAGGTTCAAGAACGTGGCAGCACGACGTAACGATGGACAAGAGCAAGCCTTCGGCTGAGTAATACCATGGACAAATGAGACGTCGGTTGTGAGTGTGTATCAGTGAGCTTTGAATCACGGAAGCTACAAGCTATCGAGTGAGAACATGCAAAGTAACTAGGCATGAGTAGAATGAATCACATTGACGCGCGGCGATCAGACAGCCAAGAAACCTTCAAGATGAACCATGGAAAGAAATATTATTCACGGGCCTTTCTTGGCTCTCCGTGCCGCTATGTATCATTATCAAATCACGCAGAACTTTATGAGAACCGATCAACATCTACCATTTAATCTTCTTATCCTTGCCAATGTACTCATCGATAATACCAAGGTAGTACTCCTTAAGATCCTCAACCTTGGGGATGTCATCAGACTTGCTGTACAAATCGTAAGGGTTGAATGCCCGGACAGCGTCCAGCATCTTGTGGTCCTTCTCGTTCATCATCCACCTGTACGCGTTCTCCTTGTGCCAGGGGTAGAAAGAGTGGTAACGGATCATAGCCAGACCCTCGTCAGGAATGGTCGACTGGTCCTTCATGATGTGGTAGAGGTACTCGTCGTGGCCCCAAGACAGCATGACGTTGTCAAGACCGCAGCCGGGCACGTAAATGCCGTGCTCGGTGCTGTAGATCTCGTCGTTGTAGTCTGGGTTGTTCTTGAAGGTGTCGGGGTAGATGATCCGCTTGTCGAAGGCACAGCCGACGGGGAATGTGTCGCCGACGACGTCCCACTGGCCCTGGGCGTCGTAGAAGAAAAGGAGCTTGCCGAGGTCGTGGATCAGACCTACGAGCTGGAACCAGCGGGGCTTGCCGTCACGGCGGATAGCCTCAGCAGACTGGAGGAGGTGGTCGATCTGGGAGAGAGATGTGTCGGGGTCGGACTCGTCAATCAGTGTGTTGAGCTTCTCCATAGCTTCCCAGATAGTCATCTCAGCACGGGTCTTGCCGTGGAAGTGGTTGCGGGCACGCAGGTTATAGGCTACGGTCTGCTTCTCGTGCTGCTCGCGGTAGAAGTTCTTGACGCGGTCGCATGCCTCCTCGTACTGGCGGAACTGTGTCTTGTCCTTCTCTGAGTCGAACGCGGACTGTGCGTAGATGTCCTTCTCTTCCTGTGTGGCAGTGCCCTGCTTGACCTTCACAGCGGCCTTGAGGACGTTGACGTTGTCGATGGCGTCTGATGTAGCCTCGAGCGCAAGACCATCGCGGTGGTCGTTGAAGTTCTCAGCCACATTGGGCTCCTCGAAGATGGCGCCTGGTGCCATTGTGATGTATGTGTGGGTGGGTTGTTAAGCGTGTACTCTCGCTGAATCTTTCATGCGATAATGGTGAAGTCTGAGGATGAGATAATTGGTAAAGCTTGGATGAAGTGATGCTGATGCTGAGATGTGGCGCGAGCAGTAAAAGTACTTATCTTCTGTTACCCCAGCCCACATCGGCGGGCTTTTTCTAAGTTCAGTAGCATCACCATGTCCAGAAGCAGCCTCTCTATGGACAGAGAATTCTCACTCTCCATCTTAGGTCCACTGAAACGAGAACTCCCCGCGATGGAGGGCTGAAAGTAGAATGCGGGGAAATTCTGCCCGCGCGTCAGATCGCATGCGAGAGATCCGGGGTTCTGGAAACCAGCGCTGGACGGATCTGCTGCAGAATTGTGTGGCAGATGGTTGGTCGGCTTCTCTTAGCCTTCACATCGACGAGCGGTTTGTGGACCCTGCGCGTGTCGTCGGCGGCGAGTAGCCAGTTCGAGATCAGACAGAGTAATTCTCGCCGTTCCCTCAACGCCCAGCCACTAGTGTCGGTTGTTAAGCGGGCTGTTGATTACACGGGAGTGCTGCGTGATGACGGACGCCATGCACAATTCAAGTCACGTGGTTGCTGATAACGCTTCGGTCGAGACTTGCCCGACAGACATGAAAGAGGCACGGACATCCACTTGGCGTTCTTAAGTCTCCTGAAAAGTTTTCCGCAGTCGAAGCCGCAGCGGCGCGCATCAACGTTGTTCCAGCGTCAGCGGGCTCTTCTTTACCGGCGGGGCAGCTTTGGCGGGGCAGTTCGGTCCTCGGAAGAATTAATCTCATCAATCACAACTGACGCCGGCCGTTAGCTACCCCAGGACGGAGAAGGGTAGCTACGGCGTGGGCATACCAAGCAATGGGCCCCCATACTACACCCCACCATATTAGATACATATACCCAGTGCCGCCATGAATCCTGCGCTTTCGAAGTTTATTCTCAAAGCTACTCCAGACTCTATCCTCAATCCACAGCCCGACATGAACACCGCAATCCCCCTCAATACTGGCGCTACAATCCCCGCCCTCGGCCTGGGAACATGGCAGTCTGCGCCTGGTGAGGTCAAGAAGGCTGTGATCCACGCCATTGAGGGCGGTTACAGGCACATTGACTGCGCCTACTGCTACCAGAACGAGGACGAGGTCGGTGAGGCTCTCCAGGATGTCATCTCGCGGGGCATCGTGAAGCGCGAGGACCTGTTCATCACCAGCAAGCTCTGGTGCACATTCCACACCCGCGCTGAGGAGGGTCTCCAGAAGAGCTTGGATCTGCTGAAGACCCCCTACGTCGACCTTTACCTCACGCACTGGCCGGTGCCCATGAACCCCAATGGTGAGTACCGTGATAGCCTCTATCAGTACTGTATGTTGACTTCTGCAGGAAATCACCCCCTCTTCCCTAAGCTCGAGGACGGCAGCCGTGACATCGACCACTCTATCACCCACGTCGACACATGGAAGAGCCTCGAGAAGCTGATCCAGACACACCCTGAGAAGGTCAAGGCCATTGGTGTTGCAAACTACTCCGTCAAGTACCTCGAGAAGCTGCTCGCAAAGGCCACCATTACCCCAGCCGCCAACCAGATCGAGAACCATCCTCTGCTGCCACAGCAGGAGATCGTCGACTTCTGCAAGGAGAAGGGCATCCACATCACCGCATACAGCCCGCTCGGCAGTACGGGCTCGCCTCTCTTCAAGGATGAGGGCGTCATTGCCGTTGCAAAGAAGCATGACGTTGCTCCTGCTACTGTCCTTCTCTCTTACCACCTTGCACGCAACTCCTCCGTTCTCGCCAAGTCTGTGACACCGTCGCGCATTGATGAGAACCGCAAGCTTATCTCGCTTGACAAGGAGGACATTGAGAACCTTGAGGCTGTCCAGAAGAAGAACGGTCCTACACGATACGTTTACCCGCCGTTTGGCGTCGACGTCGGTTTTGCTGATAAGCCTGGTGGCATTGACCTTTCTGGTTGACTTCCTGAGGGCAGGCTGTGAGGTATACTTGAGATAGACAAAAGGTTCTGATTGGGACGAAACATGTGTTACGCCATATTGTGTGCGTTCTTGAGAGCCTTTGTGATGTGACATTGAATGCTACAAACGTTTCTCTGTTTGTTGTGTGGAGATCTCGACCTGCACGTAGTGAGTATGCACTCACATCACTCACACTGCAGCTTCGTGATGATGATATCCAGTCTAAGGATCCCATTACCACAATCTAAATGTGTAAACCACGACAACTCGTCTCTCTACCTACCCATCCACCCACCATCAACAGTCAACACCTCACCAGACACATACGCACTCGCCGCACTCCCCAAAAACACCACCGCGCCCTTGAAATCCTCCGGACTTCCCCACCTGCCTGCCGGAATCCTGCTCAAAATACTCTCGGCCCTCTTCTCATCCTTGATCAGCGCCTCATTCATATCCGTCGCGATATACCCCGGCGCAATCGCATTCACACTAACGCCCTTACTCGCCCACTCATTTGAGAGTGCTTTGGTGAGCTGTCCGACACCGCCCTTGGACGCTGCATATGCGGGGACTGTGATGCCGCCCTGAAATGTGAGCAGGGAAGCTACATTGATGATGGAGCCGCGGCGCTTGGGAGGCAGGTCTGCGGGCTGCTCGAGCATATGGGCACCGACGTCTCTGCACAACGTGAATACAGAAGTCAAGTTCACCTGCAGCACGGCGTTCCAGTCATTGTCGGGGAACTGGTGCGCGGGGTGGCGCTTCTGGATGCCGCCGCAGTTGAGCAGGATGTGGATTCTGTGGCCGTCTGCGAGGATTTTGGGCGTGAGTTGGGTGACAGAGTCGTTGGAGGAGAGGTCTGCGGTGTATATTGTTGCTTTGCGGCCGAGTTTTTCGATGGCTTGTTTTGTTTGATGGTTTGACTCGTCGCGCTAAGAGGTGGTTAGCGATGGGTTAGAGGGGTTGGTGAGTTCTGAGTGTACCTGGACGAGGAGGATGTCTGCTCCTGCTTCGGCGAGGGCAATAGCCATGGATTGGCCGATTCCTCGTGTTCCTCCTGTGACGAGGGCTGTTTGGCCCTCGAGCGAATAGAGCTGCTGTACGGTGGACATTGTGCTTGTCAGACCTGTGGTGAATGTAATCGGAATGACAACGTTGTGCTCGGAATTGGGTTGCAAGATCAATTCGAGTACAGCAGACTTCAGCTTCAACAAAGATAGAGGAGTCAAAAGCAAATATCGACTGAGCTGTTATCTGACGGGCAAAATCTTGCGGCAATCCGTACCCAGCGCATCATGCTGCAAGCTTGGTCAACACTCGGAAGGTGCTCGGAACGCGACCCCACATTTTCAAACGCCGATGCGCGACAATGATGCGGGACAGCAAATGCCGAAGTGGGAAACTTCTCCACGATCGTGTGTTTCGAGGTAAAGCTCGCCGCATGCGCGAATAGTTTTCCGTGGGATGGCGAGATGACTCTGGGCGTGTACCCTCCCTCTTCACTATACTTCCACCATAATCGCTGTTGTTGAGCTTTTGAAGTTAAAGCCCGGTAATTCGTTGTAAATCACTTTGTTCAGCACACTCAGTTCACCATGTGCGCAACACACACCCAAACGGCGACAGAGAGCAAGCCAGACGTCTTTTCAAGTCAGCAGCAGATTCGCGCATCTGTCTTGCACGGCGCAAAAGATCTGAGGATTGTCAGAGCACGCCTAGAGAACCGCTCAAAGCAACGGCTAACCCAAGCTCCAGGAATCACGCTCGATCTTCCCTCCAGGTCCAACGGACCTCCAAGTCAGCATCCGCTCCACTGGTCTCTGCGGCTCGGATCTCCACTACTACAGGCACAACCGCAATGGCGACATCCTCGTACAAGAGCCGCTCTCACTCGGCCACGAGTCTGCAGGTGTAGTTGTCGGCGTTGGCTCAGATGTCAAGAACTTCAGTGTTGGAGATAAGGTAGCTCTGGAAGTCGGTCTGCCATGCGAGACGTGCGAGAGGTGTAAAGAGGGGAGGTACAACATTTGTAAGGGCATGAGGTTCAGGAGCAGTGCAAAGAGCTTCCCGCACGCGCAGGGAACGCTGCAGGACAGGATAAATCACCCTGCGGCGTGGTGCCACAAGTGCGTTGGAGTCAAACTCTGAGATGGAAACGTGCTGACTGGTACAGGCTGCCTGAGGATATGTCACTTGACCTAGGTGCGCTTTTGGAGCCACTGAGCGTAGCGATTCAAGCGGCGAAGAGGGCACAGCTGCAAGCGGGCGCAACTGTTCTAGTCTTCGGCGCAGGTGCTGTGGGTTTACTGGTCGCCGCAATGGCGAAGATCTCAGGTGCTGGCACAGTTGTGATCGCAGACATCGATCAAGGGCGAGTCGATTTCGCAGTCAAGAACAACTTCGCCGACCGAGCCTTCTCAGTACCGATGAAGCGCGGCAGCACGATCGAGGAGCAGCTTGAGATTGCAAAGGAGACAGCTGCAGCGATTGGAAAGACCCCAAGAGGAAGTGCTGGGGAGGTTGGTGAGGTCGATGCCGTGTTCGAATGCACTGGTGTACCCTCTTGTGTGCAGGCATCGATATACGTAAGTAGGGTCATACTGAGTACTGAATGGCTGCTGACGTGCAACAGGCTACACGGCCAGGAGGCAAGATGCTGCTCATCGGTATGGGTACACCCATCCAGACTTTGCCCATCTCTGCTGCAGCACTTCGCGAAGTCGACATTCTCGGCGTGTTCAGATACGCAAACACATACCCAACTGGTATCGAGGTTGTGTCAAAGAAGGGGCCAGACTACCCAGACTTCTCGAAGCTTGTCACACACAGGTACAAGGGCCTCGAGGCAGCCGACGAAGCGTTCGAGATGGCTGGCAAGACGAAGGATGACAGTGGCAACCTGGTCATCAAGGTTGTACTGGAGACTGGCGAAGAGAAGGCGATTCTGTGAGCATGTTGTAGTGGGTACACATCTCTGGCGTTTGGAGAGCCTGTTGCTGTAGTAGACTTGTTGATCTCTGTAAACAAAGCAATGACGTATGTGGAAAGTTTTATAAGCATTCACTCCCAAATCGTGACACCGCTTACACTTGCAAGCGATCTCATCGGCCGCCACAAAGATGCAACACTGACAGCCTTGCCGAGACAGAGGCTGAATTTGATTCGCCTTCTTCATGAGTCAAAAAGCCGAAAGGTGCTCGATGCGGTGGAGTTTCGCGGGGTGGGCGTTCCCAAAGGAGAAGGTTTCCCCGTCTGGCCAGGTCCGACCAGCTGGCGCGCCGCAACTCCACATTTGCTCCACACCGACGTCCCCAGCATCTGCAACTGAACATCACGATGTCTGGTTCTGCGTGTTTAGTTGGTGTTTCTGGTCCCGAGCCCTTCCACGTGGGGAGAGCCGACGTATCGACGTGTTGACAGTCTGGAGAAAGTCGGCGCGAATTCTACGTGAGCGTGGGGAAAGTGTGGAGAAGACTGCTGGATGGAGCGTTCGGGTTCTTGAACGTAGAAAATGCGGCTCAAGATGGCTGTTCCTGCCCCGGATTTAGTGTCTTGGACCCTTGGAGCTATGACCATCAACATTTCCGGGCGGTGAACTGGCAGCTCAATGACAAGACATAACATCGTCTTTGCTCGCTCCCTATGCTCAGCATCTCACCTCCTTCCACTCCCATTCTCCTCTACTTTTCCTAATTACATTCCTCACCATGGTTGAGCTCCGCAGACTCAAAGTTGCTTGCTCCGGCCTCGGCCGCATGGGTGCTCGTCACGCCCTCCACTTCCTGCACCGCACACCCAAGGCCGAGCTTGTAGCAGCCTTCACACCAGACCCCAAGGAGGCCAAATGGGCTGAGGAGCACCTTGTGCCATTTGGCGTCAAAGTCTACAACGACTATGACCAAATGCTGAAGCACGAGGGCCTGGAAGCAGTCGTTGTTGCAACCGTCACCACAGCACATGCCGAGCAGTCGATCAAGGCCATCAAGGCCGGCAAGCACGTTCTGTGCGAGAAGCCCTTCAGCACAAAGCTTGAAGTCGTGCGTACCTTCCATCTCAGCCCAATTGGGACGTAGAGCTAACAGTTCACAGTGCCAGGACCTCCTCAAGACCGCCGCGGCCCACCCCAACATCAAGGTCATGTGCGGCTTCTCCCGCCGCTTCGACACCTCATACCGCAATGCCTACGCTCTCGTCAAGTCGGGTGATGTCGGGCGACCCTCCATCCTCCGCTCCCAGACCTGCGACAAGTACGATCCCTCGGGCTTCTTCGTCGAGTACGCCAAGTTCTCCGGCGGCATCTTTGTCGACTGCAACATCCACGACATCGACCTGGCACTGTGGTACTTCAGCGCCGATTCCAACGGCAAGAACCTCCCCAAAGTCAAGTCCGTCGTTGCCTTTGGTGTAACAGCGCTCGAGCCTGATCTCGCCAAGTACGGAGATGTCGACAACGGTGTTGGCATTGTCGAGTTCTATGACGGCCAGATCGCATACTTCTACAGCTCGCGCATGAACGCACCCGGCCAGCACGATATGACCGAGATCATCGGCACAAAGGGCAAGCTCGCTGTCAACTCGAACCCCATGACCGACCTCATGGAGGCACATCTGTCGAATGGCGTCCAGCGCGCCATCCCCCAGAACTACTACGAGCGCTTCGAGCAGGCCTTCGTCACTGAGGCAAACGAGTTCACAGACGCCGTACTCAACAACAAGGATGTCCCTGTTGACATTGAGAGCTCGTACCAGGCTGTCAGGATCGGGGTTGCGCTGCAGGAGAGTCTGAGGAGCCAGAAGAAGATCTGGTTTGACCGCAACGGCAATCAGACTGATGAGCCTCAGACCAAGTCCAAGTTGTAGACGTGAAAAGTGTTTTCGTTGTAGCATTTTATGATAGATGGAGTCACATAGACTAAAGCCATAGGATCTCAGGACAGGCCCATCGATAGGATTTAACGGTTACGACCACCCGGGCAATCTGCATCTACTGTCTCTCTACTTCACACTGAATACTTAGTATGAGTGACCATGACAACGTTATGGGTGAGCATGTTTTGATTCACGTTTGCATTGACTCTTAGTATGTGCTATTGATGATACTTGAATTGAGTGATCCAGCCTCCAAATAGACTATTCTATCGACTAACGCATGCAATCCTCCTATCAGTCTATCCAAGTCGTCCCTCATAGCACAGTCCAGCCCACTAATTTCTAGCTGCTGTATTCTTCAGCCCGTCCCAAGCTTCCCACCAGAAACAACAACTCTAAAACAATACCACAACCCTCTCTTCCACGCAACATCAATCGGTCTCAATCAGACTGCAGAATACCCCCACGCTGGCTTTCTTGTCGGATTCAGTTTAGGACGTAGTGACTGGTGCTGCTTCGGTTTGTTCTGTCGCATTTGTATCACCGAAATGATCAGTTGCTTCACCCTTGTTGGCTTTCGCATCACTCGACACAGCGAAAGACAAGTTGGCCTGTTCCTGCTCATTAAACGGCGAGTCGTCCTTCTTCGTTGACTTTGATGCTGTTGAGCCAAGGTTGCCGAATAATCCACCAGCTGCTGGAGGAGCGGCAGGTGCTGTGCTCGATAAGAGTCCAAAGAGGCTGGGTGGCTGTCCGACGGACGTTCCGAATGAGTTGCTTGAGGATGGAATTGTTGGTTTGATGCTGGAGGTAGCACCGAACAAGCTTGCTCCTCGACGTTGGGAAGGAGGTGCTGCGCCGAAGGGTCGGTAGTTTGGATCTTTTGCGAGAGCTGTAAAGGGGCTCACGTACGTGCGTGTCGCAGGAGCACCGCCGAAGAGGCTTGGTTTTGGGACATCTTGCCATGTAGGAGCAGATTCGAACAGTGACGGAATTGGTGCAGCAGATGAGGGTTTATCACTGCTGCTGGACGGAGCTTGTGGAGGCACCGCTAGAGAGAGATCATAACACCGACACACTCTTCCCTCGAAACGACAAAGCATACAGCTTGGGGGTCCATAAGCGCTTGTGATGTCACCGTCTTCGAATGATGGATATGTGCCACCGAAGTGAAACTTATGTACCGGCTGCGCTCGACAGAATGGTCCATGCTGATGTTGGACAGCACAAAAGCCATCAGAGTTAGTCGAAGGTCCGAACGAAGGCTTGGAGGTGTTGGTCGAGCCAGGTGGATTAAAAAGAGAGTTGGGCAGCTTTCCGCTTGAAGTACTTGGAGAAGCTCTGCACGCATCCCACGCATTGCCACCCTGACCACCAAATAATGGCGGTCTAGTGAAAGCTGGTCCGCAATTAAAGACATTCTTGCCTGGGTCTTGCGGTGGTACGAAGGGTGGCAAATTTGGCGCTACATGACCGAATGGGCCAGAATCGTGAGGTACCACACGTGGTGTTACAAAGTTGTCGAAGATGTTCAGTGAAGACTTGGAGGAGGCGTTTACACCTTGGGTGGGTTGACCAAACTTCGGCGCGCCGTCACCAAAAGCATAGCCAGGAGCTGAAGGACGTATGGTTGTTGGAAACCATCCCGTCTTCGAGATCTTGACCTCCTTGGGTGGTAGCGGCCGAGGGCCTCCAAATCTCCCGAATCCTCCGAAAGGTACTTTGCTCTGGTCCCAGGGATATGATATCTCGTTCGTCTTCATGGGTCCCTTGCGCTTAGCCTTGTAGTCGGCGAGTCGAACTTCCTCGAGCGAGCGATCTTTGTCGTGCCAGTCCTTATTCATCGTGATGGTCTGATAGTGCTGAAATCGACCCTTGATGTCAGTGCCTTCGACATAGTTGCAAAGCTCGCCTTGCTCTTGCAAGTGTTTCGAGTATGCTTCCGGTGAAGAGAGATGGTGGCTGGTACTAATCGCAGAGTTAGAGTTGCTTGGTCCGAAGCCTGGTGCAGGTGCAATGCCTCTGAGAATGCTCCCACCAGTTGCGGGCACGGAATCAGGTGTTGGATCCGGAGCTGGAAGTGGGAATGGGAGTGGGGCCGGGAACTGTGGAAGCATCGTTGTTGTCGAAATGATGAATAGGGCAGGCTTGACCTGCAAAGAACCCATCAGCATCGTCAAGCTGACGGGCTTCCCGTGCTCTACTGATACAATGTTTCCTTGACGCTGTATCGCACGAAGCTGTATGAGGTGCAACTGCTGTGGTTGGAGATCGAGGAGCGTGTCTACAACGGAGTAAGTCGGTCCTAAGCTGCGGACCTGAGCCTGCATAGTTTCTTCGCTGAGCCGCAGTGACTCAATTCCGTAGGACAGTGTGCTTGTAGTGTCCGTGGAATGCACGTTTGGTCGAAGGACGTAGGCTTCCAGGTGTAGGGTGGGAGTGAATTGATTGGCCCACGATTGGCTGTAGTTGGCAAACGCGCCAGAAGGGGCTGCTTTTGTAAAGAGAGAGCTCCCGGACGAAGTAGGCTTGATGACGCTGGGCTCTCCAAACGATATTGTTCCCGGTACCACCTTCGGTGTAGGAGCCGGTGGAAAGAGCCGCTCACTACTCTGGCCAGATTCTGAGAGTCCTTTCGAAGTTGAGGCATACGTCGCTAAAGACGGAGCTATAACAGGCTTGCCGTCGTCGTCTTTGCATCCTCTCGCCTTGGCGGCAAGATACGCTGGATGTTGAGGGTTGCCGAAAGGTGGCCACTGGTTGTACAACCCGATAGGAGTTGGTCTCCTCAGTATTGAATCTCCAATATTGCTAGATGATGTTAGCATATGCTAGTCTATGTGTGGTATATGATATGACTTACGAACGTTCAGCTGGTGCACTGACTTCTATCTCAGATTCTGCCTGATCTCCAATGTGTGCAGGACTGTGTGCTGAAGGCATCGAATATTCCCGCAATTGCTCCGATGCAAATGGTTTGTTCCTGGACACCGAAACGTCATTCAGCACTGGGTTTCTGAAAGCCAGAATGAGTCGCGAAGCCTCTGGGATCTCATCTTCGTCACTGTGCTAATAATCAGTTGATCGAGTCAGTATGTTTGCAACGTAACTTACAGGTGTTTTTTCCTAGCCAGAGCTGCGTGTCTAGAGACCAGATGTGACTGGATAGCAAGGCCGAAGCATTTCTCCACAACACTCAGCGCCTTTTGCTCATCGCTCAAGACACAACCCTTGACGTAAGCCTCTCCTGTAGTCAACATGCTTTTTGCCGGTGCACCCAAAGTCTCATCTGCTTTCCGTACTGCAAGGATGATGTTCTGAAAGACACCCTCGCACTCTCTCAATGAGCGTAACAGGCTTTCGCCATGCTCCTTGGTCCACACATCCTGCTCTCCGCTTTGGATCAGATCCTCTCTGAGACTCGAAAGCACTGCAGCAAGAGCATATATCTTCTGCGCGAGCTTTGCCAGGGACTGAGCTTCGAACAGGGGAAATTTCATGTGAACAATGGCGTACAAAGCCTGTGCAGTGCTGCTGGCCATGCAACCAAGACGCCTTGCAAATTGGCCAACATCAACCTGCCGCTGTCCCTGCGATCCTTGCGACGAAGGATTGGTTCTGCTAACATCATCGTCGGCCATGGCTGCTACAGTGACTTTTCTGCGCATAGAGAACAGATGAGACGTCAGATGTCAAGATAATCCTGCAACAGCGGATCAGACGCGACCGGGTGCAAACGTGGACGGAACAGCGACGCGAGCAAACGATTACTGAATTAAGGGGGCATAAAATGGACGAAGGAATGAACGTATACTCGCGACAAGACGTCGCTTTTGTGTAAAGCCATACCAGGCTCCAGAAAGCGTAGCAGGCAGCGTCCAAGCATCCAGCAGGCAGCAACTCAGCCCTGCGGCTGCGGGCTCGCGTGCTCGTATGCGCCATTCCTGCAGCGGCATCAACAACCGAGTGTCGTTTCATCTCCATCACAAAAAACAAAACTCCACGATGAGCTCAAAACTTTCGTTCGAGAAGAAGAGAAATCGAGAGATCTTGCATCAGTCCACAAAACCTCACTAGGTCGCCGTAGCCTTGCATACTCGCCACGCCTCAACAATGTGCTGTGCTGCAACCACCATGCAGACCACACACCACCCAGCCTCCTTGCGTCCATCCCAACCACGCATCCCGACAGCCACAGCATGCATCGCTGCGTGCATCCCCCAGAGACACGAGAACCTTCGTATGGGTGAGTGATCAGACATCCGCAACGGGCCGGGACGTGCGGATGTGGAATCGTAATCTGCAACATGTCAGCAAAACATGTGGAGCCAAGCTGATGCTCATATTGCGTGATGATCTGTGGCTGAGGAAGTTAATGTCGACCTCACCTCTCGATCTTTTAGCACAACATTACGATTGTTATCATGAAGTCGTCAGTTCCACGTTTTCCATCCCTTACGTTCCGCGGAAACGTCGTTCTCGAAGCGCCGGTGCTCCATAGCACTACATGTTGTAGCTCAACGTGGCCACGAAGACAGCGTCACAGCAGGTCATCGCTACCGCTCGCTACTCGACGCAGGTAGTACGGTGGTTCCTACGCCAACCGTCATCGGGATTCGGCTACTGCAATCAGCAGTTACAGGCTTCACAAGAATATTGGACAGGAGAGTGAAGGGATCATTGTGATGTGAGTGAATTATCGTATTTCAGTCATTACTATCTACCAGCGCCCAAACACCGGAACCCTTTCCCACAGGCCTAGAGTGAGGGTATCAAAGCGCTAAGGCGCGTATACATGAAGAACCATTGGCGTAATGAGTCGTAGTCATCAAACCATCGTGTGAATATCGTAAATCGAGTCCTGCGACTCGACTCGAATACCATGGAGTGTATTCAATCCATCGCCGCGAGCACAGCGATATATCCAAGTCCTCCCCGCATTACTGTTCCACCTCATTATCCATTATGCACATTACTCCTTCGAGGTAGGACCTTGGACAGCGTACGAGGCGCTTAGATGAGGAACCAGGCAGCGGCAGCAAGACCGGCGGCGACGGGGACACCGGTGACCTTGGGAGCGGCACCCTGCGAGGGGACGCTGGAGGAAGTACTGGAACCGGCGGCACTAGTAGCAGAAGAAACAGCAGAACCAGCGGCGCTGGTGGCAGAGGCGACAACAGAGCTCAAGGAGCCACTGACGGATGCAAGAGCAGACGAGGCAGACTCAGCGATCGAGGACAAGCCGGAGCTGAGCTCGGAAGCGACGGAGGAAGCTGCACTTGAGGCCGCGCTTGCTGCAGACTCTGTTAGCGCTCCTGAGCTGTAAACAGTGCTGAAACCAGAGGTAGTGGTTTGGACACTGCCGTCAGAGTTGGTGACGGTAGCAACTAGGGGCACGGTGGTGATAGCGGACTGGGAAGCGCTGCCAGTGGCAGAAGCCTCACCTGATGCGGTACCAGTAGCGCCAGAAGCACTAGCGACAGCCGAAGACAGGATGGGCAGCGCCGCAGGAGCAGAAGCAGAACCCTGAGCAGTGGAGGCGACGCCTTAAGTTGGGTCAGCAGGAACTTGTCGATGGTGGTGTGAAATGTGCTTACCTTGGCAGAGACCGGCAGCGTAGCTAACAGCCTGACCGGCCTCCTCCTGAGAGCAGGCCTGGCGGGAGCAGTCGCGGACACCGTAGGCCCAGTTGGACTGAGTACAGAAGCAGGCAGTGTCGCCAGCAGGGCAACTGAACTCGGTGTTGGCGATCAAGTTCATGTTGTTGACGCACATTTGCTGAAAGAGGTTAGCATTGTTTGCATCAACAGCAGCATCGCCATGAGGGGAGGCTGGAGCAAGAAGAGGAACGTACTGCGCAAGAACCGAGAGACTGGGCGGTGGCAGCGCCAGCGACAGCGGCGAGGAGGATCATTGACTGCTTCATCTTGACGGTGGTGTTGTGTGGGAGAGTAAAGGTTGCTAGGCTGATGCTGGAGTAGGTGCTGTGGAGGGAGAAGAGATGCTAGGCTTGTAGAAAGAGATGCTAGGCTTGTGGAATGCTTGGTTGAAGATGAGGTGGGTGAGGAATTTGGGAGTGAGAGAGGTGCAGGCTTTATGGACTGAGGCGTGCAAACGGTCGCGCAGGTTCGTGGCTGGTACGTGAGTGAAGCTCCTGCCCTGTTACCTCACACGGCGGCTAGTCGCCCCGCAAACAAAATGGCTGGTGCAGTGACGGAGCAGTCGGAGCCAACTCGCACTAGGCAAGCTCCTCTCAAATCCTGCAGGGGTCGAGCGCCGCAACCCAGGCACGATCACTGCAAGAACAGGGAAGCGGCTCTGGGATGCGTGCACTGATTGGTTGATGGGCCGAGCTTGTCGAACCCAGCGCGATCAGGGCTAGCTCCACCAACTTTCCAGTTTTATGATGTCGAGAACGGCGCTCCCGACACAGGCGAGCTCGACCTGCATGTACAACTCACGGCCCTGCACCAAGACGAAGAGGCGCTGTTGTCCAAGTAACCTGCCACACCAACATTGTTCTCAACCTGCTGCTGCACAGTCGATCCAGGTCACCGTGTCACGACGAGAACGAGTCGTTCACACTCACACAGGAGAGCCCCTGTGCCATTGCACAATCTCGCTTTCACAGCACTGGGCGGCAGGATAAATTATGAAATTTACCATCAAACCTTGTTTGATCTAAGGAGCGCCTATCGATGTGACGTCTATATAGCGTCTTGACCTGTCGTGCCTGGCGACACTTTGGTAGTCATCTCGTTAACCCAAACCTTGATTGTGATGGCTTCGATCATGGCCCAGACCCTGTACATCAGAGCTGACTTCACCAACCACTCCTGCGCATCGCCAGCCTCGTGTGGCGCAGTCACTGGTTACTATCTACGCAGCCACACTGATGCGCGGCTTTGCATCGCCCTCTAGCGGTTGCGATTTGTCTGTATCGACGTCGCCGTCTGTCTGCTCGGCCAGATGCTTCTCTTCAGCTGAAGTGATGCAGTGTGTGTTCGCACCTAGATGCAAACAGCGGTCAGTGAACGGCCGTTTGACGGGGAAGATTCACAGGGAGGGACAAATGAACGCACCTAGTTTATTGATCGTCTCCATCCACTCATCGTACGGATCTGAGTCGAATACAATCCCGCCCTTGGCCAATAGTTAGCAAGAGTGTGAACAGCAAGAATTTCTCGAACTTACCCCTGCTTGGAGATACGCGATACCGTCTTTGACAAGCATGGTCCGTAGCGCGATGCACGTCTGTGGTAGATCAGCCCATGTGTAAACCGTGCGCCTCAGGGGCCAACTCACGTCCATAGCACCCTCGATTTGCTTATCACCATCGACGCTGCCATAGCCGAAATACCCCACAGCGCCAGCATAGACACCGCGCTTCTCTTTCTCGAGTTCTGCAATCAATTCCATCGCCCGCACTTTGGGTGCGCCACTCACGGTCCCTGTGCTGAGTTTCAATACCAGGCCATGTTATGGAGCACTTGACGTACCTGCAGGGAAAATGGACCGGAAAGCATCGAATCGTGTCTTGCCAGGTCGCAGCACGCCTGACACCTCGGAGACCAGGTGCTGCACATGCGAAAACTGGGTCGATTAGCAAATTGGCTCCGATCAGATCGCATTTTGCATGAATGCGATGACGAAGTTGGTGTTCATACCTTTTGCACAACCATCAGCTTATCCACACGAGTGGAGAGTGGGTCGCAAACACGATTTACGTCATTCCGAGCGAGGTCCACCAACATCACCTGTGAAGTCAGTCAATCTGTGCTTGACGTAGAAGTTGGGTCAGACTCACGTGCTCGGCCCGGTCCTTCAGTGAGTTAGACAGCTCCTCGGCTAGGGCTGCATCTTCCTGCAGGGTTTTGCCCCTCTTAACGGTCCCAGCAATGGGATGTGTGATGATCCTGCCCTGCTCCTCTTTGACCAGCAACTCGGGACTTGCGCCAACGATCTGGAAGTCCTCGCAGTCCACGAAGAAGAGGTATGGCGAGGGGTTGACGTTTCGCAGGTTCCTGTAGATGTTGAAGGGGTGCAGCGAGGTAGGTCGTGCGAAGCGCTGCGAAGGGACGGCCTGGATGATATCGCCAACGCTGATGTGCCTCTTGAGTTCCTTGACGTGGCCCTCGTAGCCTTCCCGGCCAATGTTCGACTTGTACTCGTTTCCAAGCTTGATCGGTCCCTGCTCAGGCATTGGCACCTCTTTGTCCTTGAGTATTGTTACATATCTCATCAGTGTGGCTTTGGCCTCCTCGTACGCCTGCTCCAAGTTGTCGAGACTGTCTGGAACCTTGACGTATGTGATGACCTTTACCACCTGGGCGAAGTGGTCAAGAGCCACGATTGTGTCAAACAGCATGAACAAGCTCTCTGGTACACCTAGGATGTCCTTCACATCGTCTCGCCGTGTCTTGGGCTCGAAATACTTGACGCAATCGTATCCAACATATCCAACAGCGCCACCGGTCATGGGAGGAAGTTGTATCGAGGGTACGGTTGCGACTCTGCTCTTTGCGAGCTCCTTTTCGAGGTTGGGCAGAGGGTCCGCCTCTTCGCCATGGCCGGGGCCGGTCTTGATGACTTTGCGAGGGTCTGCGCCGACGAAGCTGTATCGCCCAATTGTCTCTGTTGTTGCTGCGCTCTCAAACAGGAAGGAGAGCTTTGATGTCGATCTGCCCACCTGTCAACCCTTGCTGAAGCCTACCCAAATGAGTCACGCACTCACTTCGCGGAGACTTTGAGGTATATGCTCGACGGCGTCAGGAACTCGGCGGAAATGGAGGAGAAGACGGGGACGAGGTTGGGTGGGTGCGGAGAGCTGACTGCCGCAGCCAACACCTCCCGCACCGTGTCGAGAGATGGCTGAACGCCTAGCTATTGTGGTCATGCGCTCAGCTCTCCATGCCGCTAAACATGGCGGGGGTGCGACAGAACATACCTGTTGAACCATGTCTTCAAGGTGCGGCAATTGACTATGTGCAAGACTGCTAGTTGTGTAAAGGAAGTGCTCGAAGTCAGAGTCAGACTATGTCAAGGGCTCTACCTTGGAGACCCAAAATGATTATCTCCAGCCTTATCGACGAGCCAATCGGTCTCCTCGTTAGTCCGCCCTGCGACTTGATTTTCGAGAAGACTGCCCCGCCCCGCGTTGCAGCGCTCGCAGCACCCCCCAGCCAATGGCTCTGCTAGCCAAACTGCTAGATCTCGTCCCAACTGCCCAGGACGCAGCAGGACGTCACAGCCGCCAACCAACTTCCGAACGACTGCCGCGTCTGTCGCATATCCTTCACCGTACATCGCTGCGCGCACTACAATGTTTCGTTGAGCAATATTTGTCGGCGCATATAAACGCGCATCTAAACGCGCATATAAACGCGCATAATCCCCATTTTTGGACCAAGAAGATCGACCAAGTTACAGCCGCGCCATGGACTCACCACCGATGCATTCCGCACGACCATGGACGCCGCCCGAGTCCGAAGCGCATGGGAGCCCGGAGTCCGCCTACTTCTCAGACCCCTTCAGACGAGCGTCGAGCTGCGCATCCGATATGGACCACCGCTGGCCGCTTTCACAACCTCGCCCAGGCACCCCTGGCAGAAAGAGCAAACGCTGCGACACACCAAATGAGCCGCTCAGTGTGTCCAGGCCGAAGCCTCACTATACAGTCACCGAACCTGCGCCATACACACCCACGAAGACCTGCAGCCTACTCGAAAATCATGCGCCGGGCGCGCTGCGCTACCCGTACACACCCGAGAGCTCGCGCATACTACGCGCAAGCACAGTTGGCTCGCTATCGCCTATACCTTGGGACACCGACTCGCATTACTCTGTGTCGCCAGTGCAAAATGCGCTTTCATCTTGCATCGCGCATTTTGAGCACCTCACCGCGACGCGGGAGCTTACCGAGGACCAGATGGAGTACATCGTTGGACAATTTGAGAACATGACTTCGTACCTCGCTGCGCCAGATGTGCAGACAAAGGAAGGTACCGAGGATCTGTTCTCTGGTGGAGACCTACCGCGCCCTGCCAGTCCTCAACCCAACGCCAAGGTTACAGAGGATGACGGTAGCTACATGGCTGAAGTCGGGAAGTACATCGAGGGCGTTCAGATCTACACTGCGGACCTGAAGAGGCGCTTCGATGAAGCCAAAGCGTTGAACGAGATCCAGCTCGCCATCATCGACGATCTGCGGAGAGACATGCACGCAGTGCAGCAGAACATGCAGGATTCACTCCACTCAAGTCCTCGGGAGCAGCGGAGAGCGAGCAGTCCAGGCAGAAAAGACGTGGACAGTAGCTGGGAGTCAATGGAGACTGCGGTCGATGACGCTGAGGACGAAGACAACTCGAAAGTCGCTACACCCAAACCAACAGTGGTCGACTCCGTTACACAGACCGATGGCTGCAGGAGACTCATCGTTGCTCGCAAGCCCAAACAACCTGTACAACGTAGTTTCTGGACTGCTCTCTACGAGGCTCTTGACGGCTTCAGCGACCATCTGCACGAACGCTGATCATTTACCTTCCCTTCTGTCACAAGTTTCCTTTGTTGTTTATCTCCATCGTTTTTCCTTTTTCCGCTTCTAGCTCATCTTCACTAGGGAAACGGCCTCACCACGGCATAGGAGGGCGTTCACTTACAGGATACCACAGCTTCACAGATTTTTGGATACGAAGCTACGAGCTGCATAGCGATGGCGCATAGTGTGTTCTCCTACCATTGGCTTCGCTCGCTTGAGCGAGCGTTAGGATACCTCTGAGTATACCAGAGACATTTTGTTCAGAGATGATCGATTTTCTTGTCGAGTATAATCTTTGCTGTTATTTCCCCGAGTCTGCCTCTTTTATTATTCCTGATTCTTGACTTATAGTGTTTGTAATTTGTCAATACCACTTCTCGATGATGATCATTCACACATATCACCGTTCAACAGACCCTGGTGATGCTGTGAGCATACGATAGTGAGACAAATACGAATCTGCCGTAAAATCTATGCAAGTGACAATCCAGCATCAAACTGCATTTGAGTGAAATAGCGTATGACCATCACAGTGCATTCTTATCACTGCCTTTTGAGATGTCTACACATCATGGGTGACGACGACACCTGGCCAGTCTGATGAAGCAATCTCAAATCCGCAGGGTAAGTGCTTGTATTGACGACGCTCATCCTCCCTTGCGCCCTGGCCGGCTTGGTGCAGAACACAGTGCAATGCAGCACTCTTCAAGACGATGAACATAGGCAGAGTGAGATGTGAAGCCAGAAATACCTGAGGCAACGAACACGAGCGGTGTTGTCGCGTGTATCAGAATCGCGGTGTATGTTTGCGTATGGCCGTGACTGCCTTTAGTTAGCTTGTTTCATGTTGACCGCAAAACATTGAGATGTTGAGCAGTTCGTTACCCCACGACCTTGAGGACAGTTCGTGACCTGCAGTTGGTGAGTTAAGCTCGTGCGCCACCACAAACCTTGAAAAACAAGGCCGGCCAGTGCCTTCAGCTCCTGTTCAGCTTAACGGCGATTTCTAAGTGTTGATTGATGAGCGCCGGATATATTTAGGCAGGTGTGGCTCCTGCAGCTCCTTGCGCTAGTGAGGCTGCGGCCAGGGAACGTACCCACCCAGTATAGTCAATTCAGCTTCTCCCGACCATTCACTTCGACAACACAGCCAAACGTCTGTGACGAACACTGCAAGGGTTTTGCACCGACTTTTTACTACACCTTAATCGCTATTTTGTAAAACATTTCGACCTTTCGACCTGCTGCATCGACTGCGGCTTCCTTGAACTTGATATCTGGCTACGAGCGACCCCAGCAACATGGAGGAGGACAAGAGACTCGAAAGGCCCACAAGCACACATAGCTCTGACAAGGAAGGAGTGAGTAGGCATCTGTTATACGCCAAGCGAGCAAGCCAACTTTCAAAGGACCGAAGCTAACGTGTGAGCGCCGTTGCAGGACAGCTTCGAAGATGCATCTGAGATTACCCCTCGCCCCGTATCACACTCAGAGCGCTCGCAATCACGATCACGGTCGCTCATAAGCAAGCGCGAATCTACCGACACCACAGTGCAAGAACCCAAAGCCGGATCCCCTGCGTCTGAAGTGCTAGAAGTGCCAGAAGTGCCGGAAGTGCCTACCCAGGCCAATAACGAAGCAGCGCAGACCAAGGGCGAAGTCGAGGCCACCGAGACATCCACCGAAGACGCACCACCACCCGCCAAGTCGCCCTTGCTCACGGCACACAGGATATCAGTGACATCAGACATGGACGATGTGTCGCTGGAAGAAGGCACGTGTACCTGTTGTCTTGTGGACAGCTGAACTTCGCTGACGTGCTACAGAAGGCACGAAAGACCCTGGTCTACTACCGAAACTGCCACCACGAGACTCAAGAGACTCGACCGCCTCAGCAAGCGGGCTGCAAGGCCTGTCTGGCCAAATGTCTCCTGTCAAATTCCCTCCACCACCGCCTCCCCCTGTCATTCACGAAAAGCCCGCCCCGCCAGCCCCGGTAACAAGAAAGCTTACAAGTCCTTTTGCATGGCTTTCACGGAACAGTTCGAGCAAGAAGCCCGGGTCGCCACCTCTGCCTCTTGCGGATCGCCGTAACACGAATGCATCAATCCAATCTCTGGGTAGCAATCCAGAGCTCACCTTGAGCAGAATCGACGACGAAGATGATCAGAAGGGCAACAACCGATCAAGTCAGGGAAGCCTGCGTGATCGCTTCAAGGCTTTGAGGATGAGGGAGGAGGCTGGAATTACCATGAACGATGAGACAACTGGCGAACCAGGTCTTGGGATAACAAGTCCAGGAAGTGTGGTTGAGAAAGAGGCTGTGACAAGTCCTGGACCAGGAGGCATCGCTCGACAGCCGACCATCAACCCCGCGCTTGCTCCAGGCACCGCAGCTGGCTTCGCAACTGGTCCATCAGCGGAAGAGGCAGAGCCAGTGGATTGGGACCTATGGCAGTCCGTAGTGAACGAGGGTCCCACTGTCATTGCACAAACCAGTCCGGAGGAGCTGAACCGCGCTGTTGCCAACGGCATCCCCCAGATCATCCGCGGCGTCATTTGGCAGGTCCTGGCGCAAAGCAAGAACGAAGCGTTGGAGCAACAATACAGGGAACTTGTGGCTCGAGGGACGGACAAGGAACATATGTCAGTTCAGAGTCATGCGCACACGAACGGGAATGGCAAAGAGAGGGACTCCGTTGCATCATCTGCATCGTCAATCCACTCGGACTATTCAACTCCAGCTACAACCACTGGAAGCACAAATGCGCCTCTGGGATCACCATCAGTCTTGTCAGAAACCTCCGAGGATCCCATCAAGTACCAAGCCAGACTGGCCGCTGAGAAGAAAGACAAGACTGCGGCAATCGTCAAACTTGAGAAGACGATCAAGCGTGACCTCGGCGCACGGACAAGCTATTCGAAGTATCTCATGGCGGCTGGCTTGCAAGACGGACTCTTCGGTATCTGCAAGGCGTACGCCCTTTACGACGAAGCCGTGGGCTACGCTCAGGGCATGAACTTCATTGCTATGCCGCTACTCTTCAACATGCCAGAAGAGGAGGCTTTCAGTCTGTTTGTGACTCTGATGAACAAGTACGGCTTGCGCGACCTGTTCGTTGCAGACATGGCAGGACTGCACCTGCATTTGTACCAATTCGAGCGCTTGCTGGAAGATTTCGAGCCCGCCCTGTACTGTCATCTGCGCCGCCGAGAGGTCAAGCCTCAGCTCTACGCCACCCAGTGGTTCCTCACTCTGTTCGCCTACCGATTCCCCTTGCAGCTCGTTGTCCGCATCTACGACTTGATCCTCTCCGATGGTCTTGAGGCAGCTATCTTGAAGTTTGGTCTTGTTCTGATGCAGAAGAACGCTGAGACGTTGCTCGGTATGAAGGACATGTCAACATTGACAAATTTCCTGAAGGAGAAGCTATTCGACGTTTACATCGACAAGGCTCCTTCGGCCAATTCCATCCTCGAGAATGGTTTCTTCGGCTCAACAAGCGGAGTCGACAAAGAAATTTACCGCGCAGATCAGCTCGTTAAGGACGCAGTGGCGGTCCAGATCACACCAGAGATGCTGAAGGAATACACAGCGGAGTGGAAAGAGCAGCAGCGGATAGAAAAAGAGCGCGAGACCGAACTGCAAGGCCTGAAGGAGAAGACTGCCACACTGGAGACCAAGGTCAGGTCACTTGAGAACCGCGCCGAGCAGTCCGACAGGGAACATGTCGAAATGGCATCTGAGCTCATCAAGACCAAGGTCGAGAACGAGCAGCTCGCTGAAGAGAATGAGACTCTGAAGACGAAGGTCGAGGAACTCCAGAAGATTGTAGACACACAGCCTGAGGAAGTCGAGAAGAGGCTGCAGAACGAGATGGAAACCGTCATGCAGAAGAACATCGTAGTTCACAACGAGAACCGAGCCCTGGAAGAGCAGATGGCCGAAATGGAGCAGGAGCTGGTGGATACCAAGATGAAGTGGGCGACAGTAAGTTTGCGCAGGGGCTTGTTGCAGGCACGACTAACGTTCTTCAGATCAACGAAGAACACGAGAGTCTTAAGCAGAAGTGGAACAATATATCCCAGATGATGAGGTAACCTCAGCTTCTGGGTTTTGTCTTGTCATTGCAGGCGTTTGGGTTGACTTGCATATAGCACATCGGCGCCATCAGATCTACCTGCGACCTATCTCATCGCGTCGAACGCGCACTAATTCGATTCTCCGAGTTCATATTCGCCGCAGTCGCCGAGATTCCTTAGAGCTGGCGTCTTTCTTTCCAGTACACATGCTTCGGCAGCTCACAATTACGAATAGCTCGCATCTCAATGTATACCCACGGATCGATCACACAACTTGTTTTGGCATTTTCTGTTTCAGCTTTCGCTCGCTTCCTGGATAGTGTTCATGTATACGGCGGACTGAAAGTGCAGAGGTCCGACATTTGGATACAAAGTCATCCTTACGACTCGTTAGGAGTCTCTACCGCAACAGTCATAGTCTTAGCATATCAATGCAAGAGCAGGCATCAAGTCTCGGCTGACTTCTTGAATTGCAACGCCCAAGAGGTCTTGTTCGCAGCTTCCAAGTGAATATGCTCGCTCTTGCCTTCAACCTGCTCGGTGAAGGTGGGCGCACGTGCCAACAGCGCTAGTCAGACTCAGCGCCCCAGCCCTCGACTCTTCCTCTTTTTCCGCCCGCGTCGACCAAGACCGCAACACGACACCTCTCCACCACTGCGCAGCCAAGCCCACCGCAGTGCCATCACCCCTCCCCTATTACTTTCGAAGTATTCGCGACCAATTCTTCATCTGAAATCCGGTTTCCTGATCTCACGCCAATACCCATGGCTGCACCTCCGGATCTGAACGCCATCTTGGCAGCTCTTGGTAAGCAGACTTCAACTCATTCTGCGTGCGCATACTAATCCTTCAAATAGCTGCCGGGCGAGGCCCATCCATTACTCCGTCGCAGACCCCGCAACAGCACCCTCCTCCACACCAGCCCCCGCCTCCAGGCCTACCTGCAGGCTTCCCTGGCGCAATGCCCGCCGCGACGCCGCCTCAGATCCCTGGCTTCAACTTTCCGCAACCCACCAGCTCCGGCAGCCTCGACCTTAGCGCGATCAAGCCCGTCAGCTCTGGTTCAGTCAGCATTCAGGACGCGCTCGCGAAAGCGCGTGGCTTTGCGGCACAGAAGGGTCTTGCCTTTGATGCGCGTCCAGGTATGGACAGCCAGTGGTCTGGTATGGGCGGATCACCGCAGACTTACGCAATGTCAGCTCATCAAGAAGATCCGCGACTCAGCGGACGCCCTTACCGACGTTCGCGATCTCGCTCAAGGTCACCGCAGCGCCGAGACAACCCCCGTGATAGCTACAACCCGTACCGAGACGAGCGCCGTGATGAGCGTCGTGGCGGACTCGGCAGCTATGGCCGCGATCGCTCTCGTTCTCCCTCTAGGCGCAACACTTTCTCCCCACCCCGCCAGCAGTATGGCGGACATGATCGTGCCACTCCCCCCAATGACAACTCTGAGGTAATTCTCATTGATTCTTCGCTCGTTGGTCTGGTCATAGGACGTCAAGGTGAGAGCCTTCGTCGCATTGAACAAGAATCAGGCACTAGGATCCAGTTCATCAACGGCCCTGAGGCCGGACCGCAGCGCCAGTGTCGCATCACAGGGCCTCCCGGTGCCCGTATCAGTGCGAAGCGCGAGATCAACCGCATCATTGAAGAGAATGGCGGCAACCCTGCTCGTGAGACCGGTCGCAACGCGCGCGCTCCCCAGAAAGCGATGAGCCAACAGCCTGCTCTTCGTGAAGGTGAACAGTCATCTCAGATCATGGTCCCTGACCGTACTGTTGGTCTTATCATCGGCCGTGGCGGCGAGACCATCCGTGACCTGCAAGAGCGCAGTGGATGCCATGTCAACATTGTCGGTGAAAACAAGAGCGTGAACGGCCTTCGCCCTGTGAACCTCATTGGAAGCCCCGCTGCTGCTGCCCATGCAAAGGAGTTGATCATGGAGATTGTCGACAGTGACACCAAGCAGATGGATGGCTCTAACCAGAACCAACCGCAGCAGAACCAGCAGCAGAACCAAAGGCGTGACTTTGACCCGTATGGTGGAGGCGATGGTGGCGGTAACAAGATCAACGACAGCATCATGGTTCCTTCAGACGCCGTTGGCATGATCATCGGCAAAAGTAAGATTCACGCAATGCTACATTCATGACACATGCTAACGTACAGCAGAAGGTGAGACCATCAAGCAAATGCAGTCCGAGACTGGCTGCAAGATCAACGTCACCCAAGCCTCAGGTGCCGACATCGAGCGTGAAATCGGTCTTGTCGGTTCTCGTCAAGCCATCGACGATGCCAAACAAGCTATCTGGGACAAGGTCGATCAAGTGGTGAGCCGAACTCATCTGTTGTGCAAAACATGTACTGACCATGCGCAGAAGGAGAAGAACAACAACAACAGCAACAACAACACCAACAGGCGACGTGACCACGGCGGTCAGGATAACAACTACTCACAGCAGCAGCAGCAGCCCCAACAGTCCTTCGGCCAAGCCGCTCCTCAAGGACAGCCACCCGCGCCTGCAGCAGGTGCCCCAGCTGGCGGTGCAGCTGACCCATACGCCATTTACGGCGGCTACCAGAACTACCTGGCGATGTGGTATGCATCGTTCGCTCAACAGCAACAGCAAGGAGGTGCACCACCGGGTCCCCCTGGTGCTTAGGCTGCATCCCGTCCGTGATCATGCACATGATGCTGAGACTGCCGCTTGACGCTGCCGCTTGACGCTGCCGCTTGATGCTTGCTTGCTTGCATGACCGCCGCTTGGACTATGCTACATGTGGCATGATTATACCCGACTTTCTGGATTTCTTGTCGACCTTTCTTGATATGCGGACCACGATACCGCTTTAATCGCCGATGACTTGCACTGCGATGCGATGCGATGCTTACACGATGACTACGCCGACTTCGATCTCGTGCATGGATTGTTTGACCTCGCTGCTCTCGATCGGATCTTCACAACACTTTCGTCACTTAGTTCGCGTACTCTGCTGAACCTCGCTTGAGCTATGTCTGCAATCTGGATGAGCAATGCACCCCAGAGTCTGCGATGCCTTGACGATGCTGCGACCGCCTTAAGCAGTCGCCTGCTACCGCAAGGATGAAGATTATGCGATCCTATCTGTCTGGGCCTAGGTTGTGTCAACATCCTCTCCGTGCGAGCTTTCATCTACTACATTCTGCGACCATTTCTCGAAACACATCACCAAAAGCATCTGCTGTGTTTGTGTGTCTACTGCGTCAGTACTTCAACTGGAGCCTTTACGGGCTGATCTGTGGAGAGGAAGTGGACGGTACCTGTCAACACTTGGTTAGCTGAAGGTGTCTCACTTGAAAAATAGCCTCAAAGACGAAAACTTGTAATGCTGAACTTTTGATGAATGTAAAAATACGTTTTCAATACCATTTAATACACATCCTTGACCCTACTGCTCCCTTCACAAGAACGTGGCTACGGGCTAAACGTCAGCTTATGAGTAATTCACGTTCAGTAATCGGCACCCCGAAGAACACAGCACTAATCATACGTTGTTCGATACTTCTTCGATACGGCTATGTGGATCTATCTGACGGCGGATGACGCCTTAATATGTAGAAAGCTTAGCAGCATAGATACGCCTATACGATTATCACCCGCTTCGTACAGTAGTCCACCCATCTTCGCAGCTTTGATACCAGCTTAGATCAGTACACATAAATGTCGGTTAGAGACTATACTCGCTCACAAGCTGGCACAGTTCCTCTAGCCAGAAATCCGCTCGATCTCCATTTTCGCTAGAAAGCTTAGCTCATCGCTTGGAGCCTTAGGACAGTTGACTTTGATCCACCCATCACCACGCGGTCCACCACTGGGTAAGGTAATTCTTTCTCCTGACCATATCTGGACTTGCATATCGTGCGATGCTATAATCAGCGTTAGCTACAAGCACTTCCCTCCGGGTGACTTTGATTGACGTACCAAGGGGAGGATCGACATCAAGGTTCATGCTTGGTTTCCGAGATGACAGGCTATCTAACGCAACGCCGAACAAATGGAGTGTAGGGAGCGCGATCGGAAGGGGTGGATGGCGTTCTTCAATGACAAGTTCCTCAAGTGGGCGACCTTTGGCAAGAATAGTAGACCACAGAATCTTGTAAGACCATCGTCCAGCGAACGTTGGTCTCTCCCAACTTCTTGGTGTTGACGCCTCGCGACACCCTGGAGGGCTGTATCTTGAATGCTACCAGATTGCGAAAATTGCCAATGCTTGACTCATCAGCGTCGCGCAAGTACTGTTCACGATGACCTCGACGATGCTGGTGTCGACCTCATAGTGGTTGATCTTTTCGCAGCCCTCAAATTTCTCCTGTGCCACTGCTTGGTCCCCGCATCGATCGGGTCGGATTCTTCGCGATTGCTGTGTTCCGTGATTATAGACGTAGTGAAGCATGTAATCATCCGAACGTGTGTGCCGAGACAGCCAGCAGAGATGCGCCGAAACTTGTCGAGCACAGCTCTGTCCAAGTCCAGACGGACATTCTCGAAGTACCTCAAGCCAAAGGAGTACACGATCTTCTTGTTGATCTGAGGATATGTTGCGCGTAGGTGCATCATGGTCCTCTTTTCAGCTGTGAGCTCTTCACAATCTTGAGGAGCAGCTCAGCCAGCAGGTCTGGTAAAGAAGGTGCCATCCTGGCGACCTCGTATAACGGACGTTGGTGAGCTTGAATTGCTTTCAAACAGACGCAGACATACGAGACACAGTGCAGTGTGCAGCCCCAGTGTGTGGTGATGAAGTAAAAGCAGGTTTGAGGTGAAGGAGGTGCGGACAAGCTGTGACGCACACCAACACTATTCACTCTCACCACTGCTACCCGGACTGCGACCCACGAGGCGAGAGGAAGCGCACCTGAGAGGTAACTATTGATGGTTCGCTGGTTCAGCACACATTTGCAGAACGTAAGCAAGTGCAGGTGAGGAGTGAGGTTAGACAGGTGTTGTGAAGCATTCGAAGCTCTTTTTGAGCTTTCAGCAGGCTATTTCCACCATCTACTATGCTCACTTCCGCATCTGAGCTAACGTAGCTTTCCCAGCACTGCTCTCGTTCGACCTCCCAAGCTCTGCCGAGATCCACTCGCCAATCTCTGACAGCTCTTCCATGTTCACACCAGTTTTCATGCCCAGGCTATGGAACAAGTGCACCAGATCTTCAGTAGCAACATTGCCAGTCGCACCAGGGCTGTACGGGCACCCTCCCAGACCACCTACTGCAGCATCGAAGGTGCGGATGCCGTGCTCGAGAGCTACCACCGAGTTCACCAGAGCCATGCCGTATGTGTCGTGGAAGTGCAACGCCAGGTCGTGCTTGTCGATGCCAGCAGCGTTCAGAGTCTTGAGAAGTTCAGCGGTCTTCGGCGCGGTGCCCATGCCAGTTGTGTCTGCCACGGAGATCTCGTCTGCGCCCATCTCTAGCAGGTTGACAGCCAACTCTGCCACTTTGTGCGGGTCCACATCTGGTCCTTCGTATGGGCACCCGAGCGCCACTGAGATGTATGCTCGCACCTTCAAGTCCATCTCCTTCGCCTTCGACATGATGGGCTCGAACCGTTTCAATGACTCTGCTATCGAGCAATTTGTGTTTTTCTGCGTGAACGACTCGGTCGCCGCAGTGAAGATCGAGATCTCGTGTACTGGACCTCCAGCTGAGCACGATGCTCGCTCCTTACCCATGGCTTCGGCGCCGGAGGTTGCGGAGGGCATGGCGTTGGGATCTTCAGACGAGATGTTCAGCGCTGGGCCATCGTCCGGCCCTGGTGAGGGTGGAGGTGTTGGGTATGCGTCTTGCGCTGTGGACGACTGGGCATTCCACATCTTGAGGAAGCTGTCGAAGCCCTTCACGTTCGGGAGGAGCCATTGGTATGTTATCGGTACAGAAGACTGAGGCGTGCTACGCAGGACATGTTCGAGGATTTCCGACGAGTTTGCCATCTAGAGTACATCAGCATCAGGCCACAGCATATCAACGAGCCCTCGACCTACCTGAGGTGTCCATTTCGGCGACACAAACGACCCTGCCTCGATGGTCCTCAGACCAGTACGTGCAAGCCTCTCAACCAGCTCTATCTTCGTGGCTACAGGTATCGCCTTCTTCTCATTTTGCAATCCATCTCTTGGTCCAACTTCTACAATACGGACAGCATCACGGCTAGAGGCTGCCGAGGCAAAGGTCCTTCGATGACACGGATAACGGGCAGCGAGACGCGCGGAACGCAAGCAAATAAACTTCGAAGACATTCCCTGGGGTAATCACGGCGCGAACAGGGCAATTGAGGCTTGGATGCAGGCGAAGTATGGGGTAATAGCGTGGTGGTGAGAGCTGGCATGGAGCTATCGACCCTGGATGTGGGGAAGGGCACCTTGAGCCGAGGGAGCTTGGACGCGTTCGCCAGGAACCAGCTCTTGGACCTTCCTTGAACCTTCAACAGCCGACAGCATCAATACCGAACTCCACAAACTGTTACACAATGGAATCTGGCTGATTGGAAGAACCAGATGGATTCAACAGTGCTCCCTTTCCCCAGATTTCGGCAGTGTCGTGCGAAGGCATGTACACGCAGTTGCAGGCTAAGCATTCGGTACCGTGTACCAATGTCATGGACGAAAGACAGCGCTTGGCATCTGCGATCTCAGAGCACTCACGAAAGCAATTAAGTACTGCTAGCAAGTCGAAGCGCAAAGAACAAACACTTCAGTTTCCTAACAACTGCCGTCGATTGAAGCTTAAATTTACATAAGCCACAAAGTCAGAACTTAGCCCAGAGGAGGCTGGCGCAAACTTTGCTAATAGAAGGCATTTGCATGTATCTGCCTGAGGAATCACCCAATGGAACCTTCGTATTTCGACATCCATTAGCTTCCGTCATATGCGGCAGCACAGACTTCAACTGACATCGTCAGGAACATGATGTCGCTGGGCATGTTGACCGCTCTTTCGCTGAAAGAACCAAGTGCAACTCGTCGCGCGATTGCCCTCGTGTCTAACCACCAGATACGCTCAACTCTGGTCTAGTAACGACGCTAACTCTAATTCCTAGTAGAGCATTTGTGGGGTGCAAAAATAATTTTAGCTCCCATGTCGCCGGAGAACCCGCTTGTTATAACCTGGCAATTCGCACTTTCAATTTCAATTCCAGTTGCGAGATCCTCAACCAATGGTCTCGACCACGGAACGCATTCTACATGGAGTCGTGCCTCGGTCAAGAATGGCATGTTATGAGCATCATGCCAGATAATTGGCAGGATGAGAACGAGGCTCCGCGCAGCGACATTCGAATTGCTCCTGAGTAATACCGGGAAAATTGCTTCAGTCAGACTCGGGGCCCGTCCGCGGCGCGTTTTGGCCTGCTCGCTAAGACATATCTGCGCCTGTCTCCACACAGCATGAATCTAGTAATTTGTCCAGAGCTTTCCATCATCGTTGAAACAGCATCTGATCATCGAGGGTCTTCCAATCTAACTGAACGTCCGGGGTCTTCGTCCAGACCACGAAAAGGGATATCGGCAACGGCGAACGCTCCACATCGTTGCATACCATGTCGTCGGCATCCCAGGTTCTTGAGCGGCTGCTGACATGATCCCGTGAGGCTCACATCGAGTCAAGCTCTGCAAAGTACAGCTATGGGCTGTGCTCGGAATCCATGGGCGATTCCTTCCCGGCAAGGCAAGCACGCAAGGCACATCAGGTCTAAATTTGCAAAATGCTTCGAGAAGACCACCGAGGGCTCCGCCGCCCGACTGCAGCAGGGCACTCGTTTCCCCAGACTTTGAACTCTACCCCCGCGCAAACCTGAGTGCGCCAGTGCCGTTGGGTGAGACTTGTCTCCAGGTATACACGGCTAGCAGCAGGACGCCTGGGGAAGATACCTTGTCTAGTAGACATGATGTGCCTCCTGACGGGACGTGTTGGAGTGTTTGTTACCTCAGAAAAACTGCTGAGTGGGTGGAGCTGCACTGGAGCATACACGAGCGCCAAAGTAGTACCTCTGGCCGATGCGTGTCTCTTGGCTTCACCAACACGTGCGCGCCCACCAATGCGGAAAACCAGCGGTTCAATCATCGGTCAGAAGACCGAGCCGTCGAAAGAAACTTCTGAGATGGCGCATCTAAACACGCCGTTGTGATGGAAATTGGTGTTGGGTTAGGGCAGCCAGGCGTCAGCGATGCATGAAATCAGCTATTCACCAACAGGAGATGGGCGCCAACCAGATATCCGCAAACAAAGCAGTAGCGGCGGAGTGATACTCAGGCATTGGCTGCTCGATCAGAGATCGCCGAGCGGAGCACTTGTCGTGGTAGTCGCAAACCGTTTAAGGGACTTGAAACAATTCAGGAGTAGGAGCACTGCGACGACAACAGTGAGCGCCAGCAGCGGTGATGATGCTCCTACGCAGCCACTGCTAGCGCCAGATGCGTGAGTGGGGGCGCGGTCTGCTTGCACAAGTTGCTATGGTCATATCTTGTTCACATCAGGCCCGCATGGCTGTTATCGAGTCAGCAAAAACCCATGAGAACGGTTCGCCAAGAGGTTTTGCGGAGCAGAGAACAGCGCACGCAGGGCCGGGCGACTGACATCGTTGGCAGACCGACTAGTATCCCAGGCCTTGCGTGCAGCGTCTGCATTATTCCTGCTTCTTCCCGCGGTCACCCTCGATGTCATCGCAATATCCTCATCTGGATCTTCGCTGCATCGCTCAACGTCTGTTCGCGCGTGCTGCCGCTCGCGTGCATCCTCACGCAGATTGCGTCACGCTCGCGACCACCGCGAGTCCTGCTGCAGAGATCCTCTCCTCGCAAGAATCAGCGGCCGTGCTTTCTTGCGGGGTGATGACGGTGAAGAGCAGCCGCCTCTTTAATTTTGACTTGCCCTCCCGGAAGGTTTTCAGCTTGGCAGATGCTTTACAGCGGGCGGCTTTCGCTGCGCACTCCAAGTGGTGAGCGCTAGGCGCTGCTATCTTCTATACAGCTTCGGTGCAGCTTCGAAACAGTGTCTCGGTCGGCTCCGTCGACCACCTGCTTGCTGGTCATTCGTTGGTAGGCTCACGCTGCCCATGGCGGACCTGACGCTATCAGCGGTGGCTTTGCAGAAGCTCGCCAGCCGAGCAAGCCCTTGAGCGCTTCCTTACCAGCGTACTTGACACAAGCTCTCTGAATGGCTAAAGGCGTTGGTTGCTCCGAGGCTAGTAGCCGGTAGCAGATCGAACCCATCACGAGTATTGATTGGTGGACGCTCCGTGGCGTCCAGCCTTCTCCGTCCTGCAGGCGAACCACTGTCGCCATCCACATTCCAAGCTTCTGACCGGGGTGCGACACCCTTTCCACGATGTAACCCGACCAACAACCCACTCGGGACTGCAATTCGCCGTTCGTGTGTGGGGTGCGGTAGGGGGTTGCCACAGACCAAAGCCTCGTAGCGGCTGCTTCGAACATGCGGGCACCTGGCCGACTTGCTGCAGGCTTCAACCTTCACGCACATCTCAAGATGACCTCCCTCCGCTCATAATATCCTAGCGTCCAGTCTGCCGCGGTATTTTGCATCCTACTTCTTGGCACACCGACAACCCCTGCTAACTAGAGCCCTGACCTTATCATACTGGGGGACCAAGCTCCTTACCCTTACCCGTCGAGAGCCAAATAATACTTACCCACCCTGATGCGCCTCTCTATGCTTCATTGAGAATTGCCCCTCATCCATTTGTCTATCTTTCTTACACACACCTTACACCCTACCTCGCCTACAGATGCAACATTGTTAGCACTTGTGTCAACCAACATCCTTTATACTACCCAACATGGCTGTCGCTTCGCCTACCACCACCCAGCCCATTGAGGTCAAGAAGGTCGATGACAGCAATAATGCAGCTGCCGCACCCAAGAAGAGGAGGAGAAGAGCACCGGCTACTGGAGCTACCGAAGACTGCTTCTCATGCAAAAAGCGTTCAGTGAAGTGCGATCGAAGGCGACCATACTGCGGACAGTGCGTCGAGATTGGCAAGGAATGCACTGGATATCGTACGACTCTAACATGGGGAGTGGGGGTTGCCAGCCGGGGAAAGCTTCGAGGCATGTCACTGCCTATCGCCAAATCACCCTCTGCGACCACTACCACACGGAAAGAGTCGACAGCATCTACCTCCGCTACCAATGGCTCCAACAGTGCCAGCCATCATTCGTCCAGCTTCAACAGCCGAGCCAGCGTTGACTTTGGTATCCACTCGCCTACAAGTCCCATGAGCCCTGGCAGCATATATTCGGCCCCGCAAGAATACCAGTACTTCGGCCCTACTAGCCCAATCCCCATCCCCTCGCCATCTACCCAACTTGGATTTCCTATGCAATCGCCTGGGGAGCATTTCGATATGATGCACCCACTTGCTGCGAAGATGAGGAGACCGTCACAGCTCAGCAGAGGCCCCCTTCGGAGGTTACACACCTCAATACATCTGCCTTTCGATGAAGGCGGCCTGTCAGCCTCGACTGCCTCACTCGGCACATATAGTGATAGCGACTTCCCATCACCTGGAGAGTACCCGCACACCCCTGGAGACGAGTTTCCCTTTGCGGATCCCTCCATCCCGCGGTATTCGCCTATCCACTCCTACGACCAGACACAGATTGGGTCAATGGACGGCTTCTTTCACCAGGCTCCACGATCGTTACCCATGGCTGATGACATGAGCTCCAGCGTCAGCTCAGACCAAAGCTTACAGGACTACGTCGAGGTGAGCTCGGCACAGCAGAGCACGGGTCCTGTAGTGTTTCACGATGTTTTTGCGGAAGGGGATGTAAGCTCGAGTTATACTGCGTTGCCTCAGCCAGCTTTCTCCTTTCTTCCTTCGGAGGGTACGTCAATGTCTTCTTACGGTTCCGGTCCCCTATCTCTCGACGTACTCTCGCTCACCACGTCTATTCCTCAGACTCTTGCCATCGCTTCGCCCCTTTCCCCTCGGATGCTATACCTCATGGACTACTACGACAAATTTATATGCCCGGTACTGGTGGCTTTTGATGGCCCTTCGAATCCATACCGGATGCACATCATACACCTAGCCATGCAGAACGAAGAACTCCAGAACGCCATCGCTGCGTTAGCGACGAACAACATGCGCATGCGCGGAGGCCTAGAGGGCCGTCGATTAAGTGCCCCTGGTGACTACCGTCTCATCCCGCAGCACGCATACTCGCAAATGACTACCCAAGAACTACGAGAAATGCATGGCGAGCCAACGAGCGAGGAGAAGCACTATAAGGCCCAGTCTATCGTAACACTGAACAGGAAGCTAGTGGACATCAACGGTTCGCAGGACGACTCCGTACTAGCCACTCTTCTCATTCTCTGTCTCTTCCACGTCTGCGACTCAGGCTTTACGAAATTCAAGACTCAGCTAGCGGGTGTTCAGAAGCTGCTAGCTATGCGAGACAGAACCGTACAGTCAGAGTTTGTTGGCTGGATCGAGCTGTTCTTCACCTGGTTTGATGTCATGACAGCTGCTGTCAACGACCGTGAGATCGAAGTTCGCGGCGACTCTCTAGACATGATGAACCTCACTGCCAACCTTGGCGCGCTGGAACACCACTCCGGCTGCGAAGGACGACTATTCAAGCTTATTGCTCGACTCGGAAGACTCAACCTACTGAGCCAGAACCGACCTGTACGCGACAACGACGACACGCCTCAACCATCTCCACGACCTAAGAAGACTAATGATTTCTATTCTTTCAACTTTGACCACATCGACGGCAACGGCTGGGGCACACCCATCATCGAGTTCCAGGATCCGTTTGCTTCAGCACGCGAAGACCCCCGCTCTCCATTCTGGATTGAGTGGAACGACGTACGCATCCGCCTCCAAGAGTGGGAGTTCGGTGCACCTGGTGAGAATGCTGCCGACTCTTGCGAAGCAACATCATCAATGCTTGCTATGTCTCCCAACGAAGCAGCACTCCTCCACATCAGCGAGAGCTTCCGCTACGCAGCGCTGCTCTACACAGAACGCCTTGCTCACCCCACACTGCCAGCCGGCGCACTCAACTTCCAGAACCTCGTAGCACAAGGCCTCTTCCACATCTCACAGATCGGCGTCACAAGCTGCGTCAATAAATTCCTACTCTGGCCCCTCTTCATTGTCGGCACTGAGTGCGTCGACCCTGAGCACCGCGCCGTCGTGCGACAGCGCTGCGTTGAGATCCAACGTGAGAGCGGCTTCTTCAACAACCTTAGTGGTCTCGAGGTGCTTGAGCGCGTATGGCAGGATGATGACGAGTGGGTCGATGGCGACATGCAGGGCCCACGACAGGGTCCCTTTGGTACATTGCAACAGGCGTTCCGGTGGAGAAAAGCGATGGATCGCGCTGACGGGGAGTACATTGTCATATGATTTTCTGGTGGGTGCAGCGGGATCTTGCATCTATTGGGGGCATCCATGCAGGCCGGGGCTTGCATTGGTTCGGCCAAAAGTGGTGATGCATTGAAGCGATAACGTTGATTGTTTGTATATATCGCGAGATGTTATGGGCATCGATACCCTGGAGATGCTGATGCAGCATGATCTGCGATTGGTTTACGAAATGCATGAAGGCGTCACTATTCTACTCTACCAATACTGTTCTTCTACATCTTCCCCTGCGATCTCACACCTCTCATCACTAACACCGCTTGACTGTCTACAAAAGCGATTTCGAAGGACGTCTTAGTCCCTTAGGCCCGGATTCATAGCACAGGCCCACCCACCGGTGAACTGGCGGTTCCACAACAGCGACCTCGTGCACCATCACCGCACATCTTGAGCCTCCTCGCTCATGTCCTTGACTCGCCAACCCACAGCCTCACCTAATCTGCGGCGTCCTTCACCTCAGCCAATGAGCATGCACACATTGCACGCACGACTCAACGCCTGCTGATCTCCTGCAACTGCAGCTCAGCCACCTACTCACACACAACGGCCTTGCGACAAGCTCCTAGACGATGTTCCACCGCGTTGCGTGCTTTGCCAAGCAACGGTGTCTGCTGCGCGTGGTAGGCCCGGCGAGGACGGGAATAAGATGTGTAAGCGGCAGTGTTCGGCCACGCCGTGATGAGCGTTCGCAGGACGCGTGCTCATCTCGCCTCTCAGAGTCTACAAACATAGAAACCACGAGATCTGTAGCTGTGAAGAGTTTGCGTTATCGTGGCTTTGCGTTTCTTGAGCATGACGCGTTTGCGCAAGAACGTGTGGTTTGGTACCTTGGTGAAGGGGTTCTAGGGCCCGGCGCCCTCCGGCTTACCGTCTGAGGGATCGTCGCAGATCTCTGCCAGGTACTGTGGATCTGGTGTAGGACTTCAGGTTCCTGCAGTGTCTGCTTCTTGGTTACACATGTGATGCTGCGCGTACCTCTGGGCGAGCAAGTAGCCGGCTTGTACTTGCTGCCGGGACTTCAAGTGTTACCGTGCCGGTGTATGCCTTGGCGTACAGTATCCGCAATTGCAGTGACGGCCTCCAGGTAATCTCTGAAGGAAGGAGACTGCGGCACGGGAACGGAACGATAGCTTACCCCACGCTGTCGATGCGAAAAGCCACTGTTTCGTCAAGACCAAAGGAGATCTCAGGGAAAGCCTATGTTTTCCGCCTCTATATTCGCATGAAATGCACCAGAGAGTCAATCTCCGTGGTTGCATGCTCCGCGGAGTGAGGTAAATGGACAGCATTCGGCAAGAACCTGCAATTCCAAGCGCCCGGTGGATCAGAATAGTCCGCCGGAGGGTGGTATTCATATCCAGACTAGGGACCCAATGACAGACACGAACGACTTCCGTGCTTAGTCCACATCCAAGTTGACTACACAAAGGCTATTCGAGATCGGCATGCCCATGTGCTCAGCAGTCGTCCGAAGAGTCCCAAGCACGCGCCAGGAGAGATTTTCCAGGAGATGCACGCGAATCTTTTGCAACGGCAGTGTATCAATAGCACTTCTCTCCTTGTCTTTATGTCGCCAATTTTGCCCGATGTGGTAGTCACAGTGAACGTAGATCTTGCGCATGTGATATGTGGGGAACGATCTCTGTACGCAAACAGCAGAAAGCACGAAGGCGCTGGCTTATGTCAAAATCGCAAACATGGAGGAGCGCCCGTGATTCAAGGGGCAGCGGAGTGGCTGTAGGGCCGCTGCTCGTCATTTCCGCTTTGGAAGAGAGTTGGCGTTCGTAGCTCTTTGTGTCGTCTTTGTGTGCTGAGGTGCATCGCCAGGGAAGGCAAATGAGTTTCGGCTGAGGTTGCTGTTTCAGGGAGAGTTGTGGCGAGGTGCCGCTGTGGCCGGCTCGGCCTGCCTTTAAGTGATTGGCTGGTTTCGCAGTTGGTGGCGTAGGAGATAACGTGCAATCGCGAACTGCACAGCGAGCACTCTCGCGTTCGAGCTTCACGCCTGCGTGCATGTGAGATTGTTAGGGTACATATTCACATTTTCATGTAAGGACTTTCTGTAGAACGCGGCCTCTCTATTGTCTATGGATTCTGTATCGTTCGCACCTTTATCTTGATTGTAATCACAGCTCGCCCTCTATAATGTATGCACACCTATCTCTTAACGCGCTCTCCATCTTATATCCCTACACCCGGCTTGCTCAGCTGTGAAATCAGTGGCAAGATCACGAAAGCTTTTCCACCCAGCCATCGCATGCACATATTCTTGTTGCTTACATAGCAGCCCCAACAAGTAAACTTGTCTGAGTCCCATTCCTTAGGCCAACGAGGTGTTGGGAGACCGCGACAATGCTGCTGGACACAGCATTGGAGCTTAAGATTGTCCAGATCGAGTTGGTCCAGCTGAAGAGCAGCTTTGTCGATGACTGTCTGACCAAGATATTCAAAAGACACAGGATCCGAGTTGTTGGCGTCAAGAACATAGAAATCGTACCGAGTCAGTTATCTGACAGGAGGGATGGGATCATCAAGAAGTGGTGAGTTCAGGAGGCTCCCTGTGACAGTACTGTACTCCGAATCTGAGAATTCTTCTGGTCTAGTTGGGCCTGACGTATCTGCGTTGATAGAATTCAACGTCGACTTCATGTTAGATGTATCATGAGCCTGCTCATTCTCTTCGGCTAGTTCTGTAATGAGCGTTGTGTCGTTACAGCCCAACTCAACAGCGTCGTCATCTAGTACCTCGTCACCGATATCCCATCTGTCTAGATTGTGTACTTGTGAGTCATTAATCGTGCCGAGACTCTCCGCTTGATCCACTACGTCTTTGAGATATGAAAAATGTGAGCGGTACTTGTCGGTCTTGACCAGAGACTGTCTAAGTTGCTGCTGAAGGTAGTTGTTGTTCTCACGCGAGTAGGTTACCAGATCTTCAAGCATGTCGTTCATCTTCTTCTTCCTCTGTAGAAGAAGTTCAAGACTTGAAGGCTGTTTGGTAGAAGGGCGCTGTTTTATTGGTGGTGTTGCCATGTTCTTGCTTTGCTCAATATGAGAAACGATGTCGCCTTTAACACATAGAAATGAAGCGAGTATATGATACACTGGACTAAAGTCCTGGGACAAACACAAGGCAAACAAGGCACTGTGTATCTTTTGGATGACGTCTGTCTTACATCTGGGAACTGTCAGAGACTTTCGGAAGGTTTAGTCTGGTTGATCTCTGACCGAGACAACAAAGAACACGAGCAATTTGTTTTGGCACAACACACTTGATGAACGGCTCTTCAATGAAAGATCAGTCCTCTTTCATAAGCACTGGAACATCATTCAAAGTCTTAGTTGACAATTTACAAATCAGTGATGGACCAACATTACGATCTTCATCCTGCTTAATATTCACCACGACCCTCAGACCACCTCCTGCGATAACTTCCCGTTCGGCTTGCGTCAATGCCCGCAATCCTCCACGAACTGTTCTGCTCGCTGTGCGTATCTCCCTTTCCACAATGACTTCATACCGAGTCATCTCTCCATCCTTGCGGTAAAATCATGATTCGGGTCCCTCTACACTGACCATAATGTACAAGGCCATCGATTTGTTCCTCAACCTGCGCTTCACGCGTCCCGCCGCTCTCCATTCCATGATCCCATCCACTCCTAGCCTCACCGGCCTCCCAAAGAAGCAAACCTCACGACCGCCTCTCTGACCTCACCACATCCCACTATTACTGCCTTACTGCGCCTTGCCCCGCTCACCTCCACTCCCACCCATGCCGTAGTAGTAGGCTATGTATTCGAGGCCTGACCAACACCCCTGCTCCCTCGACTTGCGCCTCTTGGCTTGCGCCTCGCTTCTCGAACCCGTCCACGCATCTAGCCCTAGCGTGCAGATAATCTAGTGCCCGCGCCTCCATATCAGCAACCGCATGTGATGCATTCCATCGTGATAATGTGTGCTGTCTTGCTTTCTCGAATGGACGTGGAAGGTTCGATGCAACTGGCACATGCAACGAGAAGGCAGGAACAGGCTTGAACGCCGGAGCTAGTTTTCCTGCGTGTGGTTTTTGTGGCTGATTCGAAAGTCAGCCTGCTGGAGTGCTCTTCCCGCTCTTGCAGCTCGCTTGCAAGGCGCATGCAGAAGCGCCAGACTGGGTGGTGATCGAGATGCTAGTTCAGAATCGCTGTGAAGAAAATCGAGTATGGTCGTGCTGATTGCGTGCTTGGTTGCCTTATTGGTGGATATCTTACAACGCTCTAAGAGAACGTTGAGGTAGATCGCAGCCTCGTATTGAGCGGGTACGTCTCTACACAGCTCGTACTGCTGTGGAGTACAACGGAACTTGCAGTACGAGGATGGATACATCCGTCCCTGGACCCCTCGTTTCAGCAAACGGACGGGCATGCCACTGTTTTGAGAGAGAAATCCGAAGGGACTTGAATGCCTAGAAATGATATGACTGTCCAAGACGTGTGGTGCCGGACACCCTATCACCAATCTCTTCCTACCAGACTGCACTAACCATGACGAGCAAGCTTCCAGAGCGCCCAAACAGTAGCTAGAACACGCACTCAATCTATCTCTCCGCACGTTGGCGGTGACAGGTTGTAAAGGTGTGCAGCAAGTACTGCACTGTGACAGGTACATCTTGACGCATCAATAGCTTATTCGAACGTGTTGCATGTTTCAATAGTCTGTTCCATGCGGTCTCCTTCATTGGTGAGCGCTCGTGGGATATGCAATGGAAGGTCTTAAAGAAGGCTGCGGAATGCCTCGGCTGTCGTCGGAGACTGGGGTCGCGAGGCGAGCCGTGCTTCGATAACGTTCTCGAAGAGCAGGGCTGCAATCCTCAAGTACGAAGGCGTTATCTAAACCCCATATTGCGAGGTGGCTTTGGCTCGTGATCGTGAATGTGCTTCTGATCAGGTGCCTGTCTATATTGCTCTGCTTCTTGTTGAGGAGGCATCCAGTGCGCTGATTGTTCGAGTATTGGAATGCGTTTCCTGTGGTTTGGAGCCCGGAGCTATCTGGATCAGGAAGGTAGATAACGTGTGAGATGTGTCTAGCTGTGAGAGGATTAGAAGCCGAGAGCTGCGGAGGAGGCTGGGAAACCCTGGCTAACAACGGTACGGGAGTGTAAGCGAAGGGAGCCAGGGTGTGGGTAGGAAAATAAGAAACATTTGTGTCTATGTCAGTGACATTCCATACCAGATCACAATGTTCGACGGCTTGTGATAAAGTGATAATGATGCATATGAAGGCCCTAGTTTCAATTACCGGTTCCAAACTCCTGCGAATGTCGGTTGTTGCACTTGTGTGCCGCTACATGCTCATCTCGTCGGCCTCTTCCTCCTTGTAGCTCACCTTGGTCGCAGCAGCTCTGCCTGACTTCTTCCGTATAGGCGCAGATCGCGCAGCTCGCTTCTGCACGGCAGGAACCTCGTCCTCGTCGCCCAAATCGCTGAGCGGTGGTGAGCTAAGGCTATCTTCGTCATCGGATGGGGAGGGTGTAGGAACGGCCTTCGGTGCCTTCTTCTTTGTTGAGCTAGCAGCCCGTTTGGGCGCTGACTTCTTAGCTGGAGTTTTGACTTCGTCAAGGGCTGCGGCTTCACTAGTGACGGAGGCATTGTCGGTGGCTGCAGTCTTCTGCTTCTTCTTGGCGGGAGTAGCGGTACCCTCCTCTTTCTTCTTGATCACCCGCTTCGGTGGTCGAAGCCAATCCTCCATTGTGGGCGGCCAATACACTCGTCCCTCAGGCCCGCCCATGCCCACCTCCTCGTCAGGAATGATGGGAGGAGGAACGTCCTCTTCTTCCACCTCCTCAAGCTTCATGTCAATGTCCTCAAGATCGTCAGTCTTTTTCTTGCCCTTCTTGGGCTTCTTCTTCGGCTTTGGCTTCCAGGGCTTGTTCTCGTCTGGTCGCTGATGCGGCACGATGTCGTTGATGCGCTCGAAACCTGGTAGCTTGAACGTCCGCATGAGCTCGAAGACAGCTTGTTCCTTATCTTTGGCTTCGATCATCAAGTCCATCGTATCTGGACATGGAGGGAAAGTCATCACACGCGGTGAGTGCTTCCTACGATCCCTCCCAGTTATGGCACCTGGACACGGCTCAGAATAGTGCATCTTTGGAGTAATGTTCTTCTTTGACCAAGTTTCAAGAATTGCAGGAAACATGTCCATCACATCTTTCGTGCCTTCTCGAAGCTTGGTATTATCGAAGAGGATGTTGTGATGATGAAAGTCAAGCACAAAAGGTATGTTAAGCTCCTGGCACATAGGCAACAGTTCGTGAGCGTTCCAAACGACATCATCATTCTCAAGAACGAGGCGCTTTTTGACCTCGTCCGAGAGCCTTGCGTAGTTCTCACGAAACCTGTCAAGGGCTGCCGGCTTGTCGCCAAAAGCACCTCCCAAATGCATGATCATGACAGCGTCGCGATCTTGTTGTGGCGGCAGCTTCAGCAGAGACAACATCTCGGCGTGATACTCAAGATCGCGAATGGCGTTGTCGATGACAGACTTCCGTGGCGATCCCAACTGCGTAAACTGGCCAGGATGTGTTGTGACTCTATGGCCCAGCTCACCAATGACATTTCCAGCTTCGGCCAGAGCTTCTGCAGCAAAAGGCTCAAGCTTGTAACCGTACTCTTCGTGACTTGCAAACGGGAACATCTCGCTGCTCAATCGCATGAACTTGATGCCATATCTGTCATTCCATCGAATCATCTTGATGATGTCTCTGACATTGGCCAGGCCCAGCTCCTCAACATACTTCTGTCCCCGTGCATGATCAGCCGGTTGATCCCTATCGGGGCGGTTCTTGATGGCATGCTCGGGCTGACAAGGGTCCCTCAGAGGGTGCCGATGTTCGATGATACTCGCGATCCGGCACGTCCTGGAGCTGAACACGGGAGGATTGGCGTTTCGAAGGTAGGTGTTAAGACAAGCCTGACGTGCATGTTAGTCTGGTTAGGTTGCGTGGGGTCATGCAGGGGCCGTACATATCCTAAACGCCCCTTCCACGGAAGAGGAAGGTATTCAGAGTTTACAGGAGGCGGCCGTGCTAGGGCTTCTTTGAGCTCCACTTCGTCGCCCTCCTCGCCGTCTACCCCTTCGGCTTCAAGATCGCCAGTAACACCCGCATCCTCTGCAGGGGCAGTGACACTCCTTGTAACGCCATTTGTAGGCGCGATATTGCTGTCTCCACCTTCTGTCTTCACATGCGCGGCGCCAGCCTTCTTCCTCTTGGCTCTGCCGGCTGCTGGCGCTGCAGAAGTGGCTCCAGTTTCGTCAATGCTCTCGGTACCCGTCGATGGAACTGCCTTGACCTCCGTGGCTGCATTCTGCGAGCTCAAGGGCTTAGCTGAGGCCGCATTGACGCCGTTTACTGCATCGCCGGCGTCAATGTCGTGCTGATGCAGGTGGGCTTCTCCTTCGGCGCACTCATGCCCATCAGGCGAAGCCCGCAGAGCATTGGGCGCATCAAGGACCTCAGGATTAGTGTCTGGATTTGTGACTGCAGCCCCCCCACGGGAAGATTGTCGGCGTGGTGGCTTCTTCTCCTTTCCTGCAGCATTCGATGGCAGGGGCACTTCAGAGCGGCGAATCTTTGAACGGTCGAGGGGCGCTTCAGTGGCCGCAGGCAACGCAGCTACTGCGGATGCCTTGCGTTTTGGAGGCATGACGGAAAGATAGGGAAGTGCGCGAAAGCTCTGCGAGACAAGTGCCGCTCGCTGTGCCGTTCGATATGCAACGAAAGGACCAAACTTATGTACAGAACGTATCATGAAAAGAGGAGCTCAAGGTTTGCGGGTGAAAAGAGGAGATGCACGCTCAAAGTAAAGGGGGTATAGAGTTGTACAATTACTTCTGCAAGCCATGTTGAACGAGAAACGCGTCAAGCTCTGAGCGCATCGCGACGGACGGTGATGTCATGTCAATTGGTGTTTGTGTTCAAATATGGAATAGATCGACGGACACGATCGATCTGGCGATAAGCGAGACACCCTGGCAACAACCATTCGCCTCAACACCACGACCGTATCGTGACGAGTCTATGTCTATCTCGAAGAGACCACTGCTTGTTCACACATGAGGATAACAGTTGCCGGGTCAATCACTTAGTTTGAAGGAGGTCGCTCAGGTTCGTTGTAAGGATAGAATGTCGAACTCCTAAAACGAGGTATTCTGGCAAGAATCACTCATACCTCAATACCACGATTGTACCGCGATGCTGCAATCCATGTTGTAGCGATGGTATGTTTGAGAAGTGGTATATCCTAACCGAAGCGAACGCCATTCAACATTGCAGATTTTTTAAATGCTAATGAAAAAGCTCTTCTCACCCTGCTTCGGCTCAACCCACGCCCTCTTCAAAATCGGATCTGCACAAGAAATCCTGATTCTCTCTGGCGTCGCCGGACTCTGCAAATGCAACACACTTGTTTCACCAAATTGCTTCCTTGCCGCCTTCAATGCATCGCGAATAGCGAAGAAAACACAGCTGCCCATGAACAGCGGCGGTTCACCTGCTCAATGTCAGCAAAAACCCTCTTCATGGTGGAACAGGAATTTCCTTGGACTTACCAACACCCCTGGACCGCTGGATAGTGCGCAAATTCTCCCACTGCACATCCTTAAGCAGTGAGACATTGAAGACTTGTGGGATGTCACGGAAGCCAGGAATCTTATAATTACCGGGCCCCTTCGTAAAAATGCCCCCCGTACTCCTCTGCCATAGACTCTCCTCTGTAGTAAACAGGCCCTGACCCTGCACAAACGCGCCCTCAATCTGTCCATAGTCGATCGCGGGGTTGATACTACGGCCGACGTCCATCTTGATGTCTGCGCGCCGCGTCGTCCAGTCACCTGTGAGCGTGTCAATCTCGACTTCGGCGGCGGCCACGCCTTGGGTAAAGTAGAAGAACATTTGCCCGGTGTTGGCGCCCCAGACGTAGCCGATGTCCGGCGTTTTGTAGAAGCCTTGCGCGCTGAGATTGCAGCGGTCGAAGTAGGCCATGTGCGCGAGGTCTTTCATTGAGGCGCCAGGGCCGAGTTTCTCGCGGTACGGCTTCAGGCGTTCGTTGAGTTGTTCACAAGCGTTGTAGATTGCATAGCCGTTCAGGTCTGAGGAAGCTGATGCGGCGGTGGAAGACGAGTTCGCGACCGTGTTAGTGGCTGTGTCACTGATAAAGACGCTTTCGAGCGGTACTTGGAGCGCTTCGGCTGCGATTTGCGTCATCTTTGTGTGCAGGCCTTGACCCATTTCTGTCCCGCCGTGGGCGACGAGGATCGAGCCATCGTGGTAGATATGCACGAGTGCACCGGCTTGATTGAGGAAGAGCGCCGTGAAGGAAATACCAAACTTGGTGGGAATGATCGCAAGGCCGCGTTTGTTCCATTTGTGGGTCTTGTTGAACTCTTCGATCTCCGCTCGCCGGCGGGAGTACTCTGACTCTTCCTGGACTTGCTTGTACATGAGTGGAACGTACCAGTCCTTGATCTCCTGGTTGAAATGCGTGACCATGTTGCCTTCGGGCGAGTACATGTTGATCTCGCGCAGTTTCTCGGCCGGGATGTTGAGGTGGTCTGCAATCTCCTCCATGAAGGTCTCGCAGATGAACATACCCTGAGGCCCGCCGAAACCACGGAAGGCAGTGTTGGAGACGGTGTTTGTCTTTGCTACTCTGCCGCGGACGTAGACATTGGGGATAGAATATACGCCGTCGATGTGGGAGAGGGCGCGCTCAACAACAGCACCGGAGAGATCTTGACTCCAGCCACCGTTGTTGAAGACATCTGCATCAAGCGCCTGAAGCTTGCCATCCTTGTTCACCGCGACCTTCCAGCGGGCGAGGAAGGGGTGACGTTGCCCAGATGTTATGATGTCTTCGTCTCGGTTGAGCATACATCGAACTGGTCGCCGAGTCTTGTTAGCTGCAACCGCTACAATACCAGCGAGTTGGATTGAGCGTGTTTCCTTGCCACCGAAGCCACCGCCCATGCGCTTGACGCGAGCGTTGATCTTGTTTGCAGAAACACCAAGAACCTTGGAGACGTATGCTTGTGTTTCTGCGGGGTTCTGAGTGCTACTGTAGACTTCCATCTCGCCGAACTCGGGTTTGGGTACTGCCAGACATGCCTGTGTCTCGAGGTAGAAGTGCTCCTGGCCACCCATGCGTGCTGTTCCCGTGAAGACGTGATCAGCTTCTTCGAATGCTTTGTCTACATCTCCCTTCTTGATGTGGCGGAAGTGCTGGAAGTAGCTCTCTTGTTGAATAGCTTCTTCGATGGTAAAGATTGCTGGCAGCTCCTCGTACTCGATCTTGACGGCTCTAGCGGCTTGTTCGGCATGCTTCGCTGTGTCTGCAAGGATCATGCCGATAGGCTGACCTGCAGTGAAGACCTCATCGACCGCGAAGAAGGTCTCGTCACAGGAAGGTGCTCCCCACCAGTTCGACTCTGGAGTCGCCAAATCTTTGTGGTCTACGTAAGCAGCAACGCCTGGTAGATCAAGAGCTGCTTCCGCATCGACACTGAGAAGCTTGGCGTGTGCCTTTGTTGACAAGACTAGACAACCGTACAACTCGTTCCGCTGCAGAGGGATGTCGTCTGTATACTGGGCTTCGCCCGTGGTCTGTTGCATGGCAGCGACGTGGCTCTTCGATTGTCCAACCTCGCTCTGCTTGTATGCCTCAGCTGCCTTGCCATCTTTCCAGCCCGAGCTGATATCTCGCTCGATCTCGCCGATCGCTTGTGTATCGACCTCGGCCTCATCAGCGTTCAAACCAGCGAGCACTTCGTGGTAGAACTTGTAGAAGAAGCCTAGCGCAAGCGTCTTCCTGTATGTTGCCATGCCACCAGGTACACCGAAGCGCAAGTCAAAGTCCTCCTCGAGCTTGGCCATGACACCTTCCAAAGTCTGCAAGTCTGTGAACTTTCTGCCATGAAGGAAGTCTGTGGCCTTCTTCGCGACGATCGTTGTTGGCGCCATGCCACCATAGACTAGGCTCACATCCTGCACAGTATGCTCATCGTCAAGCGCCACTCTCAACGCAGCATTCACAATGGCAATGTCATCGTCCTTCCGTTTCGACTGCTTATATGCGCGGATGTATTCGCCCTTTTCCTTCGCCACAGGGATCCTGAGACTGGCGATGATAGCGTCAGGAGGCAGAGCCGTTTGCCTATACCCCTTGAAGAAAGCCGACATCGGTATTTCTTTCGTCTCCTTCAGACTCTTTGCTACCAGCGTGGCATTGGTAGCAACAAAGACTGGGTTTAGATCCGAGATGGGACTGGCTGTTGCAAGGTTGCCCGCAGGCGTACCCACGTTCCTAATCTGTCTTCCAGCAAAGTAACGGATCTGCTTCAGGATTGTAGCAAACGGCTGTCCCCTCTCTTTTCCATAATGCTCCACAGCGTCTTCACATATCCGCTCGAGATCCGTTAGCACCACGTTTCCGCCAATCTCGAGATGGTCGTCGTTGAAGTTGAATTGGCGCAGCTCAGGGATATCGCCAACGAACACGGAAGCGCTATAATTCATGCCTTTGAACTTGATCTCGATCTGCGTTTCTGTAGATCCACCGATGAGCTTTGCCGAAGGGTGTGCGTTCTTGATATCGAGCAACTGCTGCAGAGTTGTAGGCCTGTACCACCTCTTTCTCTTGTTGCCAAATGCCAGCGGTCTAAACTCATGCTTGCGAAGTTGTGGTGGGAAGATCAACTCGGTGTCAGGCTTGTACTCAATGAAGCCTGGAGGTGTAAAGCGCTTGATGGGCTGGTCATCGCTGTTCGCTCCGTTAGTCTTGCAGCATCCTCCGCCATTTGCACCATTCTTTTCCATGCAGCATCCACCTCCGCCATTTGCCTTTGCTTTGCCACACCCAGTCTTGACACTGAAGCTTTGTGCGGCATCCAAGATCGGCCTGTATCCTGTGCATCTACATAAATTGCCATCGAAGGCTTCCTCAATGTCGTGTTCGGTGGGTGCGTCGGTGTTGCGCAGGAGTGCGTATAAGCTCATGACGATTCCTGGGGTGCAGAAACCGCACTGGCTGCCATTTCCCTTTGCTATTCGCTCCTGTGCTGGATGTGGTCTCTTGACATTGCCTATCCCTTCGACTGTTATGACGTGCTTGCCGTCTACGCTGACCAGCGGTGCCAGACATGCGTTTACGGAGGCGTGATATATCTTTTTTGTTGTGGGGTTGAACTGTGAGACGACCTGTGGAGAGTGTCAGCATTTCCCTTCGACTTGAATTTCTCTGCAGCACCAGCACGGTTTGAATATTCTACACCATGCCTTTTTGTATAATCAAGATCGTAACATACCACTGTGCAAGCTCCACATCCTCCTTCCGCACACCCCAACTTCGTCCCCGTAAGCCCAATCCCCCTCAGATACTCCAACACTGTGACTTCCGGATCTGCATTGTCAAGCGTAACCTTCGTGCCGTTCAAGTAGAACCTCAGCGTATCGTCAAATCCCGCCGTAACCTCGTTAAGCTGACGCAGCGCATCCGCAGGCGCAGCAGGCGCAGATTCCGTCTCGATGAGTCCAGGCGCCATGGTTCTACCTCGCCACGACCACAATATGCAAGGGGCGAGTAAACAGGAGAGAAAGAGGGAGGTACCAGAACCCAAAAGTTGAAGGAAGGCAAAAGTCAGTATTCATCATGTACCGACTAGATACAGAGCTCCATGCGGTATGTGGAGAACGCCGCGGTCCAACCCCGAACCGCGCTGTCCCATGGTCCCTTCAGGATGATCTCTTAGTCCTGACAAGTCCGCCAGCGAATGAGATGGCCTGGAAATCATCGTTATCGTCGTGTCAGGCCGCGGTGCGTTCCAGGTCGCGTGCAGGAGCTCGCCGATGGCCGTTAGTATGGAGGGGCAAAGGGCCCCACTTGCTGATTGTGGTTGGTGGCGGTGGCAGATTGCACGTGAGCGGTAAGGGCTGAGGACGTAAGTTGGGCGATGGTTATGAGAACAGTCTTGGAAATGAGGACTGTGGAGAACATTTGCAAGGGAGGGATTAGTATGCTTCGGAAGGAGGGACGAGCGGATTCGCGTTGTAGGATTTTCCCAAGTCCCATAAGTGTCTTGCATGCAGCCTAGCATGCGGTGCAGGTACAGTCACAATTTACAGCGAATGCTTTGATATACGTCTGCTGCATCTCATTCGTTTCTGATTCCAAGTGTTTCATTGTGTCCAATTCATTTGTGGGCATCGCATGCCCACGGGTATCATGTCAAGTTCAACGCCCAGAACACCGTGATCAAGTCGCTACTCTAGATAGCTTCTAAGCCTTCCCCTTCCCCTTACCCTTACCACCGCCAGAAGGCCTTCCTCGCTTCTTTCCTGTTGTGACGGTCTGTTGTTGCTCTCCTCTGCCTTCAGCAGCTTTCATGCGATCCAGCTCCTGCCGTAGGATGTCTTCGAGAGCTTCGTTGCGGCGTGTGAGTAGCATGACATCGTCTGTGTTGATGGCTCTGCGGCCGGCGTGCCGGGAGAAGGTCTCGAGGTCGCTCGCTGTGTTTGCTGGGTCCTGTCAGTTGGTGATGTCCCGGATCTGTGGATCATACGGAGGTGCAGGCGAGGGCGTCTAGTGGGGAGTCTTATGTAGACTTCTAACACGTACCGATCTGTGTGTACACCAGCTCAGTCAGAGCGCCAATGAACTGTGGTGTTGCGTTCAAATCGTCTGTGAGGAGAGCATCGTCGACGAATTGACCGATCGAGTACCAGAGTGCAGATTTGAGGCGCTGTGTTAGGTCTTTGTCAGCAAGTGCGAAGCCAAATCCATATGCGATTAACATACCTCCTCCTGCTCGGCAGCTTCACCATCAATGGAGGCCATGATGCTGTGCTGTTGGATCCTTCACAGAGAGGTGATGGGATTCAAGCAACGACGCGACGCGTCGTGGACAGCCAATAGCGGGGGAGATCGGAGCGCTGAATCAGCGCGAATTCATGTAGAATCAACTCGCGGCCGTTTAGATTGCGGAAACTATATGGCTTAGCAGAAACAAATGATTACGTTCTACAAGTGTCTCCCTACACCCAGCAGCACTCTCGAATATGCAGAGAGGTCGTTGGCTGTCTCGACTTGCCTCATGGTTTGCGATCTCACCGCCCAATTCTGCCGCTGTGAGTTATTTACCAGTGAAATGAACTTTGAGTTCTTCACGTCTGCACTCCCCCTTACTTGGTGACATCCGCATACAAACACGCTCGCATACGCCTACGCTTTACCAGTCTACGCTGTGACATCACTCTCGCTGCACTGCGACATCCTCCAGTCGAAGCATACCTTCAGACTAGCCCATCCACACCTTCACATCTACCGTTCAGAGTCCCCACCACCGCAACAATGGCCGAAGAAATCTCCTGGAATGCGCTCGTCGCCAACGTGGTCGAGTGGAAGGACCGTCTCGTCAACAACTCGGTCAAGTCCTGGGAAGAAATGACCGCACAACGCTGGATCCGCATCATTGTCATCGTTGGTGCATACATGCTCATCCGCCCATACCTCCTCTCGCACGCCGAGCGCAGCCGGAAGCGCCGCGCCGACAAGGAGGCCGCAGACCTGGGCCTCGATGCTGGAACCGAGATGTCGGCCAACGACTTCCGTGGCGGGAAAAAGAACACGAAGAAGGGCGATGAGGGGCTGACGCAGCGATCAACTCTCAGATGAGAGGGAGAACGGCATGGGCATTGCATTCCGCGGCGTTACTGGGTTTGCTACAAGCTTTGCGAAGCTTTTGGGGGTGCACAAATATCTAATGGAATGCGACAAGGAAGCTGGAAACTGCACGATTTGCACGAGCATACTCGATCCATTTTTCGTTACGAATGCATTGTTTACTAACCGGAGACGACAGCAGCATGTCTGAGATGATTACTTGGTTTTTACTGAGACAAGATCGAAGACTCCGAGCAGGGTGACCATCACAGCACGTCTTTCCTCCTCAAATCACTTTCAGTCACTTTCTCGCGTCTGCTCCCTTGTCACGATTCCTTTTTGTCCTTCGTCTATATTCGATCTGGCTTCCAGCCAGGCCTGACCAGATGCACGCGACAACCAGGAATTTGACGCGCAACTGGCCCACCTGCCACCATCCCTTGCTTGTAACCATACAACCATTATGACAGTCCAACACGCCGTATCCTCTTCCAGCGCATCTCTGCACTCCAGCGTATGCTGACCATAATCACCATGGCACCTCGATCCATCATCGGTGCCCCGGGCGCACTTCCTCTCGCTCTTGCGCATATGTAAACGTCATCGCCATCACCCCTAAGAGACCCACACGCAGACCGCCCCAACGAGCCCAAGGACTACAACACCCTCAGCCCACTGAACGCTGACGGCAGCAACTTTGCCTGCAAAGGCTATCACCTCAATACACCACTGATAACAGTTGCAACATATGCTGCTGGAAGCAAACAGACAATGAGATCGAAGGGGAGCGCAACACACGGCGGCGGTAGTTGTCAGATCAGCTTGAGCTGCGATGGCGGGTCAAACTTCAACGTCCTCAAGAGCATCATGGGCGGTTGTCCCATAAGTGACAGCTACGACTGCACATTGCCCAGCGACATACCGGCGGCGAAGCAGTCTGGTGGCCTGGACATGGTGAGAGTTTCCTGTCATAATCTCCTCGCATGGCGTAGGATGAGATTGACTCTGAATGGCCGTATACAGGTTAAACAGAATTGGCAACCGAGGGATGTACATGAACTGTGCCGTGGTCGACATCACGGACCAGAGCAAGAGCAAGCGCGATACTCAGGCCGCGGCTACAAAGGGCTTGTCGAAATATCCTGAGCTCTCCATCGCGAACCTTGCCAACATTAACAGCTGCAAGACAGAGGAAACTACCGATGTCATCTTTGGTAATCCTGGCAAGCGGGTTGCTTTCGGTAACGGTGACAGTGCCTCAATGCAACCAAAGCTTCGGCAGAGGCCAGTGCACTGCAAAGCCATCTAAGAATGCTGGCAGCAAGGATACAGCGCCGAGCAACTCTGGCAGTGGTGGTAGTGGACAATGGACCCCACCTGCTCAGAGCAAACCGCAGCAGGGTGGCGATTGTGCGACCAAGATCCAAGACGGGTACTGGCATCCTGAGTGTTATGGTATTCCTTCTTGGACGACCGAGCAACAACAGCAACCGGCACAACAGCAGCAGCCCCAGCAACCGAAGCAGGATGTACCGCAACCCGATGCGAAGAAATCGAACAAAATGAAGCCGAATACAAAAGTCGAGCAGCAGCTTGACGCGTACCTGGCGACGCTATATGGCAGGGGTCTCGCACGTAGGAACACTGTGCCGGCAGCCGACTACGCCGAAAACTACGATCAAAAGAAGGAGTATTCAGCACAGCCGCACACGCACACTCATACAAAAAACTGCAAGCATAAGACCACTGGCTACCCTCCTGGCTCGCACTACCACAACCAGGAAGACTTGGATCCGTACCCCGAGGACGGCATCGACCACTCAAATAACGTCTATCATACCCAAGACTCACAAACCATGCAGATCCAGACTCTGCAAACAAGTGAACAGCTCGCCAGAAGCGATGGACATCATACACCAAGCGTGCAGAGGGCCCACGCACACCGATCCAATTCCACCGTGGTGATGAGAGTGCGTACTACCAGCAGCAAGCATCCACACAAGCATCTGCTCAAGGGTCTGCGCAGGCGTCTACGCAAGCATCTGCGCAAACATCCGGTGGTACTCCAGCGCAGAAGAGCTGGAACGATGTGAGCGATTGCGAGAAGTTCGAAGCTTTCCTCCGCCGGATGGTCGAACTCAGCACCAACATGGCCTCACTCACCAAATATGCTGCCGCTTCGACTGTCAACATTCCATATTACACTCCTGCATCTACCTACGCTTCCATTGCAGCTACTAACGCGGAGTACGCACAGAAAGCGAGTGTAGGTGCAGTGCGCAGGCACGCTAAACGAGGCGTTCTTTCCTCCGCCGATTCACCCCTGCTTCAAGTCTACCCTAGACCCGCAGTCGGCAGCATGAGCGCGTCTCGCGGCGCCACAGATGCTGATGATGGCTTCAAGGCGTGGTCTCTAACCTCATGCAAGGGTTGATGACGAAGAGACAGCTCATCGACCCCGTGACGAGCGAAGCGAGCGCCCATGCGGGTGGCAGTATCAACATCTTCGACGCATTGCTAGCCAGTTTCTAGAAGGCATTTGGCGACCCCCTCAACGTCTATAGTGATAAGCCTGAGACCGATCCTGTGCCGCCTGAGTCCGAACCCGAGTCTGAGACCATACCGTTGGTGTTGGGTGAGCCAGATATCTACAATGGGCTACCTGACTTCCCGGACTTCGATGTTCCAGACCTAGATTGGAACTACACCTTCCCTCCGCAAATCTGCGCCACCCATTCCTACATTGCTGCCTGGCTACATAGAGGGTCCCGATGGACCAATCTGGGTTGGTGAAAGACCTGACCCGCTAAGAGATGATTCATCTTCCGATGAGCCGAGCATCATCATCTCTATTGACCCCATTGATCCCATCGTTGGCTCGGACCCAGACACTTCTACCTTCTCCTGCGTCGAGCCCACTGCACGGAACCCTACAGAAGGACAAACCTTAAAAAAAGAATGGAAAGCCAGATACGAGAAATGCATGAATGACCCGACCGCTTTCTGTATTGAGCCTATTGGGAGGTTCTCACAATTACAAGTCCAGTACGAAGATTGTCTCAAGCTCGAAGCTCTCGACGCCATCGCATCCCCCTAGCCCTCCCACGGCATCTACCCTGACGAGCCATCATTCCCAGATGACGGTAATGATGCACCACTCGAAGCCCCCGACGCCAGCGGCCGCCGCCCTCGTCCAGGCATGTCGCATCCGCTGATCCCCTACCCCTCACCATCGAACTCACCGGCCCCTACCCATTTAACTCCACCAGCGATGCGAGCCCGGCTCCCTACCCTGTCCTCAATGCCACAGCACCAGCAAACAACTCGACAGCTCCTCCCGTCGAGCTGCTACCGTACCAAAACTAAACACTTGACGAGCTGGTCAGTGAGACATTGAATTAACCCGGACTCGCTTGATCCTTTGCCTGTTGGTGATGCGCCAGTCGAAGATACGCCTGAAGAGCCATCCGACAATGGGGCTATTAGACTCACGCCTGTGCCGTCAGATTCGTCTGGCGATTTGTCGCCGATCGAGGAGATGAATCCACTGCAAGAAGCTGCTGATCAGGCGAAGGAGGGCGCTACGGTTCTAAAGGAGACTGTTGTGGTCGATCCTAATGCGCTGGAGAGTATTGCGGATGCGCTGCCGTGGCTGATGGGTCCTGGGACCTGTTGTCACGGATGAGAATGAGGAATTGCATATTATCGAGGCAGCGGGGGGCCCGCAATAGATGAGTGATTGAAGGCATGATCGGTGGATGGGTAGATGAGGTATGATTTTACGACGCATGGGAGAAGGGAAATGATGATTTGTTTACGGTTGAGCCTTTGGGACTGATGGCCGGGACAGAGGTTTATGTTTAGTTTAGATAGTTTGCATAGTTTGTTTTGCATTGAATGAGTATGTTTACCTGTTGAAAGATAGCTTGATTCTTGAGTTGAACGGAGCAGATGTAACTAGCTTGATTGTGCTGCGTTGTCTATCGTCTGGGTATTGGTCTTCAATGACAACGCGTTTGCAATGGACAGGTCATAAAGCACCCGAACAACTCTATCCTTCACATATTGACCTGTGAGGCAAACCCCGCGCTCTTCACGCCAGAGTCTACATTATGTTGCTAGTATACGTCCTCCTTGCACTGGCTCTGCCGTTGATGGCAAGCCAGCCAGCAAAACCAGATCCCGATGCATCGCCTGAAGAGTACAGACAGCAGGTCGCAGCAAGTATCCAAGATCTAACATCCGGCCGTCGGCCACGAGACCCAAGAATGAGTGGTGCAAGCACGGGCCGCCTGTTACTGGAAGGCGTACTTGAGAACGTGAGGATATATCGACTGCACAAACAAGAGAAAGCGCATGAGGCAAAGGCGAAGGGGGAAGAGGAACGGAAGAGGAGGGAGAGAAGGGCGAGACGGCATCACAGAAGAGACGGCTCGCGTGAAAGAGAACATCGCCATAGGTCGCATAGGCATAGGTCTTGCGAAAGAGATAGAGATGCGCATCGTCACAGGCGTCGACATTGTTCTGCTGACGAAGGCGAACGTCGGCATAGGCGGCGCCATCGCCATCACTCGCAGGAGGAACACGGCGACAGAGATCCCAAAAGTCGTGTTGGTCACGAGCAGCACCGACCCCAACGTAGTCGCTCTACACCAAGCGATGAGCCACCAACATCCAGTGCCCAACACCTAATGTCCGGCGCCCTGCACGCCGCAGAGGCTCTCCTCGGTCCAGATGGCACACCGTTCGGTTCGCTTCCTACAAGAAGTAAGGGTGTAGGTCTCCTGCCGCATGCAAAGACGATGTATCGACACATCAAAGCCGAGCAGGATGCTGGACATCGGAGCAGGGGGTTTGCTGAGAAACGTATGGATGCTTTCTTGCAGAAGAGGAAGGATGCGAGGAGTGTTGGGAGTGTGGAGGAGGAAGAGCCGCTGATTGACCAAAATGGGCGTAGTGGTCGTGATGATGGTCGAGAGCAGCGGAGTCGAAGGCAACGTAAGGCCAGAAGTCGCAAGCGTGAGAGACGATCGAGAAGGGATGACTACTCTATTCATGGAAGAGTAGAAGATGCTGGTCAGCCGTCTGGCGCACATGCTGAGCACCTGGAATCGTCTCGGTCTTCGAGATCTGGGTGGCAGCCGACACCGTTCGTTGAAGGGCCGCCACCGCCAGTGCGGCCGTCGAGGCGAAGCAGTCGCCATGATCGTGACGGAGGTGTTTCGCCTCTTCGGAAGAAAGAGGGAGGCAAAGCCAGCGAGGGAAGCAGAAGTGCTGGAAGACCTCCATCAGTACGCATCCAATCACCAGCACCAGCACCAGCACCAGCACCAGCTGCCTCTGTGAGGTCAGAGAAGGCGCCTACTCCATCGATCCGAAGCGCACCTTCGATTAGAGATGGTCGAATGGGAGATGCAGGAGACAGTCGAAGAGCTAGTCGTGCTCCTACGATACGTGTTCAATCACCCACACCGCCCGAGCCAGCGAAGTCTATTCGGCCACCGACACCGTTCGCTCGTGGAACGCCACCGAGAGTTCAGTCGCCAGAACCAGAGCTTGGTGGGCTTGCAAGTGCAGTCAGGAGTCCAGCTCCTTCACATCGTCGTCCTCTACCTCAAGTACCTACTCCACCGCCTATGATTGCGACACCACATCCTGCTACCCCGTCAGTGGTTGACATGCCAGTTGGTGTCATTCCTAGTGTTCCGCCAATGCCTCCACCACCGCCGCCACCACTTTCTCCTCCACAACCAGCTCCCGCTCAACAACCAGTCGATCCAGATCGTAACACATTTCTTGCCAGTATCCAATGCGGCGTGAAGCTCAAAAGAGTGTGTGAAGAGGACAAAAGAGACAAAAGAGACAAAAGTGCGGCGCGCAAAGATGAAGCTCGTAGTGAGAATGTCACTGGAGGACCGCCGACGTACGAGGGAACACTGCATAGCCATGACATTGAAGCACTCGAGCATGCTCAGGCCGTCGAAGAGATGGAAAGGAGGCAGGAAGAAGAGCGCGCTGCTCGTACTGTAACACCACTTACCGCACCACAGCCGAGGGTGCAAATGCCCACTAATTTCCAGGATGAACTTGCAGCAAGGGTACGCAAGATCAACTTGGCCCAACAAGGAGACCACGATGTATCGAAAGCTAGACCTAATGAACGGAACGTCGTTAGGCCTTGTGCATCTAATGAGACGTGGAGAACTGTCTTCACAGACCATGAGGAAGAGAACAGGATACCGGATCGGCAGTTCAGGCAGGATCTGGGAACCAGGCTATCAGCAGGAGAGACTCCGCGACCGCCAACAGGTATGACCAAATCCATTGAGGTTGCTTCCGGGGAGAAGATGCTGACATCGATAGCAGCGGCAATGCCTTCTCAGGCACATCCAAGGGCAGAAACTCCAGCGCCTGATGTGTTCGTGAACTTGGCAGCAAACGTTGCTGGGTCAGGTTGGCAATCTGGGCAAGGATGGGATTTCGGTAACGTGCCAAAGGATGGTTCTGATAGATAGCATGGCGGTGTGACTCGATGATGCAGGCGACATGATGTTGTGTTTTGTTTGTTGTGAAGTTTAGATCGAAGTAGTCATGAGAGCTGCTTTTTCCATCAACTGGAGAATGTGCTGCCGACCACTGACATTCCACGCTCTTTCCATTGCCGTTGTATCCTTTGGAGACAGCAAAGAGTCGATCAAATTCACGCTGTTAGTCAACGGCGAATCGGAGTAAACGGGACGAGGAGGCGGTGGGCTGATGGATGGAGCTCCAGACAGCGTCCAAGCTTCAGCAATTTCGCGGCTCTGGCCCGCTAGAACGAACGCGTGGTATCCATTGTGTTGTGGCTGACGTTTCCATCTCCGTCTTGTGCTGCCTCAAGTCAAGTCTGTCTGGCATTTACCTTTTGATTCGATTCAATTCAATTGCTTCACTGTAGATTGTTGCCTCTTCCATCACTCCTTCCGTGCCCCGCCCCGCAAACGTCATCTGGACCCTGAGCCACAGGCAGCGACGCACACAGCAACTTTCCCTGCTCATCGCGCAACCCTCAACACCACACTCCATATCCACAATGCGTTTCTCGACAACAGCTGTTCTTGCCCTGCCGGCGCTCACTCTCGCCGAGCAGCAAATTCCCCTGCTCGACAAGGTCAAGGGCTTCTTCAACCAGGCGACCGCATCTGTGGCCTCAGTCATCCCCTCTGCGCCTTCAGTGCCCTCTGCGCCTGTCGAGGCCGCAGCAGCCAAGGCCGCCGCCGCTGTCCAGCATGACCTGACCCTCGAGAACTGGAAGGAAGTTCTGACTGTCGACCCCACCGTCAGCGCGCCTGCGACACAGGAATGGCTTATCTTCGTTACTGGCGGCAACAACACATGCTACGGTTTCTGTGGGCCTGCTGAGAAGGCGTGGAACGTATGTATTCAGGGTAAACCTCACTAGATTATGTGGCTAACGATGGTAGGCATCCGTCCCTGTCATCGCCGTCCAGCCCTCTTCGCCCAAGCTCGGCTTCATCGACTGCGAGAAGGAGAACATCCTGTGCAACTCGTGGTCTGTCGGCGCGCCCTCGCTGATCAAGTTCCGCATTCCCAAGCCGTTGGCCGACCAGTCTGCGCCCGTTCCTGAGTTCCGCTACAAGCCCCTGAACCGCACCTCGACCACCACCGAGACCTTCAAGGAGCTTGTTGTCGACAACAAGATTGACGAACTTGCGCCTTACGAGGGTCTCTTCCACCCCTTCAACGGCCTGCTCCAGCAGTACGGCCTTGCCATTCCTTACGGCTACGCTACCTGGGGATTCTCGAAGATGCCGTCTTGGTTGCCCATGATCCTTATCTCGTTCTTCAGCAGGACCTTCATGTAAGCACATCATGGAAAAAGATTTCAACAATGTTACTAACAATGGACCAGGAGTAAGCGCATGAACCCTGGAGCCCCCGCTCAGCAAGGCGGTGCCGCGCCAGCGGCCGCTCGCTAGAGTCCAGCATCTTTGCGCGAACACAGCGGTAGTATGAACTGATCGTCGTGACTAATGTACATGGACATGCCTTCTCGACTGTTAGATATCACTGTATTCTCGAGGGATGCCGGGGTCAGCACGCATCGTCGTGGTGCTCTTTGGACGAGTGGAAACCCGCTGTCGTTGGGTACCATGGTTGACAAGGATGCATTGCCATAGATTCTTGTACTATCGACAGCGGTTTCCGTTCGTTCGAAGAGTGCCATGACTGATGCGTGCTGACCCCGGCAGTCTGCAATGGCTTCGCCTCTTTAGTGGACGAAAGCGTGCTATGCAAAAGGGCGAACAAAATTTGGGGTGATTAGCATTGAGCGTAGTTAGGATAACAAGACAACATGAACGATAAGATCAATCCCTGGGCTATGGTCCTGATTCTTGGAGAACTGTGACATGCGCGTTCAATGTCTACCCAGGTGGCGCATCACTGCGTTGTGTACAACAGGCGCTAGGCAAATCTTCGGCTTGCGGAGTTGAGCGCGACCAGCGAGATTTCTCGACGCCGTGCAGGCGACTCCATATCACCACAGCACAACATGGTCAACATAATAGCGCGCGCGCGGAAGCTGCAAGAGGTATATTGATATTCCGGAACCTATAGTGTGATCCATTGAACGCCACTGACACTCATTGCAGAAGGTACGAATTGATCGGTCGCAACTACCCCCGAACGCCAACCATACTTCCGCAACCTACGATCCGCTACGGCTACGACGAGATGTGTATGGACGATTGCTGATTGTTGGAATAGCTGCTATGGATACGGTGTGGGCCGGGCGCATTGGTGCTGCCCAAGGAGGTGTCGAAGATTAGCATGGAGTTCAACACCAAGATCTACGGCGGACACAGAGGCGCGAGGTATGCATCACCCTTTCTCCATTCTCGTGGCACAAATAGCACAAAGAAGGCAAGCAAGCTACGTACGAGCGTGTCAACACACAAGTCCAGCTTCCAGCACGACAGCACCACCCAGCACCCCCAATTAATACCACCCCCCCAGGAAATTCTGGCGCGAAATGCTCCCCCGAATAAAATACCGCAACCCCTCAGTCCCCATCGAAATCAGCCGCCACACCTCCCCCGACGGCCCGGCGTTGCTGCACATCTACACAAAGACCACCCCCAACACGCCCGACGGCTCGTCCAACACCTCCGTTCCCAGCTTGCACACCCAGTCCGGCACAGCAGACACACCGCCCTCTAGTACCCCGAACGCACGAAACACGCTGGTCCCCGACGCCACAAAACCTACCTACAGCATCAACATCCGCGACCAGCAGCACAGCGAGATTCTGGACGCGCTGCTGGCGAAGCTGCCGGAGAGCGAGGTTGTGAGGCCGACGCCCGAGGAGGAACAGCAGATGGTTGACATGGCCGAGTTCAAGGAGAGGAGCGAGGCGGATCGTGTGCTTGTGCGGGAGAAGCTCATGAAGGAGCGCCGGGAGGCGGAGTTGTTGCGGTTGGCGAGGGGTGAGACGGCTGCTGCTGCTTAGACCGGGAATCTGTATGGAGAAGGAGAGGGGAAGAGGAGGGCTGTATGAGTAGCATGGTGTTGAACATGGCGTGATCACGGCTTGCGAAGAGTATGGGATAAGACGTGTATAAGTATGTGTAGCAAACGTATCCATCCAGATCCAACGCAGCCCGGGACGCAGTACGAAGGCATCCATGGTTTTGGTCATGCCCTCGCACTGATTGCGCGGTCATTGCAATCCTTGAATACTATGCTGCTTGGCTACCCTAGGGGAACGGAGGTATACACATGTGTGAGAGAGAACTGACGACCGCAGCAGAGGCATACGAAATCGAGAAGTCACAAGCTAGACCAGGAGACAGTGGACGTGAACATTGCGTTGTCTCCGTAAGAACGCCTGACACTCGAGGCTCGCGGTTGTAATACGATTGCTAGACTGGTGAAGCAATTGCTGGGATAAATTTATGTGGAGACTGCTGCTGCTTCGATCAGAAAGGCGTGTAGGTGACGTACGTATGGGCCGTGGGCTGTTGCAGGGCATGCAGGTAGTTCCAATGAAGCCGTGGAGCAGATTCCAGGACCCCAGCAAATCAAATCTCAAAACCATTGCCAGTGGACTACGGCACCGGTGCAGCAATCACCGTTCTTGCTCAACCGCACAGTTAGTAATGTACAATAATCCTGCAGTCCTGCAGTCAAGTCAGGTGCGTCTGCGGAGGCATCGTGACACAACGTACGGGTACGCGTCTAGATGGTAGTACATACACAGCAGCGACCGCGCCGTGCGCGCACCACTAGCGTCTCGCGCCTGTGTAACAATTGCTGGAACAGGAGATATGTCACTGGTCTGGGAAACAGTCGATCAGGAGTGCGCGGTTGGATGGCTGCGCGTACGGGTGGTGCAGCTAGGTAAGTATGTGGGACCGTTGGATTGTTCGAATGACGGGTGCCGTTTTCCGTTACGCGTCTTGGTGCGAGGCGAGTTGCGAGCACGTTCATGTTGGTAGGTTCGATTGAGTAAATTGCTCATTGCGCCGTAGGCGAAAATCGCGGACAGTGAAGGTGCTAAAGAAGGGGGCTGAATTGGAAGGGAAAGAAATAGATCGCTCTGGATCAAGGTGATTATACGTGAACCGAATCGGAGTGGGATTGCCATGGTATGCGAGCATGATGTTACGAAGAAACAGTTTCGAGTCGCAATTTGCAGCTGAAGGCTCTGCTGCTCAAGGAGTGGGAACCATTACGTTTGCTGATCAGTTGGCAGTGGCCGTCTTTATGTCGCTCGCCATGTATGTGTGACTGCAAAAGTTGTTGGTGCAGGGGGTGCTACGCAAACGATCGTGTGGCTTGCATGTCGCTAAAACGAATGCAATCCTGGCGGGTACAAAGATTGTGTCTGCGTTAACGGCGATAATCGGTCGTAACAGCAGGTGCTGCGACCATAGTCAGTGTTGTTGCAGTTGCCACTGCGAGTATCGGTATGTTAGCTGTTGTGTGTATTCTGCAGTGTATGCCTGGAAGCCGATCCAGTCTAGTGTAAGTAGGTGTATGGCGTCGACACTCAAGTCAGCGGCTGAAAGTGTGAAGCAATTGATTCTCACGTGCTTGCCTTAGTGAGGACTGCAGTCAGGTAGAACCAGGTGTCTGGGTTGCAGACACGACAGTAACTGCCAAAAGTCGATCGGAAAGACGCAGGAACGCCCGATTCGAGCTGCATGCATTGTGGCGTGTGATTAGTTGACAGTTGTACCATTATTCTACCATAGTACATATCTCGTGTACGAGATAATGCATGATACTCATGCAACACCAGCACCTCTCCACCAGACTGTGGCGCCCAGTACGAAAACGATGACCATGGCGTCGCTGACAACTGTTGTGTATATAACGCCGTAACGGCCAATAGTTCTGACGTAGCCGCCGTATGGCGGTGGTAGGAAGCCTGCCACTGTGCTCAGAATCCCACTTCCCTGTAACTGACCCTTTTCGATGAAGTAGCGCGATGACTGCATGATGACTTCGAAAGTGGCAAAGAGGTAGAAGAAGTGCGCGAAGTTTTGTGCAGATGTGTTTTCGACAGTCCAGTCTTCGTCGACAGTAGTCAAGGCAGTGTTACGTGACAGCTTTGATCCAGTGAAGGGTGTCTGCAGGACAATGTAGATCGCAAGACCCAGCGAGAACAGAGAGTGTACCAGGCGCCATATCCAGGCTGAAGATAGCTCTGGTGACGGGTCAGGGGCCTCGCCAGCACCACCCATGGCTGAAAACATATTGGCGAGACCTGGAGGAAGATCACCCGGACCGCCTGGCTGTCCTTGAGCGCCTGGCATTCCGCCTGCTCCAGCACCCATCATTTGCTGAAGCATAGCCATCATGGGGTCCTGAGACGAGTCGCCTTGCCCCGGAGGGAATTGCGGGAAGGCACCCGTGGCGTTGCTATCGAAGGCGAAGGGGGAGGGGACACGTGGTTGAGATGCGGGCGTGTAGTGATGCTGCGATATGTCTACCTCATCTGGGTCTGGCGTTGCTGTTCCTGACAATGCTCGAGGCGTCGGGGCTGGGGAAGGTTGGACTAAAACCGCAGTTAGCCGTGTACTTGAACTATTAGAGTTGTGCAGGTCACAAGAAGGAAATGCAGGCACGCATATACGCGCCCATACATATTGGCTAGAGTCACAGGCCGCACATACCGGGTAGATCTTTCTGTATCTCGCTTAGATCTTTGGGAGGGCCACCTTGTAGTGCCGAGATTTGTTGCAGTCGAGATGCACCGCTTTTCGCGGCGAGGCGCTCTCTACGGAGACGTGCCTTTTGCTGCGCAGGCGTCTCGGCACCACCAGGTCCTGGCGAGCCGGCAGGTGAGTCAGCCATGTTTGCGTAATATGGTGGCGCAGTTAATAGTACGGCCGTTGGGCGACAAAGAATGGTTAAGGTGGAGTTGTTTATTTGGTGGTGAGCCGTGAGCTGGAGGGGCCCTGAAGCGATGTCATCGGAAGCGACGAACCTTAGCGCGACAGGGATGCAGGGATTAGCACCAATCGGGACGCTAGCTTGGGCCCACTTTCACTGACCTTCCACCCTTTCTGTGTAACACAACACAACGCTCGAGAATCGGCCCTGTCATTCTCTTTCTCGACTCGTGTTGCATCAAATGGTCGCACATTGGCCTGGGACGATCCGCTCTACCGATAAACTGCTTCCACTAATATCAGACGAGGACTGCATTTTGACCAGGACTTACCCAAGTCAACGGCTTCACCGTATGTCCCGGCTGTCTAAACTTTCCATCCATGCACGCCTTTGCTTTCTCAAAGCTTTGTAATGGCGCGAATCCCTCTCGAACAGGTCGTTGCTATGTGCCACAACACATGGCACATTTCACCGCCTCTGCGGTGCAAGGTGGGAACACAGTCCATTGGGATTTCACTGACCATGGGCCTGGGTTTGAAGCGTCGAAACAACACCAGCGGTGTCCCTGTATTCGCAGGAACGCAAAATCGTCGACGACAGTATCTTCTGTCAAAATGCTCCTTCCGTACGATATCGATGCAGGGCCTCTGCTTTGGTCTGTCGCTGTGAGCTCGCTACGAGAGCAACGATGCACTAAATCAGTCTAATCCAATCATCCGGAGAGTCGCCAACGACGCTCCTATCGGAGAAAACCTTAAAGCTAGCTAGCTTTATCGATGGTTGGACAAGTCCATGTACCACATCGTCATTTTTCGATCCGTAGGTTTGCACACCTTACGGGTCAGTCTCGATGGGAGCCAGTGATTCTTGGACGCTTCATGCGATTATCCGGTACCCTTTTCTACAAGATGGTGTTCATCAGCCGCCAGTCAGAATCAGGTAAGGGCAGTACCAATGAAAGATCGGGGCTGGGCTTTTTGTTAAGCATCACAAGTCAAACGGAGATGCAGTGTTACGCGAATTAGCAAGCCCTTTCATATCCGCACCTGGTCTAGTAATTCGATTCGACTCCTTCACTACTGAAGCACCATAGTGGGTCTACATCTGTTGTACCACTATGCTCTCGAAACGGGTTCTCAAAGCATTCTACTCCGCTCGGCTTTGAGCTTGTAGCATATATGGTGGCTCACCCACTTCTCATCAACCCAATTTTCTCCCTGCCTTAGTTTTTCGATCTCAGTGGACATTACTTGACCACCTGAACCACCAGAATAATGTTCGTATCCACTATCAGAGTACATCGCCTGGCATTACGACCAAGACTTCAGAATCTTTCGTGCTCGCTTGCACAGTCCAGATCGCAGTCGACGTTCGCCGAGGAAGAGCCGTACTGGCAAAAGATCAAGCCATGGAAAGATGTTCCCGCCGAAGAATTCAAATCCTATCGATGGCAGGTACGTTCAATGACATTGGACAATCATTACCGGCCTGGTTGGCTGACTCAATGTAGCTCGCGAATACTGTACCGGACACACGAAAGTTGCATCGTTTCCTGTCCGATGTACTACCACCAGTGCTTGGTCCAACGAACAACCCTCTGCTCGAAAAGATCAAGACAAAAGAACATTTCATCGAGAACGCAACGGCTGCACTGAAGCTGGCACCAATGGCGATCAGACTGACTCCGCATCTGTTATCAGTCATTGATTGGAACAACCCGCTGGATGATCCAATCCGTCGACAGTTCTTACCCTTAGCAAGTGGGATTGTTCCGGATCATAAGGAGTTGAAGCTCGATTCACTGAACGAGCAGGATGACTCACGTACGTTTCCATTGTCTAGTTGAAGCCAAAGTTTCTGACCTCCGCCAGCTGTACCTGGCTTAGTCCACCGCTATCCTGGAAGAGCTCTGTTTCTAGGTGCGTTCACTTTGTGACCCTGCTATCACCCTAGTCCTTGCAATATCTTGCTTCCTATGCTCTCGAACTCAATACTGACAATCACAGCAACTTCGATTTGTCCAGTGTATTGTCGATTTTGTACCCGCTCATATGCAGTCGGGGCCAACACAGAAACTGTCTCAAAGACACCACAGAAGCCCAGCCGTAGGCGATGGGAGGTTGTCTTTCAGCATATCGAGAAAGATCCAAGCCTCCATGACATTGTCGTCTCGGGCGGCGATGCTTACTACCTCCAGCCTGACGACCTCAGGGAGATTGGCGAGCGGTTCGTCAACTCAAGCAAGTCAGCATCCAGTACCTAACTCTCAGCAGGTTACTTAGCATTCCTCACATCCAGCGCATTCGTTTCGCGTCGAAAGGTCTGGCTGTGGCCCCATGCCGTATAACTGACGAGACTGATCCGTGGACTAACACGCTCATCGAACTTTCCAACAAAGGCCGAGATATGGCCAAACAGGTGTGCCTACACACTCACATCAACCATGTCAATGAGATCACGTGGGTCACCCGTCAAGCGGCCAATCGTCTGTTCAAGCATGGTGTGATCGTGCGCAACCAGTCAGTGCTACTCAATGGTGTGAACGACACCAAGGAAGACCTCTCGAACCTCATTGAGACGCTGGCGAGCATGAACATTCAGCCGGTATGTACTAGTCTTTCCCTCCGCCACAAGGTGTCTTATTTTCATGAGTCAAAATACCCTCGTCTCTATAAGGAGCACTTCCAGCAGGTTTTGACTGGCGTTTATAGTACTACATCTACCAATGCGACATGGTACGCGGTGTTGAGGACCTTCGCACACCCCTTAGCAAAATTCTTAAGCTCGACAAAGAATTGCGTGGCACACTGTCAGGATTCATGATGCCAGCATTTGTTATTGACCTTCCTGGTGGTGGCGGCAAGCGCCTTGTGAGTACAGTCGAGAAGTACGATCCAAAAACCGGAATCGCGGAGTACAGAGCTCCAGGTCTGCCTGGCGAAAAAGGCACTCGGAAGTACACATACTATGATCCTAAGGCAATCTCCAATGTTGCTGTTCAGGAACTTCGTCAAGAGCAGGAGCAAGCGCTTGAGCGAGACATGTCTTTGCAAGACTTCGCCAGCCCCACTGTACCGCAACCGGGGCCTCCCATGCCGCTTGCTGGCAACCCATCCATTTACAAACCCAGTTTTCCGCGGACGTCTATTGCCGCCAATGCCCAGCAGACGGCAGTGAAGCCGGAGGATTTAACGCTACCCATTGGTGTCAGCAACTGGCAGCCATCCACTGGTGCTTCCGCAGCCGCGACATAGGATGGACTGCAGGTCTATGCTCCAAGAGGCAACCCTCGCCGCTGAGTTGCATATTGCCATGCTTGCGACCTTGCTAGCTTGCATACACAGACGTTTTCTTTCAAGATTATCACTTTTTTTTATCTGCTTTGGAGTTAACCGGGATACACAAAATTGGAACAGCATATCGGGAAGCCCAGATTGGATTGGACTGGAAAACTCGAAATTGCATCATCGTCGCGACATTTCACAAAAGTCATGTGTTCTTTGTTTCTGGGAGGGGCATCAGCGTCACAGCGTTTTCGATACCCACCTCGTCCCTGTTGGCTCAACCAAGCAACAACGGGCTGGTACGACGGAGCACAAATTGGTCATATTCTTGATGTGGTTTTCTCCTGTCTGATGTCTGATTTTCACCCAGTCTGGCGATCGTTTGTCCTCAGCTCATTGCAAGAGGCTTTCCCTAAAGTAACAACAATGTATAACGATCTGATCTTTCTGTATTCCGAGTTCTCGCCGGCTCTCTTGATTTTCATTCGAACAAAAATTACTCCGGTCTATGATTTTAACATGTGTCTACCTTCCCGTTACACCGCATTTGCAGCATTGATTTCCTCTAGCCTGACATCTGCCCTCCGCCCCCCAACCTCATTCTCACCAACCATCTCTTCGCCTTCACGGCCCATCTTCCTGCAAATCCTTGATCATGTGACAAATCCGGATCCCCTCTCCATTCGGACACTCCACAACATCCTCCCTCCCACTCCGCACATACCCACACCTCTCATACAACGCCACCCCACTCAACGTTGCGCCCATCTCCAGCCTCTCAAACCCGTCCGTTTCCTCATTCCCCTCGGCTGCTCTGGCTTCGCAGTACCGCATCATCATAGTCCCGAGGCCTTGGCGTGCGAATGAGGGGTGCGTGAAGATTGCGCGGATGCTGGCGCGGTCGGTAGACGGGTTGCGTTTTGCGGGCATCCGCAGATTGGACGGCGCGTTGTTGCCGCCGTAGAGCGTTTGTCGGAAGGACCAGCCGCCGCAGGCAGCGATTCTGGTGGGGGAGGTGAGAGGGTGGAGGATGTAGTATGTTCTAGGGGTTGTTAGAGGAGGGACTCTGCACTTCTTTTGCTTTCACTCCTGCTATAGTGTCCTCGCTATTGCACCATTATCTCAAGTTCGTTTTTTATCGTTATCAGCGCCTAGATTTGTTCGATCATGCTCCTCTTAACGTCTCATATCCTCTCATTGTGTTGCATGTCTTATCGAATGTAGTTGTTTCTCAGATACTTCACCATGCGCCGATACTATTACTCTGAATGACTTCGATGTATGCAAAAGGTCATAAAACGAAGCCCACAGTACTTACTGATCACGTATCAATACCGTATCGGGTCCGAAGAGGTAGCCTATCGATCCATCCAATTCGGAATCTGTGTAATACCCTTTTCCAAGTGCACGTAACGATTCTCCAATCATTTGTTGCAAAGCCGGTATGTCTTCCAGCGTTGCTGACCGAAAAGTGTAATTGTGCGTCGCTTCCTGCGCTTTGGCGTCTGCAATTGGGTCGTGGTGGGCCATCGTGTGCGAAATGAAGTTTATGACCTGGATCCTCTATCGGAGCTGAAGGCAAGGACTGGAGGTGTCTCTGATCAGTGTTTCTTGTTTTTGGCTCGCCAAGAAAGCTCAGTGTCTTCTTCAACGTTTATTTCGAGATTGACACTTGATGTTGAAGGTGCGATACCGGGTCAATCGGCCCTCTCGATCCGTAGTTTCCCGACGGAAAGAGCTTGGTCTACCGGAACACTTCCTTATCTCGACAGAGGCACATTGTGATGAATGCGGTAGAACGGTGTAGTATTGAGGTATTGAGAAAAGCTGCTATATGAAGACGGACGCTAGTGCTAGCAGGTGATGGCAATCGGTGGATTCTTCACCTGTCCCTCCGACACATTGCAAGACGCAATATTGGCGTGTTTACATCAGTTTCCCATCAGCTGTGCAGATGAGACTGATTGTCGATGTTATCTGAAGTCGTGGAACACGCTCTTTTGGCGCCATACACCGTCCGACTGCTCATCAGCTCCGTAAATTCCAAGCATAGACCTGATTGTTCATCACTACGTTGGCCACTGTCTTCTCGCTGCTCCGCCAGTGTAGAGATATTCTTTGCGTTCCGTGGCTCTCCAACACGGATCTCGTGAAGATACTTGCCTGACCAGCTTATCCAGTGCGTGACGAACATCAAGACTGGTATCCCAAGTAGCAACTTGGGTGAAATTCCATCCCTTTGTCTCCCGAAACGCGCTTAAAAGAAGTGCTGCTATGATATCCGGTCCTCTCTCTTCTTCTTGAATGGCATTGTGGACGCGTTGAATGTAAAGGCATCGACCTCTGAAGTCATGGTACCAGTATAGCCGCGCTTGGTCTTCGTAGGCGGCCCCTCGGTTCTGAGGTGCATTGAAGTGCAAGAGGTCGCCCATAAAATCAGCAAACGCGTGTTGATACCTTACTAGGTTTGCTTTTGGCAGGATGGTCAGTCTGCTTCTCTTGGGATTGATATCTGTAAACTGTATATCTGCTCTGAGCAATCCGATGTCTTGAGCGCATAACTCTTTGATGTCTGCGTCGCTCAAAGACCGTACTTTCAGGTCAGCGTAAATATCCAGGACATCCTGAAGCCATGGGTTGTTACTCAAGATGATCTCGGTGTTAGGTAGCGTAGTCCAACCCAAGTTCTCATAGAAGTGTGGTATGCCGCTATAAAGCATACTGACGACAACGTCGCCAGGGCCGTCGAGCCATTGCGCAACGTTCTGCAGCATATAGGAAGCAAGACCATGGCCACGGTATAGTAGAGCTGTAAATACTGAAGTGATGCAACTCCCTTTAGCTTCACTTACACCCTCTGTGCTGCCTAGGAGAAAGTCTCTGCGGAAAGTCTTGCAGGTCGAGATCACCTGGCTGTGATCGTCCTGACGGTAGAGGCACCATGTTCGACAGCCGCCATCGCGAGCCAGAGATTGGGTCCTCAGGTATTTCTCTTTTGCGACAACCTCGTCATCATCGAGGTATGATCCCCATGCGCTTGCTGCAAGCGTGTAACATTCGTGCTGTTGTTCAACAGTTGTCTCTCCGAAAAGCACTGTAATTTTGATGCCGTTCATCATGGTAATACTGTAAAGCCCCGCAGCCATGTTGATAAAGGCCGTTCACAACCGCCAATGCGCTGAATTCGCGGCGCTAGTTGTCGAGCGAAAGATGGCTGGAATCTTACGATCTATGCGGTGCGGATGCGGAAAGTACGGGGCCCGTTAGCTCCTCGAATGCGGAATGGCTCCGTGTAGTTTGTGGGGAATGCGGGGGCAGAGATGTGGAGAACGCCTTTCCGCAATTCCACGAAGTACAGCTCATCCCCATCAACATGATACCTTGAATCACTATCGACTTTCCTTCTTCATGCTAACCAAACAGTTCTCTCTACCTTTTGGCGCATATGAGGTGACAGACAGCTGCTAGGAAGAGCATAATGCACAGTAACAAACAGTTTCAAGCAAGCAAAGTCATCGATGACTCACAAATGAATCTGGTATGCTGGAGTCACACTGAATTCACATCCAATGACGACAGTTGAGTTGCACGACTCCGTACAGGCTTCGTACAAAGCTGCAACATGCTATTCCAATTGTTTTTGGCGGCACTTTACATACCGAACCCATACTTTCGTACCGAACCCATACTTTCGTAGTATATATAGAGCTCTATTCCTCAGATCTCCATCTCTGGTAGCAACAGCGGGTGTTTCACTTTCCTCGTCTTGGCATCTTTAGTCATTTCCCATCCAGTATGCCGTCACTTTACTTAGTTGCAGCGACTGCTTTCATTGTAGTTGGCTACGTAGTCAAGGTACGTGTTAGCATACAGTTCTAAATTTTGGTCCTGATTGACTCTTCTGTAGATCGTTCTAGCAGGTCAGCGATCACCTATCTCGAAACTGCCGGGTACATGGCACTCAAAGTACACTAACCTTGTCCTACGCTTCCACATCTTATCCGGCCGCCGAATCTTCTACGTGGACGATCTCCATCGACGATATGGCGACGTAGTCCGCATCGCACCAAATGAAGTCGCTGTCGCGGACATTGCTGGCGTGTCCCAAATCCACAAGATCGGTTCTGGATTCCTGAAGTCGAGCTTCTATGCAAACCTCACTCCCACTCGCGAGCTGGGAATTTTCGCCATGCAGGACCCTCACGACCACGCTGCTAGACGAAAGCTCTTCGCGCGTGCTTTCAGCAACTCGAGCATGAAGGGCAACTGGGAGGCGGAGATCAGACGCAAGACTACACTTGCCGTCAGTCAAATCAAGAACGCTGCAGTGGAACCAGGCAAGGGGGCTGATGTTCTCAAATGGTGGACACTCATGGCAACGGATGTGATTACGCATTTGAGCTTTGGTGAGAGCTTTGGCATGCTTGAGCAAGGCAAGGTAGGTTTCTTAATTCAACACATGTTCAAGGAAGTGGATCTAACTACAGTTGTTAGCAAACATCATACATTGATGCGCTACAGGCGGCGCTGCTAGGTGGCGTGCTCCGCGTTGAGCTGCCTCTCGTGCATAAGATACTAAGATATCTCCCCCTGAAGGGTGCACAGAAGATGGCCACTGCTGATGATGTGGTATACGACTATGGTGCTCTTGCCATCCACAATATGCGTAGCAGCCAGGGCAACACCCTGAATCTCTTCGGCCAGATGCTGGCTGCCTGCGATGATTACGAGAAGGCAGCGCTCCCCGACAGAGCGGTCCGGGAAGAGGCAAGCAACCTCATTGTAGCGGGCTCTGATACTACCGCTGTGACTTTGACCTACTTGGTCTGGGCCGTTCTGAAGGACCCTGCACTCCAGGCTCGCTTGGAGGAAGAGGTAGCTGGACTGAGTGATCAGCTGGGCATGACGGAGCTCGAGAACGCACCCCTGCTCAACAGCGTGATTGAAGAGACCCTGAGATTGTACGGAGCTGCACCAGGAGCCCTGCCACGCATCGTACCGAGTCAAGGGATGATCGTCGCTGGCCATCAACTCCCCGCTGGTACTGAGGTTAGCACACAAGCTTACACACTCCACCGAGACCCTAGAATCTTCCAAGAGCCGCTCCGGTAAGTTCATCTCGGTCTCGTACTCGGAAATTTTGTGCCTAAACGTGTTTTCACAGGTTCGAGAGCAACCGCTTCATGGACAAATCGAAACTTTCGGCCCAGCAGAAAGCTGCGTACATGCCCTTTGGCGGTGGCAGTCGCGTGTGTCTTGGCATTCATCTTGCGTATATGGAGCTCCGGTTGGCAACAGCTTTGTTCTTCAGGCAATGTCGTGGAGCTAAGATGAGCGATTGTATGCGGGACGAAATGATGGAGATGGACAACCGTTTCCTGATCGCCCCGAAAGGTCACCATTGTTTCGTGACACTGAGATGATTCCGGTCATATCCGAGTTGAAGAATACGAAGTGCACATGTCCAAATATATTTTCCTGCGAGTGTGCGGCTCTTCTGATGTTTTGTCATGGCGGATGGAAATGATGTTCAAGCAGGAAGGCTGCTCCGAAAACCTCCACATTGGCGCTGCCATCTCTGGCTAGCGCTCCAGCCTCGCACCGTCATTCGACCACAGGACCACACGTATACCTCACATCCTCATCTGCACCCCGGTCGTCCCCATCTTATCCCCAGGCCGTTCTCCCACCCGCCTGTTTTCATGTCTCCGAACGTTGCTGTGCCCGGGCACTCCCCGCATGTCTAGCTCTAATAGGAAGACCTTCCACCCTGTCATCCCCGCTAAATTTCGCACCCGACTGTCGGTTGAAGTTCGCCCATGGAGATTCACAATTCCACCAACATGAGGCTCTGATGACGCCGAGAAGCCCCGCGAACCAATATGCTCGCCATCACGGCCTCACGTTAGTGCATGTTGTGCAATTTGCACAGGCCGTCTCCACGGTACCTTCGCAAAGCACAAAGGCAACACCATGGCCGATCATATAACGGTATCGTCTCTAAGCTCCGACTTTGAACGCTTCAACCACCGGTAAAGATGCGGTCCATCAACAGCCTTTCATGGCTGTCCGTTCTGGCATCCCTGACTACCCCTATCACAGTCATCAATGCTCAAAACAACACAGTTGGACAATGGCCACTTCACGACAACGGCTTGAATGACGTTGTTCAATGGGACCACTACAGCTTCAAGGTCAACGGCAAGAGGTTGTTTGTCTTTTCCGGCGAGATCCACTACTGGCGTATTCCCGTGCCTGAGATCTGGGAGGACCTTCTTGAGAAGGTCAAGGCTGCTGGTTTCACCGCATTTGCTTTCTACGGCAACTGGGGTTACCACAGCGCGAACAACCACACCATCGACTTCGATAGCCCCGCTCACGACTTCACCAAACTCTACGAGATTGCAGAACGAGTTGGTCTCTACGTGATCACCAGACCTGGACCCTACGTCAACGCTGAAGCCAATGCTGGTGGTTTCCCTCTGTGGCTCACCACTGGTGCTTATGGCAAGCTTCGTGACGATGACCCACGATACCTTTCGGCTTTGGACCCCTATTTCTCTGAGTTCTCAAAGCGTGCTGCTAAGCATGGCGTGACCAAGGGCGGCAACAACCTCGTCTACCAGATCGAGAACGAGTATGGCCAGCAATGGAAGGACACCGTCAAGAAGATTCCAGATTTGCCCTCTGGACGCTACATGGATGCTCTCGAGAAATCGGCTCGCGCCAATGGCATTGACATCCCTCTGATCCACAATGATCCCAACATGAACACCAAAAGTTGGTCCAAGGACTTTGGTCCCGGTGCTTTAGGCAATGTCGATGTTGCTGGTCTCGACAGCTACCCATCTTGCTGGTCTTGCAACCTGGACGAGTGTACTGGCACCAATGGCGAGTACGTCGCTTACCGGACTATCAACTACTACGACCACTTCGTTGAGGTCTCACCTACGCAGCCTAGCTTCTTCCCTGAATTCCAGGGTGGTAGCTACAACCCCTGGGGCGGACCTGAGGGTGGCTGCCCCGGTGATATCGGCGCAGACTTCGCGAATTTGTTCTACCGCAACTTGATTTCGCAGCGCTCTACTGCCTTGTCACTTTACATGATGTACGGTGGCACCAACTGGGGCGCGTTGGCTTGCCCTGTTGTCGCCACTTCCTACGACTACAGCTCGCCCATCAGCGAGAACCGCAAGATCGACAGCAAGTACTACGAGACCAAGAACTTGGCCATGTTCACCCGCATTGCTGAGGACCTGACGGTCACCGACCGCATCGGCAACTCCACCAGCTACACCACTAACTCGGCTGTCAAGGCCAGCGAGCTCCGAAACCCAGAGACCAACGGTGCTTTCTACGTCACTGCCCACGATTACTCGCCTTCCGGCACCAGGGAGGAGTTCAAGCTTCGCGTCAGCACCTCGGCTGGTAACTTGACCATTCCTCAGACTGGCTCCATCGTTCTGAACGGCCACCAGTCCAAGATTCTCGTGACTGACTTTGCCATTGGCAACAACACCCTGACCTACTCAACTGCCGAAGTCCTCACATACTCTGTGGTTGACGGAAAGCCTGTTGTTGTCCTCTGGACTGGTGCTGGTGAATCTGCTGAATTCCACGTCAAGGGCGCGAAGAAGGGCTCAGTTGCTCAGAACGGAAAGGCTGCCAACGCCACCGTCAAGGCTGACAGCTTCGGTGTCTCGGTCAATGTTCCTGCAGTCAATGGTCAGAGCGTCTACGAGTTCAACAGCGGCGTCAAGGTCGTCGTTGTCGACAAGCCTACCGGTTACCTCTTCTGGGCGCCCAACCTGTCCAAGGACCCCTTTGCACCTGTTGATCAGTCCGTTATCGTCGGAGGTCCTTACCTTGTTCGTCACGTTGCCAACGAGAACGGCGTTCTGGCCCTCAAGGGCGACATTTTGAAGACTACTGACATTGAGGTTTTCGCTTCCAAGAGTTTCAAGAAGCTTTCTTGGAACGGCCAGGAGCTAAAGACTCACCGCACCGCTCACGGTAGTCTGAAGGCCAGCGTCCGGGCCTTCAGCGGTTTCATCAAAATCCCTGAGCTGAACAGCTGGAAGGTCGCCGACGGTCTGCCTGAAAAGCTGTCCAGCTACGATGACTCTGGCGCTGCTTGGGTCGAGGCCAACCACATGACCACTCCCAACCCCACTAAGCCTGCTACGCTGCCTGTTCTTTATGTCGACGAGTACGGCTTCCACAACAGCTTCCACCTCTTCCGTGGATACTTCAACGGTGCTGCCACTGGTGTCAACCTTGCTCTCCAGGGTGGTCTTGCTTTCGGCTGGACTGCCTGGCTCAACGGCGAGTTCATCGGCTCGTGGTATGGTAACTCTACGCTCGGCCAGGGCAATCAGACACTGTCCTTCAACAACGCTACTCTGAACTCCAATGGAACCAACGTCCTGCTCATCGCCCAAGACAACACCGGCCACGACCTGCGCGGTGGCGCCACCGACCCCCGCGGTATCCTTGGAGCCAGCCTCGTCGGTGGTGGCAACTTCACCAAGTGGAAGATCGCTGGCGAGGCAGGTGGTGAGAACATTCAGCTCGACCCTGTCCGTGGTCCTCTGGCTGAGGGTGGTCTTGCTGCCGAGCGTCTCGGCTGGCACCTGCCCGGCTTCGATGACTCGAAGTGGAACTCCAGCTCCCCATCCACCGGCTTCAACGGCGCTACCATCAACTTCTACCGCACCGTCGTCCCGCTCGACGTCCCCGCCAATGTCGACGCTTCCTTCGCTTTCGTCCTCAACGCTCCTGCTTCGAAGCAGGTTCGTGTCCAGCTCTTCGTCAACGGATACCAGTACGGCCGCTTCAACCCCTGGGTTGGTAACGAGGTCAAGTTCCCCGTCCCTGCTGGTGTTCTCAACTACGCTGGTGACAACGTCATTGGTCTGTCTGTGTGGTCGCAATCTGAGGAGGGTGCTAAGGTCGATGTTAAGATTGTCCAGGAGTATGCTGTTGAGAGTAGCTGGGAGTCGAGGTTCGACTCGGAGTACCTTCGGCCTGGGTGGACCGAGGAGAGGCTGGCTTATGCTTAGATGATGTTTCAATAGACGTGTAGATACGCTACGAGCGAATACGAACAATGTATGAGATGTAACCACAGCCACCTAAGCGTTTATCCTGCCAAGTGCATGTTCAACATTCTCACGTATATCGTGCACGTATATCATGTTGCTTTACAAAGTAGCTAACTCAGTTCTACATTTTGAAGCTTGAGTAAAACTGTCGAAGGACCAAAGAGTGTTTTCCTCCATCAGCTCCGCAACAACAATGCCGGATAGGACGTTAAACCAATCAATCAATCAACAAACAACAATGCCGACGATGCACGTTGAAGTACCGAGACCCTTCGAGGTTTCGGGTGTGAACCAAGGCAGATGTGTGGGGTCTAGCTCTCAGCCCAAAGCTCAAAGAGGCAAGCGGCCGCAACCATAGACCGAGGGGAAGTCGGCAATCAGTCACGTTGCGCTGCCGTTGCAGATCGGTTAAGAGCCGCCGAACCCTTGAACCTTGTTGCATTTGCGAGCGATTATAGACTTCTCGCCGTCTGTATACATATCTGTTGTTCTACTCAGAGTTCAACATTGTTTCATAGAGGAAGCCTCAGTGACAATGGCTCTCGGTTCGTGCACCCAAGCCCCAGCGTTTATCTCCAGCTTCCTGAGCACTACCACCACGACGTTTCCAAGCCCCACTAACACACCCCAGTCCCCGTCGCAGGCGCACTCGGCGCCACCGCAGCTGCCGCCGCCTACATCGATGCCAAATACCACATTACCAAAGACATCCGCGGCATCCTCGGTGCACGCGCAAACCAACGCGCCCTCGACAAGAACGCGGCCGGCAACGGCCAGTCGCTCTGGTACCAATTCGAAGCCCAGGTCCACGGCCTCCCGTCCGACGCAGAAGCCATCTGGAGTCGCACGGGCTGCTACACCTGGGCCGAGACGTATGCGAATGCGTGCCGCTATGGACAGTTTATGCTGCAGCAGGGCGTGCAGCCGGGGAAGCTGGTGGCTATGTATATGATGAATCGGCCGGAGTTTTTGTTTACGCATCTTGGGAGCTGGGCGATTGGGAGCGCGCCGGCGTGGATCAACTACAACCTGGCGGGCGATGCGCTGGTGCATTGTCTCAAGGTTGCCGAGGCGAAGGTCATTGTTGTGGACGAGGATGCGGACTGCAGGAGGAGGATAGAGGAGGTCAGGGAGAGACTGGAGGGAGAGCTGGGCATGAAGATCGTGGTGCTGGATCAAGCGCAGAAGGGCGAGATTTCAAGACTGGAGCCGAAGAGGCCGGGAGACGAGTTGAGGGTAGGCGCGAAGGGGAAGTTCCCTCTGTTTTTGTTCTACACAAGGTCAGTGGGCGTGAAGTGTTGTGGCAGAAGATCTGGCTGACGTGTGCAGCGGCACAACTGGTCATCCAAAGGCATGTCCGTTCGAAACACAGAGAGCAGCTGGCCTCACTGGTCGAGTTGGTGCCATGGGCCTCAAACCTGGGCCTGATGGCGACAGGTGGTACGTCTGCATGCCGCTCTACCACGGCACAGGAGGCACAACAGGGCTGGTCTGCATGGTCACTGGCATCACATGCTGCATCGGCACCAAATTCTCAACCTCACGCTTCTGGACCGACGTCCGCGACTCCCGCTCCACAGCCATCGTCTACGTCGGCGAAACAGCCCGCTACCTCATCAACACGCCTCCCAGCCCCCTCGACAAGCAGCACAGCGTCCGCGCCATGTTCGGCAACGGCCTGCGCCCAGACGTCTGGCAGCGCTTCGTCGACCGCTTTGGCATTGAGATCGTCGGCGAGTTCTTCAACAGCACAGAAGGCGTCATGGCGCTCTTCAACGGCTCCCGCGGCCCCTTCACCGCTACCTCCGTCGGCCACCAAGGCCTCATCGACCGCTGGCGCTTCCACAACACCTACGTGCCCGTCGCCGTTGATATCGTCACCGGCGACCTGATCCGCGACCCCAAGACGGGCTTCTGCAAACGCAAGAGTTATGAGGAGGGCAGCGAGATCTTCGTCCAGATGCCCCATGAATCCGCGTTTGTGGGATACTACAACAACTCCGAGGCGACGCAGAAGCGCTTCGAGCGCAATGTCTTCAAGAAGGGGGATTTGTACTACCGCACCGGCGATGCGCTGCGGCGCGACGCAGACGGGCGGTGGTTCTTCATGGACCGGCTGGGCGACACGTTCCGCTGGAAGTCCGAAAACGTCAGCACCGCCGAGGTCGCTGAGGCACTGGGTTCCTTCCCCGGCATCAGCGAGGCGAATGTCTATGGTGTTGAAGTTCCCGGGCATGACGGCAGGGCGGGGTGTGCGGCTATCAATATCACCGAGCCGTTCGACTTCCAGGGGTTGTTGAAGCATGCGAAAACCAAGTTGCCAAAGTATGCGGTGCCGGTTTTCTTGAGGGTGCTGAAGTATCAGACCAGCATGCACAATAACAAGCAGAACAAGGTACCGCTACGAAACGATGGGATTGATCTGCGCAAGCTGCAAGAGCGCGCAGACAAGGAGGCGGCTGAGAAGGGGCAACAGGACGTCGAGTACGATACGCTATACTGGCATCCGGCGGCGCTGGCTGCGCACTCAGGGCTGGTCAAGGAGGATGGAGGGTATGTGGTGTTTACCATGGAGGACTGGGATCGGTTGAGGGGGAGTGCGGGTGGTGCGGAAGCGAAATTGTAAGCTTGCTCTTGGTTGTCTCCTTGGGTAGGACTTTTGTTGTCATTTAGCGGGTTCAGATGATGTACAATGTAGGTTTTCATCTACAGTCCCGTCGATTCTGACGGTCTTCCTGGATGTTTTGGAGAACCGGCAGGTGCACCCATACGGCCTTCCTAGCCTCATCAAAATCGCGGTGACTCTCCCACCAACGCCAGTTCACGCTCCCACAAAGTACCTCTGCGTACCTTTACTTGATCCTTTCCACCCAGTACGAGGCCGCCCGCGCACCGCCAGCTATCCTGGGTGTTATATAAGACCAGCATATTACGGCCCCATCTGCCCACCATCCTTCTTCCTTACCTTCTTCTCCAACCCAAACAACCACATCAGCACCACTCTGTCACGCATCATGTCTAACAAGCGTAGCCATGCAGAGAGCGACACGGATGATACTCTAGACTCATCAGCGTCCCAGGCCCACGACACACTTACTACACAATCTCTTAGAAATCTCCAGAGTTGTCTTACCAGGTCTTATCCATGGTGCCAAGAAGGCTCGATCGGACGCGGACAAGAAGCTGATCCACTCTTTCTTCGACGAGTATATGAAGAACCTACGGTCGATCATTCTCGCTGTCGTCTCTGCCAAGAACGACATTGCCAACCAGATAATCCTTGATCCCTTCAAGAAGGTCGACAAGAAAGGTTCGCGTACTTTCAGTATCATCACAAACCCGGCTGCATCACTGCCGAGGATGGACAATCCTGGATTGATCTGGCACGTCGTCAAGAATCGCACAGAAAAAGAGATGCACTACACGTTCAAGGGGTGTAATGATGCAGAGAAGGAGTTCTTCAGCAACGGCTAGTTCAAAGAGCTCGCCCGGGATAGTGTGGGCATTGAGTCCCTCTGCCTTCGATTGGGCAAGCTCCTCTGCCGCCACCTGACGTAAGAGCTCCCTGCCTTGCTAGAAGAGTTGAGGCATAAGCTGAAAGATACCAACGCAGAACTGGCGAAGCTTGGAGAGAAGCGCGACACTTTTCAACAACAGAAGATGGCCATTATGCGAATCAGCACGAAAGTCCACAGCATCATAACATCAGCAGCCAGCGGCCATTATGCGCACCCTTTCTTCGAGGCGATCGACCCTCAACGCGCTGTTCACTCTGGCAAGAACATTCGTCGATTCCGTGCAGTTGTGCAAGACCTCAACAACGAATTCGCAGAAGACATGCGGCTATTCGGACACACATACAGCATCGAGAATGCCGATGAAGCCGTTGTCTGGAGTGAAGACGCCAAATCAGAGGCGTCATTTGAAGCTTCTGATGGTGGCTCAGACGAAGAACCGGATGTAGGATCTGAGGAGCCACTCGACGGAGATTCTAAACTGAAGGGTCTGGCTGTCAGGGAAGCCTCAGTCGAGACCACCAGAGGTCGTGGTCCAAGACCGCAGCATCTGACTTTCGAGGAGGGTGTGTCATGGGTTAAGAACGCGATCGTTCGATGCCGTGGACGCGAGTTGCCTAGCAGTGTCAATCTGGAAGTGACCAGCCATCTCTTCTGGGAACAGTCTGCCCCTTGGAAAGTCACGGCTAAAGAACACATCAGCCGTATTCAGGATATGTGCAGAGAGTTCGTGGATCAGGTCCTCGAGTATGCAGTTCCGAAAGAGTTCAAGAAACCACTGGAGAAGATAAGCACCACCGCTGTGCTCGAACAGAGTCTCCAGGACGCTCAAGAGGAGTTCCAGAAACTGCTCAAGGACAAAGAACAACACCGCAGCTCAGCACACTCTTATTGAGCTTGAGTATCACACTGACACATCACCGCACTTACAACCACTACTACTCGGACGCCTTGCAGAAGCGTTGCAATGACAAGTACGCGGAGGCTACCGCCGCTGCACAAGAGGCGGCCACCACCAGACTGGTGGATGAGGAGAGAGGGGTAAAAGTTTGTTTGCAGAACCGGGAAAGGTTACACGACAAGGAGCAGATCCACGGCACCATATAAGCGGTGCCTTCTTTACGAGCCAAAAGTCAATTTTCGGCAATGCAGGAGCATACTGCTAGCGTACATAGCAACCCATCACAACCATACTTGCACCCCCGCTACAACAGTGATGGTGACGTGCTTGCTTTGGCGCGAAAATCACGACAGGCTGTCATCTCCCCATCATACCCCCCGGTCTTCTTGTAGGATCAACATAAGGACATATAGCCCTTGCCCATTCCGCCAAAGCACGACAACAAAAGCCAAAGCACCTCACAGGCAGCGTCTAACGGGGATGTTGGAGGGGTCTTCAATGATTCAAACGGCGCTCGCTTCGCTTTTGTATTACAGAGATATACACAGATCTTTTACTTCCCCACCGTTCCTTCGTCTATAGCTTAGCCTCCTTGGGCGCAATCATGAGCTCGGGGCGGACGTGCTTGTCGAAGTCCTCCTCGCTGATGACCTTGAGCTCCATAGCAGCCTCCTTCAGTGTGAGGCCGTTCTTGTGTGCATGCTTCGCGGTCTTGGACGCGGCGTCGTAGCCGATGACGGGGTTCAGACAGGTAACCAGCATAAGCCTACGTTGTATTAGCAAGGTACTCACAGAAGTGTGGTAAGGAGTGGGGAACGGGAGGGGGCGGATAGGAGACTTACGACTCAGTCAACAGAGAACCAATGCGCTTCTCGTCCGCCTCAAGACCCTCAACAAGGTTCTTCTCGAAACTCCTCATGCCGTCGGCCAGCAGGCGCGAGCTGTGCAGCAGGTTGCGGATCATGACGGGCTTGAAGACGTTCAGCTCAAAGTTGCCCTGCGAGCCGGCGAAGGTGGTCGCGGCCTGGTTGCCGAAGACTTGTGTGCAGACCATGGTCAGGGACTCGCACTGTGTGGGGTTGACCTTGCCGGGCATGATGGACGAGCCGGGCTCGTTCTCGGGCAGCTTGAGCTCGCCCAGACCGCAGCGCGGGCCGGAGCCGAGGAAGCGGATGTCCTGGGCGATCTTGAAGAGGGAGGCGGCGAGGGTGTTGAGCTGGCCGTGGGCTTCGACGATGGCGTCGTGGGCGGCGAGGGCTTCGAACTTGTTGGGGGCGGTGACGAATTCGCGGCCGGTCATCTTGGAGACCTCGGCGGCGACGTCCTCGGCGAAGCCCTTGAATGTGTTGATACCGGTTCCAACAGCGGTTCCGCCCTGAGCGAGCATCCTGAGGCGAGGCAGAGAGGACTTGACGCGCTCAATGCCGTAGTCGAGCTGTGTGACGTAGCCAGAGAACTCCTGGCCGAGGGTCAGGGGGGTGGCATCCTGCAAATGTGTGCGGCCGATCTTAATGAGCTTCTCCCACTGGTCGGCCTTCTTCTTGAGGGCGTCGCGCAGGCTAGTGAGGGCGGGGAGCAGCGACTCCTCAAAGTCGAGAACGGCGGCGATGTGCATGACGGTGGGGAAGGTGTCGTTGGAGGAGGCGGACATGTTGACGTGGTCGTTGGGGTGGACAGGCTTCTTGGAGCCCATGGTGCCGCCGAGGATCTCAATGGCGCGGTTCGAGATGACTTCGTTGGCGTTCATGTTGGACTGGGTGCCGGAGCCGGTCTGCCAGACGACAAGGGGGAAGTGGTCGACGAGCTTGAGGGAGGCGACCTCCTCGGCGGCCTGCTGAATGGCCTTGCCAAGCTTGGGGTCTGCATGTTGTCAGTTTGTAGCCCATAGCTTGTGGGGTCGAGCTCAAGCAATGACGCACCCAGTCCAAACTTCATGTTGACCGTGGCAGCAGCGCCCTTGAGGATACCAAAGGCGCGCACAATGGGAGGCGGCATGCGGTCCTGGGGCTGGTTGATCTTGAAGTTCTCCAGCGAGCGCTCAGTCTGGGCGCCCCAGTACTTGTCGTTGGGGACCTGGACCTCGCCAAAGGCGTCGCTCTCGGTGCGGGTGTTGGCCATGGTGGACGATGCGCTGAACTGGCGGCGCTGCGCGGTCAATGGCGTGTACTTGACTGTCTGGCGTGTGCCGGTGGAGAGAGGACGCGCCGTGCGGAGCATGGAGGGGTTGGCCCTCGCATGTGCCAGTGAGCGCATGCACCCGGCCTCGGCAGCCCGGAGCTGTGTACGAGCGCTTCTGAACATGGCGGTGATTCGCGTGGTGGAAAATGTGTGGAGAGAGATGGACGTGGGGCAATTGACAATGTGAGGCGTGCCAATTGACGATGTGCGGCGTGCCAACTGACCGAGTGCGATGTCTGCTATGCTCTGCAAAATGGGACGACGATGGAGAAACACAAAACCTCAAAACTTTAGAGAGCTCAGAGCTTCGTCACGTCACGGAAGAAGTCGGAGCTTGGATGCCCTTCTTGCCGAGCGTCCCTCACGTGCTTCACGCAATCAACTCCCCACCAACCAGCCCTGTGTCCGGGGAATATGAACAGATGAACGAACCCTGGAATCGCAAAAGCCCACCCTTCAAACATGGGATTCAATGCCACCAAGACAGACCCTTCACTTTTCTCATACATCCTCCAACCCTTCTTTCCTCTATGCCTCTTTGGCCTTGTGCTCTCGCTTCCCAGGCCGCAGGTTCAGGCGTTTGTTCTTATGCGCCGTGTTCGCCTTTTTCTTGACTTTTCCTCGCTCGTTTGCATCAGCAATGCATCGGTCCGCAGAGTTGCACCACTCTAGTCCGACCCTTGGAGGTACTCAAGGCCCCTCCAGGCACCTGAATCGATATTCGGCGGCATACTCTTTGTCTCCAATCGGCCAGGTTTCCTCATCGGCGGCCGCAGAGTGAAACTCTTCCCTCGTACTTGCCCGCTCCGCTGGTCTTTGTCTTGGCTGGGCCCTGATGATGCCAGCCGTCGTGATGGCTGAGGCACACTCACTAATCTATTGGCAGGCTCGTAGTCACAGTAGCCTGCATTCCTCCTATTCGCTGTTCCAGCACAGCAGTAACTTTGAGGCAAGCTGCGTCTGAGGGACAAACTGCAGGCGGAATGGGGCGCTGCACGCTTCGTGACGCCCACCCAGAGGCAGTACCCTGTTCAGTGCTCGGATCCAGCTTGCCGCCGCCAGTACGTCCGCTCCTTGCGCGAGTTCGTGCTTGGGCAGAGGGAGGTCACTCCCGAACAAAGTGGCGCGAGGCCATGATTAGATTGACGCAGCAGCTGGTCTCGCTCGTCTCAGCAAGTAGTGGAGTCCACCACCTGACTTGACCGCCCGTTGTTCGTCACCGTTCTTTGCACCGGATAAGCCATACATGGTGCCAGCGTCACTCAACCCCGCTTGCGTCTTCATTCAAATCTAACGAGCTCGCTGACGACAAACGGTCCTGCCTTCCTGCCCTTTGCCCCTGCTGCTAGCTCTGCTATCCGTGCTCTGTCTGTGAATCGCCGCCTCGAACACCCATTGCCCGCACCTCCTGCGTCCAGCCGCATGACGACTTGAACCCTTCCACCGCCTTACGAATTTACTCCTCTTTTCTCTCCCTCAACCTTTTTCGGTACCAAAGTACTGGCTTCTGGCAAAACCCAGTCGTCGAGAGTCCAACTATCCCAGCCTGGACTTCGACGTTCATCGAGCCTGACGTCCGCAGGCACCACTTACCGGCGCTCAACATCAAGGTCCACTCACACCGGAACACGTCGAAGCAAGAACCCGAACGCGTGGTATCGTGTCAAGTACACCATGGCTGCGTCTGGTTTCAGTGTACCCTATCAGTACCAAGCGATGTCGACAGGCTCAAGCGCTCAAGGTGCAGACGTCTCTGGCCCATGGTCACCCGTTGCACCGCCATTCCAGCAGCATCAAGGATGGCGGCAGGAACTGTATCAGGCATTTCAACCCCAGAGTTATGATCATTTCTTGCCACCACCGTCGCAATATAGGAGCAGTCACCTATACCCTCCGCCAAACTACCCACGCTCTCCGTATGCTCCCTATGGTGGCCCTCCCATGCCAATGTACTTTCCAGAATCGACCTACTCCTTTGCAACACATCAACCAAGGCCTCCTCCAGCTATACGAACCGGTCATGTGGATACTCTCATGGATTCGAGCAGATCTGGTGCTGACGTGTATGGTGCAGCACCAGCAATCTTTGAGTCCAATCACACCGGTTACCAGGGACTATCATCTCCAACGAATACACACTCGTCATACTCGACGCCATCTCAATCAGCTGCCGTGCCGGAAAACACAGCAAACGAAGCGTTCAATAGAGGCCAATCTGTTCAAGCAATGAGTGGTGGAGGTGTTGAACAGCCTCGTCAGGCACTTCCAGTGCACCCGAGACCCTCAGCATCACACCAGCTCCCACAGTCATACCAGAATCAGCAGCGACAGACTGATCGCAACGCCGAAATCCGCCATATCGAGTATGCACAACGACGATTGTCCGGCAACCTTACTACGCAAGGCCGCCGTTCAGACCGTAGCTCATCTCCACGCACTTCAGCCCGCCGAAGTTTTGACAGGTACTCAGGGGATCTACCACTATCTAGCACCTCCTCCGATGTAGAAGAGGCTGCAGCTCGATCGCCGCCTTCCAATCGCATTAGGCATCGGCCAAGGGAAAGTCGGCCACGTTTCTTCAGCCAGCATCATGACCCCAACGTAATCACCGACCGCCAGATCCAAGAGCTCAAGACAAGTCTACCTAGATTTCTCCTTGGTGGTTTGCCAGAAGACACATCTCCAACCTGCGACATCTGCGCGAAAGACTACTCTGCGAAACATGTGCAGCCTTCGGAGGAGGATGAGGTTGCTGTGAAGCTTCCGTGTGGTCACAGTTTTGGGGAGTTCTGCATCGGCCAATGGGTATGTAAGTCCACCCTAAGGATTATCTGAAGCTGACCAGAACTCAGTTCGACACTTGCAAAACACATAAAAACAAGGTCACCTGTCCAATGTGCCGCAAACAATTGGTTGAGCCACCGCCATCGCCGTATACGGTGGGTTACTTGAACACGAATCCGTACCTGTACGCCGCCCGCAACTCACGATCGTTTCAAGAACTGCTGGCCAGCGAGCTCCAGGCGCAGTATGCGCATGCGTGATCAGGGAGTGGAAGAAAAGAAAGATTGACGGCAGACCCTCAGATGGAAAATCCACAAGATTGCATGTACGCTCGTCCCTGGACAAATGTCACCTGGTGTGGCAGGCCCGCAGCAGAACGAGTAGGACGCCTGGTTTCGGCATTGGTGTGATGGTGCGGCAGTTTCGGGCTATGATATCATTGTTGTGCATTCTGGTACCTATCAAAGCTTATCGGCGGTCCCTCTCGGCGCGTTGATGGTGGATTAGTGTTAGAGTTTGGACATGGGCGTGCACAGTTTCTGGATCCATATAGGACATGTTTAATCAAGGCTGGAATGATATTTGGGTGTTCTGTAGCGACAAGAGCAATGATAACAAGACGCCAGAGCACGTTGTCGTGGTCGAGCCCGTACGGGACCACCTGGATGTTCCAGCTAGATCCTAGAATGCCCATTGGTTGCCATGAGCAGCAGTAGCACAAAACAAACCACACCCCGCAACCACCAACAAAGCTGGCAGCAACATCACCACATACTCTCCACTTTATTACCACATTCTGCCATTACTTTGTTGAATTGTCTCTTCTGTAGACGTTTAGTTGTGCTTGCCTTTTTGCTTCGTCGCCTGCATCGCATTTCTGTTCACGGGCTGCGACGATCGGAGTCGCCGACGTTCCTTCCCCGCGGTCATTGCATGTTTGCTCGTCAACGCAGCTAACGAGCAATATGGCTTCAGACACCAACGGACAGAACATCCAACTCCCCATACCCCCACCGCCGCTTCACACTCGCTCCAGTGAGATGGACCGACCAGGCACGCCCTCTCAGGAGGCCTTCATCAGCCCGCGCCAGACACCTCAGGGCAGTCCAAGTAAAAGCCACCAGCCGCCCGGCGCATTCGACCTCCCTCATGTCTTCGAGAATGCTATGAAGCTGTTCCCTACAATGGGATCGTCCACCAAGCAGAAGCCAGACACACCAGGTTCACCCAGCAGGCTGAAGATTGGTACCAATGTGGACCACTCAGCAGCGGACGTCACTACGCTTTCGGCAGGCAGCCCAACGCGCAAGTCGAACCAGGAGAACACACCGCCCGGCATTCGGCCAGCTACACACAAGGAGTCCAGCTTTCTCACACATGCCGCGCAATCGCGACAGGAGCCATACCGCACACGAGAGACAGAAGGTTCACAACGATACTATCCTGCACCACAGCGTCTCTCAGCCGAGGAGCTCGAGAAGGCTAGGAAGCCAGCTGTGAAGCGCCTGGCGAACGTAACCCAGCTGTGTAAGTACTGATTACAAGATTTGATTGCAATACTCATACAGTGTCAGACTTCCTCGACTACTACTACGATCTTCTCACCTACGTGCACACCCGTCAAAACCGCCTAAGCCAATTCAAGGCGCAGAATCCTGCACCGCCCGAGACGCCCCAAGCCGAGTACGATGGGGCTCTTACACAATACCTAGGCCGCGAGCGCGCCAATCTGCGCAAGCGGCGCACTCGACTGAGGCAAGGTGACTTCCAGATTCTCACACAAGTTGGCCAGGGAGGCTATGGGCAGGTATTCCTGGCTCAGAAGAAGGACACCAAGGAAGTGTGCGCTTTGAAGGTCATGAGCAAGACACTCTTGTTCAAGTTGGATGAGGTCCGCCACGTTCTGACTGAGCGTGACATTTTGACTACAGCGAAGAGCGAGTGGCTTGTTAGGCTTCTGTATGCCTTCCAAGACGAGAAGAGCATCTACCTTGCTATGGTATGTTTGAGACAGCCCGTGTGCAAGGACATCGACTAACAAGTTCTAGGAGTATGTGCCGGGAGGCGACTTCCGTACGCTGTTGAACAACACTGGCGTTCTGCACAATCGACACGCACGATTCTACATTGCCGAGATGTTCTCGTGCGTCGACTCTCTGCACCAGCTTGGGTACATCCACCGCGACCTGAAACCAGAGAACTTCCTCATCGACAGCACCGGCCACGTGAAGTTGACCGACTTTGGTCTGGCAGCCGGTATGCTTGCTCCTATCAAGATTGAGTCTATGCGCATCAAGCTGCAGTCAGTGAGCGATGTCATCTCGCCGTTCGGACGCCCGGTGGAGGAGCGAAGTGCGGCCCAGCGCCGAGACAACTACCGATCTCTACGCGAGCGAGATGTCAACTACGCGAAGAGCATCGTAGGAAGCCCGGACTACATGGCGCCTGAGGTACTCAAGGGAGAAGAATACGATTTCACAGTCGACTACTGGAGCTTGGGATGCATGCTCTTCGAGGCTTTGGCCGGATACCCACCATTCGCTGGCGCCACCGTCGATGAGACATGGCAGAACTTGAAGCAGTGGAAGAAGGTTCTACGCAAGCCTGTGTACGAAGACCCATCGTACTTCTTGTCGAAGCGCACCTGGGACCTCATTATCCGCCTCGTTGCTTCGAAGTCCACTCGTTTCCGCGGCATCTCAGAGATCCACGCACACCAGTACTTCGCAGAAGTTGACTGGACAAAGCTGAGAGAGAATAAGGCACCGTTCGTGCCAGAGCTCGACAGCGACACCGATGCAGGGTACTTCGACGACTTCGGCAGCGAGGCCGATATGGCGAAATACAAGGAGGTTCACGACAAGCAGGCCGCACTGGAGGCTATGGCAGAGCGTGACGAGAAGATGAACAAGGGTCTCTTCGTTGGATGTAAGTGCACGCTATTTCCTCTAACGTAGCACGTCGTTAACCATGGCACAGTCACCTTCCGTCACAAGAAGACAGCGGACGAGAACGGCAAGCCTGCCAGTCCGAGAAAACCTCTGGGCGCGGTTGACGAGAACTTTGGCACCATCTTTTAGTGTCACTCACGACGGCGCTCTCGCACTGGCTGCGCCACTGTCACTTTACCATTCTGAGCCTAGATGGGCAACATTTGAAGCATGCAAAATTTGACGTTGGAACGCGTAACGAACCAAATGGATGAAGGAGGGGGTTGGTATCATGGTATTATTGCGTTGGGCTTTGGCGTTGCTGCATTCAATGAGTTGGGCACGGGCTGTGAACCGGTATGCGTACCGTCTTTTGAGGGACGCTGCCATGTATTAGTAGAACTTGGGTTGCCTTACGAATCAACGATACCCAGCATTTCTTCAACCTTCACTCTCTTTCGTTTCCCCGCACCTTCCGATTTGGCGCGTTTACGCGCTATCACATGGAAGCTGTTTTAGCGCGAAACTAATCACGAGCTACGGAACCCTCCTCCAGAGACACAACGACATTCCACTGTCTACCCCACATTCACACAGCGCAGCGATGCCTGGTCTCGTCCGGAGTGGGCGGAAGCGCCCTTCGCCTGAAGAGTCCGAAGACTCCTCCGACTCAGACCTGCCCACACCCGTCTCTGTCAACGGCAAACGCGCTCGCTATGGCCGCGACGCGTCTGACAGCAGTCCCGCTCCTTCGAATGGCAACCACAACCGCCAGCACACCCAGAACCTTTCAGCAAACGGTGCATACAACGAGGATGTCTTTCAGTCTGGATCGATCGTACGAGTCAAACTCAAGAATTTCGTCACGTATACCGCCGCCGAATTCCACCTGGGGCCCAGCTTGAACATGATCATCGGACCAAACGGAACAGGAAAGAGCACACTCGTATGTGCCATTTGCTTGGGTCTAGGGTGGTCATCTGAACATTTGGGAAGAGCAAAGGAATTGAGCGCATTTGTCAAGCATGGTGCCGATGAAGCCGAGATCGAGATCGAACTGGCCAAAGCGGAGGGCATGCGGGCGAATCCAGTTGTCACACGTATATTGCGCAGAGCGGATAACAAGACAGTCTTTCTGCTCAACGGAAAGCATTCAACCAAAAACGCTGTCATGGAGATGTGTAAGCGCTTCTCTATCCAGATCGACAACTTATGTCAATTCTTGCCTCAGGACCGGGTTGTGGAGTTTGCCAAGATGAAGGATACAGAGCGACTGCGAGCAACTCTGGGTGCTGCAGCTCCTCCAGAAATGAGCGAGTGGCATGACCAGCTCAAGGTTCTGCGTGAAGAAGAAAAGGTGCTTGAGGTCAAGCGACACAACGATGAAGAGCATCTTAAGAAGTTAGAAGCCCTGCAGAACACTACACGAGGAGATGTTGAGAGGTGGAACCAGCGCCAAGAGCTCGCATCGAAAACGGTAGCTCTCGAGAAAGTCCGACCGATCATCCAATTAAGGCTACACAAACAGGAGTTCGAACGGGTGAAGGCAAATTGGGAAGCAGCAAAACAGGAGTTGACGCAACTCCATGAAGAAGTTGAGCCCATCAGGCAAGCTGGAGCGGCTGCGCAGACCTATCATGATCAAGTCAACCAAGTTGTCCAACGACGCAGGCAGATGATGGACATGATCAAGAAGCAAGCAGAGAAGAAGGCCCAGGCGATCAGCGCGGAGAACAAGACTATCGAGGAACACCAAGGTCAAATCACAAGCGAGATGCGCGATAAGCAAGGCCGACAACAGGACATCGCTCGCTTGACAAAGAAAAACGCAGACCTCGAGCGAAAGCGGCAAGAACAGCCAGTCGATTACGATCGAGAAGCATATCAGCAGCGAAAAGAAGAGTTGCGTCAAGAGATGTCATCGGCCGAACGTCGGATACTTGATCTGAGGGGTACCATGTCATCTATCCAAGCTCGAATCCAAGATTTCAGAGCTCAGAGGACTGCGGTAAAGCAACAACGAGAGCGCCTTGATACTCAGAGTGGCAAGCAAACCAGTCTACTTCAGAAGATCTCTCCAGAAACAGCCAAGGCTTGGGAGTGGTTCGAGATGAACAAGGCGCAACTGCCTCTAAAGGGCGAAGTCCATGGACCACCAATCTTGACATGTTCGCTGACAGATCCCAAATACGCGGACGCTGTTGAAAGTCAGATGAGACTAGGTGATGCCGTCGCTATCACGTGCACAAACAATGACGACCAGAGGCTCCTCCTTCGCGAAATGACACATAAAGATAAGCTTGGGCTACATGGCATCTACCTCAGGACATCGCCAAAGCCATTGTCTGCCTACTCACCTCCCGTGCCTAACTCGGACTTATCACAGTATGGGTTTGAAGGCTACCTCCGCGACTACATCACGGGACCCGACCCGGTCATTGCAATGCTTTGCGACAACGTAAGACTTAATAGGGTTGCGTTTGTTACAAAAGCTATCACCGATCAGCAGCATGCAGCTGCATCGAGCAGTCCAATCCAGGCATGGGTCAGTGGCAGAGAAGCGTACAGGATCACCACGCGAAGGGAGTACGGCGTATCGTCTACCTCTGTCAACCACCTCAAGCGGGGACAGTTCTTTGTAGATCAGCCTATCAACTCAGATGAAAAGTTGCAACTCGACGAACAACTACGCAACATGGATCGCGAAGGCTATGAGATGAAAACGGAACACGACGAGGCCAAGGCTGAAGTTCAGAAACTCATGGAGGAAGTCAAAGCAGTGAAAGAACAAAGGGTACGTCTTATGCACCACATCTCGAATAGCAATGCTAACCTTAATAGGACGAGATCGTAAGAGAGGAAAAGGAGAGGAAAAAGGCGATTGCGGAATGGGAAGCTCTTCCTCGCATGATTGGTACGTGCCTCTATGTATTATTCTGTGGACCTCACTGACAGCGTCAAGACCAAAACAAAGCGGAGTTACAGCAGCACCTCGACCTGAACGCACAAACGAGCAACCGTATTAGGGAGATCAAGGCCCAGTCACGACAGTGTTCCCTCAAGATTGCTAGCCTTACGCTGGAGTACGCTGTATGTACGCTTCTCTCAACTGTCATACTATTGCTTACGATAGCAGAAATATGTTACCGAGTTCCGTCGCCTCCATGAAAACGTCGTCGAAGCTGAGATTCGTCTGATTGAAGCTGCATCGGAAGTCAGGGCGCTCGAGAAGGAGAACAAGCTTGTCCTCGAGCGCCTCCGGTCGAGGGAGACTCAGGTCAAGCAGCTGGAGCAGGCTAAGAACACCATGAAGGAAGAGATTAGGAGAGAGCATCGAGCAACTCAAGCGCTAGTCAACAGCTGCACGGAAGAGGAGCACGAGATCGTTGTGTCGTACAAGGACCTCGAATCTGTTGCTGCGCTGGATGATGAGATTCAGTCGGTCAACGCCAGGCTCGAGATGATGTCTGCAGGAGACGGTTCAGTTGTTAAGACCTACGAGAACCGCGAAGTACAGATCGGAAAGACCCGAGATTCTTTGGAGAAGCACGTCGCAGCCTTGGAAGAAGCGCAGAGCAAGATCGCGGAAATTAAGGGCCCCTTCGTGGAGCAGCTGGATGAACTCATCGAGAAGATCAGTGCTGCGTTCGCCCATAACTTCGAACAGATCGGCTGCGCTGGCGAAGTTTCGGTGTACAAGGATGAGGACGACTTCAATGCCTGGTCCATCCAGATCTCGGTCCGCTTCCGGTAAGTTCGTCATTTCTTTTTTGCATTTGGCACTACTGACGTTCATTCAGTGAGGGCGAGTCTATGTCCGTCCTCAACGCCAACCGTCAATCTGGCGGTGAGCGCGCTGTCTCGACTATTTTCTATCTGATGGCCCTCCAAGACCTCGCACAGGCACCATTCCGCGTTGTCGACGAGATCAATCAAGGTATGGATCCACGTAACGAGCGTATGGTACACGAGCGAATGGTCGACATCGCCTGCCAAGAGCGTACGAGCCAATATTTCCTCATCACACCGAAGTTGCTCTCGGGCCTGAAATTCCACTCTAAGATGAAGGTCCATGTCATCAACAGCGGTGAACACGTACCGAAGAGTACGACCTCCAAGGATGAGTGGAACCTCAAGGACATGGCGAAGGTTGCGCTTGCGGTTAGAGGACGTGTTAGTGCTGCTGCCTAAGCTCTCGGAGCAACACTTCTCGATGGTTTGCAAAGGCGTTATCGGTTGGGAGGCTATCTCTGCATTTTCCATGGGCACAGATACCAAGTTCGGGCCGTTTTACACAGTGATGGGGGCGTAGCGTCATCCGTACGACTGCTCTTGCGACATCAGCTTCGCTTTGCTAAACATAGCCGTGCTACTATGCGTAACGCATATGATAGCAAAACAAGCTCATTCGAAAAATATTCTTTCAGCCTTTGCGGTGCATACGAGGCTCTCTAGTCCTGACCGTTGCTGTGTACCACAACTTCAACGTTTCGTACTACCTGATTACTGACGATGGTGGCACAGCAGAGAAAAGGTTAAATAAAAACTCGTAAGAGCGACCAACAGTCGACCAATGGAGGAGAGGAACTTACGAGGTCGTAGCGTCATAGTCACCGGTGTTGCGTCGCTGCCTCCTTCCCAAGACGCACAACAAGGAAGACTTCAATCGTGTCTTCTGTATATCATGGCGTCCACTTCCTCTCACCTCGATACACAAACACTCTTGCTCATCTAAGCCCCACCATTGTCGGCTATTGACTATTAAAATTAACACAATGCTATCCTTGAACCTCGCCGCGTTCGCCTCCGCCCTCCTCATTACGTCAACCATCGCCCTCCCGACTTCTGTGTCCTCCTCTCTCAGCACCCGCGCGACCACCGAACAATGGAGCATCCCCAGCATGGAGCTGCACATGATGACCAAATTCACCGGCCTGCCTGGCAACGGTCCCTGGCCCGAGAACTCCAAATACCCTTCAACCATCGACTTCGACATCAACATGCCCAACTACCAGAATGGGCACTGTCATACCGAATTTTTGAACGGTACGTTGCCAGACGATCTCGCGGCCTGCAGTGGCGAGGGAGGCAGAGTAAGGTTCAGGATGAAAGAGTACACAGCTCTTGGCCCGAGGAGAAAGGAACTCAGCTTTGTGCTGCAGGTTTTCAGGGTGGATAGGGTGCCGTAAGTGTCAATCGCGTCGACTTTACAATCAGAACGATATACTAATGTTATTTGATTATAGAGGGCAACAAACTATACTTATGGGCGAAGTGGCAATCACCGCGAATGATCCGCACGAACCCTCAAGCTACCTCACTTGCCTCCAGGGCGCACCATTCGATGGTTTGAGGTGCAAAATACGCGGAATGATGAGCGTGAACAAGAATCTGATAATTGAGGCTCATACATCGAATTCGTCAGATACAACCGCGCTTTTGGCTGCATCTTGACCATGCCGAAGACAGGTTGGGGAGCCGCATATAAAGGCGTTGGTGGCTGGGTATGGTGGGGCTGGGTCGTTGTTTGTTGACCCTCGTCGCTAGGCGAAGCCGTTATTGCTTTTTTCTCTGCTGCATGGTGAGGTCACACAGCAGGTGTAGTACGTGCATTAGAGGGGGCGTTGTGTTCCAGGACTATCGAGAGAATATCAACACCACTGAGACTTTGTACACATCGAATGCGACTTGTGATTTCTAACGATGAATGAGGTAACTCGTAGAGCTTTTGAGTGTTGTTGTTTCATTTTGTAGCTAGCAATTTCTTTGCAATCCTCCAAATCAATTGACCTTGTAGAGGTGACATGTCGCTCCGAACCCCTCAAAACTTAGTATTGGTACACGACAGGTAGTTGCACTACTTCATGCAAGACGGTTCGAGTTTGTTTGTTTCCCAGCCTCCATGACCGTGTATATGTCGGTTCAGAACCCTCATATTTTTTCTCGTCTTCTTTTCTTCGAGGTCGCCTTCTCGACTTCATCGCAATCCAGCAATACGACTATGCGCTCATCACTCACCTCTCTCCTTTCTACAATGCTCGTCTCCAACAGCATTTGGGCTGCCTACGGCATCAAGACCGCGCCAGAGGAAAGCTTCGAGATGCGGAGCCTTGTGAGTGCTTCCAGTCTTTTGCTCACACTGACCTTAAGCTTACGCACGAACCAGCCCCGTCTCACCAAGAGAACAAGCACACCACAACCAAGCCTCATAGTTGACACCTCATCCGCCCCCTCTCCATCCACAACACCCACCTCACCCTCAACCTCGAACGAAAACACAATCCAAGCAACAACAACATTCACACCCGCCGTCCCCGTCGCCCCCTCTGCCCCCTCACCTCCTCCTGCAGCATCCAGACTTTCTCCCGCAGCGATCGTAGGCCTGTGCATCGGCATTGGCGTTGTTGTGCTTATTGCGTATGGTGTGCTAGAGGCTTGTGTGTTGAGGAAGAGGAGGAGGGAGAGGGCGCTGAGGAGGGCGGTGGAAGAGGTTGAATGGGGATCGGTTAGGAGTGTGGAGAGTAGAGAGGACGTTGTGATGGAGAGGAAAGGTGATGTGGTGGTGGGCGAGGAGGAGGTTTGGGAGGTGGAGGATGATATGGGCGGAAGGAAGGGGATGAGTTTGCCGAGGAGAGTGTGGTGAGGGAGAAATGGGCTAGTGACAGCTTTATGGCGATTGACGATATGGATTGCTGGTGTTCAGGTCCGTGTCTGTGATAGGTTTGATGCTGGTGAAGGTCTTTAGGGAGTTTGGACGTGCGCGTGAGCAGTTTGGGTCACCCGATTCATGTTGTTGCTGTCAAGGATGTAGGAACTCAGCTTGTTTCAGTCATCGGAGAATACAAACTGCTTTAGCAATTGATGTGAATCCTCGTAGCGAGTGGGAGGGCTATGCATCTGGTGATCTAACCTCTTGCCGTTAGTGTTATCTTGCTCATCGCATTTGCCGATTGCTTGCCGTTGCTGAACTCCACTTTTGCTTGCACGTACTTTAAAAAGTCGTTCTTGCGATTGCTATAAATTGTGCGGTATTCCTTTACTTTGAGATTGATCATATGTTGCTGAAATTATCTACATCATGTTGGGTTCTTTGCTTACGGTTACGATTGCGCTAGTGGCGGCAGTGGCGGCTGTTCCTGTCAGTGCGCGCTCACCTCCAACCTTACACTACACTAACATGTATGGACGAAGTTCTCCAGCAGACTTCATAAGCATACCGCGCTACTTTTGATCGACATTCAGAACGATTTCATTAACGGATCGCTCGGTAGCCCTCGTGCATCCGCAATCCTGCCAAAAGTTTACGACCTACTTGACGATCACCAATGGCCATTCATTGCCGCATCGCAGGATTGGCACCCGGAAGGTCATGTCTCTTTCGCTTCTGCGCACTCCGGTACTGAGCCTGGTGACGCTGTCAACATCACATTCCTCGACAGCCCCCTGAAACAAGAGACCCAGGGTGTCTATGCGGATCATTGCATTCCAGGAACATGGGGCGCAGAGATCGAGGATGGTGTAAAGACGCGCCTGCAATATCTTGAAGGGTACCGTACAACGGTAAACTATATCAAGAAAGCGCAGAACCACTCTGTCGATTCCTACTCAGCCTTTGCGGACAACCAGTACCACCAGTTCACGACCTTGAACTCAGAACTGACGCTGCATGGTATTGAGACCTTGATTGTCACCGGTCTCATCACAAATGCGTGTGTCCGTGGAACATCCATCGATGGTATCAAGCTGGGATATGAGGTAATACTCATCGAAGATGCAACAGAGACCGTCTCGGCAGAGGTCAAGGCCGCAGCTATTGAAGAGCTAGAGGGCTGGGGTGAGTGCTTTTCTGTCTTGAGTAAGTAATCGAACGACTAAATTTGTTTAGGAGTCGAAGTGATGAGCCTCACCGACTGGGAAGCCGCCAATCCAACCAGGCTCAGGAAGCAGTACGCTCGGGAGCTATAGACACAAGAAGGACAGAACGCCTTGCAAGGCATCTACTGGCTTTACACATGTTGTTTTTTCGATTTACTCTCTCGTTGTGCGCCATTGTGGCTCCTCGTACCTCAATGCACGTATATTGTGGCTTTCATAGCTACTGTACTAAGGCATTAATCTGTTCGCGGCGCACGGGCTGAACCCCAACCACCACAAATGCAATGACCAACATCACAACTTCAACCCGCTACTGCACAACCACAATGAGGGCTTTTGGAGCTGAAATTTCAGGAG